TTTATCTTTTCATCTATTCTCCCTTTAAAAAAGAAAACTTAAGCGGGTTTTTCTTAATTTAATATCGAAAATGTTTGATTTTATATTTGCTTTCTTTCAAGTTAATGTACTATTGAAAAAGCTGGGTTTTTCATTTTTATTCATTGAAATATAAGTATTAATTATATTGTGCAGAGCTTCATAGTAGAAATGATTTTATAAGATTAACTCTTTTTTTATCTCGGAAGGTCGCCATCTACCATCTGGTTTTTAATATTTGACTTGGTATCTGCAAATATTTGAATATAAAAATATCGTCAACCCGTGAACAATCATCTCGAGAAGACGATATCATACCTGCAAGATATCGTCAACCCAAGAAATAGTTTCTTTCTCGAGAAGACGACATCCTGCCTACAAGATATTATCAACCCCAGGAATAATTTTACTTTCTCTGGAAGGTAACATCTCACCCTTAAAGATATAGTCAACCCGAGAAATATATTCTTTCTCGGAAAGACGACATTTCTGAAGATATCACCAACCCGTGACGAAACATTATCTCGGGAAGACGATATCTATAACCTTAAAAAATATCAGCGCGAGAAAAAATTCTTTCCTAACCCACTAGATATCATTAACCCGAAAAATTATTTTATTTCGGGAAGACGATATCTCACCTACAAGATATCATCAACCCGTGAAATATTATTATCACGGGAAGACGACATCTGACTTACAAGATATCATCGACCCGAGATATATTTTTATCTCGGGACGACGATATCTCACCTAAAAGATATCATCGACCCGAGATATATTATCCTTCTTGGGAAGACGACATCTGAACTAAAAGATATCATCAACCCGAGAAATATTTTCTATCGGGAAAACGATATCTCACCTACAAGATATCATCGACCCGAGATATATTCTTTCTCGAGAAGACGATATCTTACCAACAAGATATCATCGACCCGAGAAATATTTTTATATCAGGAAGACGATATCTCACCTACAAGATATCATCAACCCGAGAAATACTTTATCTCGAGAAGACGATATCTAACCTACAAGATATCATCGACCCGAGAAATATTTTTATCTCAGGAAGACGATATCTCACCTACAAGATATCATCGACCCGAGAAATATTTTATCTCGAGAAGACGATATCTAACCTACAAGATATCATCGACCCGAGAAATATTTTTATCTCGGGAAGACGACATCTCACCTATATGATATCACCAACCCGTGATCAAACATTATCTCGGGAAGACGATATCGTAACTTTACCTAAAAGATAACATGGCGACAACCTTCCCCTGAGATGTCCTCCCGTGAAGTATAGAGATCCTCATCAACCCATGTGCCCTTGAAGAGCTCTGGTATCCAAGCCCACTGATTTCAAGACCAAGTTTCATTTAAAAAAAAAAACTCAGTATAAATGATTGTAACTTTAAACCTTTGGAATGCACCATTTTTAATTGACTAATTTTTATTTAGGTATCAGGTCAGATTATTTATTAACTGCTATTTTCGTTTTCCTTTTTGCCTGACTTGGGAAGCCAATTTAGCAGCACCTATCAAGAGTGTCGAGTACTTAATAGCACCCATCAAGGGTATTGTCCTTCTCAATAGTAGCACCCATCAAGGGTGTCTTGGTTCTAAATAGAAGCACCCATCAAGGGTGTCAACTTTCTCGTTAGTAGGGCCTATACCCATCAAGGGTGTCGTTTCTCTCAATAGAAGTACCCATCAAGGGTATCGTATTTCTGAGTAGCACCCATCAAGGGTGTCTTGTTTCGCAATAGTAGCACCCATCAAGGGTGTCGTCTTTCTCAATAGAAGCAATAGTTTTTTGATTGACTAACTTATATGTAGGTATCAAGTTATGATTATTTATTAACTTATTTATTAAAATTTTTGTTTTCTTTTTTACTGACTTGGGGAAGCTTTATTTTAGAAACATTTAGTCTTCAAAATATTGTAATAATTTAATGTATCAATAATTAATAAATTTTAAGTATGTATGCATGCCTGTACGCTGCTGCTGATGCTCGGCTGCCTGTGCGTGCAATGTGCCTATACCCAAGCCCACCCCGCCTTTATCCTGCACCTTAGACTTAAAAAGTTGTAATTACTCATTTAATACAATCATAATCCTTGGTTTATTTTTCATCCTTCCAAACGTCCAAATTATCGCTGGTTATCGTTATCATCAACAGGTCTCCTCCTATTATTCGTATGAGCTTTAGATAACTCCGTCGGCTATTATACATTTATACAATTATAATAAAAAATATCAGCTCTAAAAAAAAATTCTGCTGTCTTCTTGAAAAAGATTAATGGTGTAAATGTCATTATTTTGAACAATTTGAAAATTAACTTTGAAATCCGTGGATACAATGTCCACAAGATGTATTCTGGCCCATTGGAATACCGCTCAACATAAATCTAGAAATGATTAACTTGCATTAAATAAATTCTGATAATATAGAAAGTCCGTTGGCTCTGTTGTTAGCCCTTCGATCCCATGGTGTTCAAATTCAGGTTTTATTTCATTTTTAAATTATTAAATAAAAGCTCAAAAGTATTTATTCTTTAAACCAATCATTTTAATACAATTATAACGGTAAAGGCAATCAAATTCCAAGGAACCCTCCCTTTTGAATGAAAATCTAAACCCGTTTACTCCAATTTCTGAGTGAATCCCTAAAAGCCCATCCATGGAATGTCTTTGAAAGATTAGCAAGAGCAGTGCACCTGGCTGCATACCACGCGCGCGCGCCTTTCAACTTTTTGACCAATAAGAATCACCGCGGTCTATGACCACGCCCAATGCGCCGGCCACGTGCGGGCTACGTGCACAAACAACTCGCATCGCTCTCTGTTCTTGTGGCTATTGAAACCGCGTGTAAAAATGCGCACTGCACCAAATGGCATGTCGTGATAAAAAGCGGAACTGTATATTGCGCAAACACGCATTCATATGCAAATTACTGTAAATCAAAAGGGCTTTGGCCTACAAGAATGGTATTTCAACATGACAATATTCAGCAATGCAAAACCCAACCTCATGTAGGAGAAACAAAATGGAGGACACTTTGTTGTCATAATGTATACACTTGCCGAATACATTTTCTTTCTAATATCTCAGCGAAATATTTTTTTAAATGCATTTTAAAGATGGAAATGACATTAACGGTACAATATTCATCAATGCAAAACACAACCTCGTGTACAAAAAGCACCCGAAAGACAACATTTTGTTGGCAATAACTACATCGGGCTTTATGTTGATAACATCGGTACAATGTTTGTTAAAAAATGTGCGATTTGAGGACCAAAGATGTGGATTTTCTGGCTCTTAGAAAAATGAAGGAAAATAGCAGAAACCATTGCTCAGAATTCTAAGAAGCAAGGAGCTTTTCTTTTGGTTCTGTGTGACCGGAGGAGAAGATAAATATTCACTCACCCTCGATAATTCCATAATACAGTTGGACTTACCCCCGTCGAACTTCAAAAGCTTGACTTGAATATTTCCCAAAACCGTCATTCAGATCATTCGACAACATAAATATGAGTTCACAAAAATGTCGTGTGTGCATTCAGTCCAATTCAGCACAAAATGAGCGGTTCAAAGGAATGCAGTTGCGAAGTCCAGGTCAATATAACTTCAGTTATTTATGACAAGTTCTGTAGGCCTACAGCAATGACAGTTTTTCAGTAATGATGACGACGATGCCGCAAACATGCATGTCGAAATGCTGCAGCGGTCCTGTACATGAGGCCGGATTTTTGGTCGACTTGCCTGTGCTTGGAGCCAGCAAATTTGACGTTTTTCGCGCCCGTGTAAAAACTTCCGCAGGCTAGTGCAACGGGCCGTCTTTGTGCTGTCTTTAGTCTGGTTCAAAGACTTTGCTGCCGCCTCACCTTTCTATGCATGGCAGAGTTGCCAAACTATGGAAGGGCCAGCACTGCAAAAATGAAGACTAGTTATTAAAAATTGCAAAAATACTAGTTGAACGTTAAAAATACAACTTCTCAACAAAGCTACACAATAGTTCCTAAACATGCCCTTTTTCTACGTATTGAGGGCGTACAGATGACTATTCTGGAAAAATATGTTGTCATGTACGAATTCAATTTACGCGCTTGCGGCAGGCCATACAGAATGGCGCCAATGTTTACAAACAGTATACAGGTATAGAAAGGTCTGAAATTAGCAGGGCTTCTTTCCGCACGAGTGAAAAAAATAATACCTATGTGATTTGGGGTACCATCCATCAAATTGTGGGCCACATTGCGGACTGAATCACGGGCTAGCTGAGGCGTCCAATGCCCGGTAAATGTGACCGTCCGTGCTACGGTGTTGGCGCAGCTAGCCCGGGGATCCAGCCCGCGATGCAGCCCAACATTTGATGGATAGCACCCCAAACACACTGGTATTTGTTTTTAGAGTTGTTTTTGTTTTGTTTTTCGAGTTATTGTGTGCATCATAATAAAAAAAATGCTGGATAATTTTACTTATGACGAATGAATAGAGACTTCTGCCAAGAAAAAAACCCAGAAATCTTGGCCCTTGTACATTTTCAACTGGGCCGCTTACGCTTCCGCCTCATTGCCCTCATTTGCATAACTCATCATTATGGGGTGAAAAACATATCATACCTGAGTATTTTTAACACCAAGCTTTTCCAGAGGGCGCTCATACCCCTTACAAAACCTATAACCCTTAAATAGTGCAACGAACAGCGAATATTAATATGCAAAACTATAACCCGATTAATCAATATTTTATAGCACTCAATAATAAATTACGCACGACCGAATGAGATTATTTCGCGAATCGATTTTTATTGGGGGGGGGGTGAGAGCTCTGTATCTTTTTGAACTGCAGCTGTTAAATTTTCGGCCCTAACCGTCCTTGATGAGTGTATAGGTATATTGAACTGCGTGTGCTATTTTCATTTTTTTTTAAACCGGGTAATCAGTTGAGATGGTTGGAGTTGTATAGGCCAACAACTTGCGATTTTTTTTGTTCGGACCAGTACTATTTGTTACTTCTGTCCGCAGAGCGTAGTCTATATCATTCATTGAAAGTGCGAATTTTGAAATCGTCATATACCCGTTTCTTCGAGGATTGTTTGTTAAGAATTGTCAAAAATGAAACTGATGGAAGTGTGTCTGATTGTCCAAGATCATGCTGCGATCAAGCTAGTTACGACTAGTGTTGAGGACGTCTGACGATCGCCTATAGCAAAGTTGGTGAGAACTGAATGTAGCCTATTGGAAGCGACACCGAAAACTCCAATTTCGCTGAAAACGGGGCTTGGCCGATCGTTCTACATCGCTCAGGCCACTCGAGACCTGATTGCTGTTTTGTAGACGGCCATAAGATAGTCTGTATGTATCAGATAATCTCCGTGAGAATGACCGAGATTCACATGGCCCTGGTGGCCTGTCTGGTGCTAGGTACTCTCCTGCAATTCGTTATTCTTCCTGTGTTTTACTTCAGACGTGGTGTACATCGGGATACGAACTGGGGCCAGTTTGAAGGTGGGTATAAATCGTCGATATCATATTCATTGTTTTTCCTTTACGTAACTAAGTTCAGAAAATACTAATTAAAAATGTGACGAAATTTAGCAATGTGAGTTTGAATAACACTTTGTAATATTTGAGGAATGGTTTAGAATTTGTGATTTTATCACACCCAATGTAAAGTATTGTGCCCGGTCTCGACAGTAAAGTGTGAATTAAAGGGAAGATACAACATTTGCAAACATCAAAAAACGAAATGATCAAATTGTCACGAAATATCTCACTGGATTGTTAGGGAATGACAGTCTAAAGCGTCCTGTAAAGTTGTGGCTCCTGGTGTGCTGACATTTTCAAGAAAAACTGTATTTTTCCAACGCTGGTCGGCCGACCAGCGTTGGAGAAAACTGGCTTTTTTTTCAAAAAGTGCTCCTATTTAGTTCGTCTGCATTTTCTTTGCAATTGATTACACACCTGTGAAGACTACAACCCTGCTAGACTGATTCTCTGATCTTACAATTCCCAAAAGGCTATAAATTACTCCGTTTCATCTAAAGTGGGGTCAGGGAACCACACTACAAGAATATGATTGGTTTTCTTGGTTTTTCCAGCATCTACGAACACAAACCGTGAAACAAGTCATTGTAACAATATTTGCTATAACATACTAATCCTCCAAATCCATTTATTTCTGAAAATTGCAGCAGAACAAAATGTTGTACATTCCCTTTAATACTTGACATAATTAAAAAATGGTTTTGAGAAATGCAGTTATCAGGTTTCTTCATGGGAGAATTAGAATAGATTACTATTATACATACATAATTTATATACAGTGTATGAATTGAAACAAATCGTACGTACATTGCGGGTGCGACAGTGAGATTAAAAAAAATGATTGATTGGAATTCGTTAGAAACATGCCAGATGTCACTGGCCGATTTCCGTTCAGGCTAGTAATTTTATTGTCTCTGGACAACAATAGACATTTACTTTTTTTCATTGACGCACTGAATGAATAGGTTAATGCAACGTCAACACCACGCACACACAATCACGCCGTGGCAGCGTGGCATTTTAATCTATCAATGCAAATCAGTATATACGCATGTGTTCTTTATTAAGTATGGAACAGTACGAAATGGCGAAGAAATTTAATCATTTATATATTCCTCTGTTTTGGGTTTGTATTTGTTGCAGAACGAGATATCTACATCACCAGTGAATTCAGCAGGGTCCATTTTGTGGACAGAACCATTTTCACAGGTACACTCGAAACATTTTCTTAAAAATTATTTGCATCGCGTTTGTTATCTCTCATTGTTGTTTCAGATAAAACAGGCAAAAGTAAATAGAGACAAAGCGAGCAATGTAGGCCAAGTTCGGGCAAGGACCATTTGTCGACTAGTGGTTGATTTGTGACGTACCTTACGCCTGCGCACTGATAGCAACGTGCGAACGTCTCTAGTCAAACGCTGGTCAAAATGTCATCGCAAAACTTCTGGATCCTGGCTCTCTGCTACCGTTATGAATGCGCGCGGCTATTGGTTACCAGCGAAGCAACCAACCCCAGTAGGCTGGTTCCAAATAGTCGACTAGCGTAGTCAACCACCGTCGACAAGACAGAGTTCGGGCAAACGTATAGTTAACCATTGGTCAAGTATAGTCCTTGCGCGAACTTGGCCGTAGTTGTGTTGTTCGTTAACATCGGCCCTTATGGATACAACTTATGTTATTTTTTTCTTCAACCATTAATAATTATTTGTCAATGAAATACTGATGTTTCTTAGTTCCAGCAAGAAACGACAGTAAAGCTGACAGAGCCCTGTTTCGTCAGATGCCTGAGTGCCCAGATTCAGATATTCCAAATCTAAGTGAGTATCCTTTAACTTCAATATCCAATAAGCACATAATTACAGTCAATGTAGCTCGGTTGTCAAAAGTTCCAACACCATACGAACTCCATAGAAGCCCTCGAGCTGGGCTGGGAGTTTATCACAAGAACCCACACGACTAATAGATTTATTTCTTGCTGTCAATACCAGATAAAATGAACTTCTTGGATCTCGATGATTTCACCATGGAGCAAGCGGAGAGTCTTATCTTCGGAGAGGAGGCGATGAAGAGAGCCAAGGAGGCCACAGTGTTAGCTGACTCGGTCATCCCAAACCTCATCAACAGGACCGACTGGTTCCAAACCTTGGGTAGAAGGAGGATTGAGGCTCACCTAGGCAAGTTGGAGATGAAGATAGGGAACTATACCTTCATCCCAGGCGGCCATTGGCGGCCCAATCAGTGCATACCAAAATGGAAGGTAAGATGCATCTAAGTCTGGCTTTGATATATTCCTCCACAAAAAAAAACCTGTCTAAAAGTTTCCCCACATTACAATGTCTCGGGGATGAGACCTGACAGCAACGTTGCAATCTCCTTTTAGTGCAAGAGCCTATGTCAAATGTCAAAGAAAATTGAGCTTGCATTTTGTACTTAAATCGGTGTCTGTTTCAAACGAATTTGTCCTTGCATTAAATTTGTCTGTGTAAAACATTGTTTTGGTTTTAAGCAACAGTGAGAACACCTGCTTATTAACCCTTAAACCAGACAAATTGTATTCAACATGACACCCGCTTATTAAACCTTACACCTGATAAATTGTATTCAAGATGAATGCGACAACACCTGCCAAGGTTTTACGAAACTGGATTCTTCTGAAGCGTTCGCATTAATTTGTTTAAACAAGTTTATCATGTTGAAGAAATGTCAAAGTGATACTAAATACACTTCAACATTCCCTGCCTTTAATTTTCCGTTTGTTATATTTCGTTTTATTCATCCAGGTTGCTATTATCATTCCGTTTCGGAATCGATCTCACCATCTACCTATCTTCCTTCGCTATCTGGTTCCCATGCTGCAGAGGCAGCAACTAGAGTTTGGTATCTTCACTGTCAACCAGGTATTTTTCTTTTATGAAAGTTGCCCACACATGCCCTTGGTTTTTAAGGGCCATGCACTCGAGGCGACATCACAAAGAAGTGATAATGAAGGGGTTATCTAAGAAAAAAAATCATGCCTTCTTGAAGTGCAAAGATAAGTTTTGACGTTACAATGCTGCAATATTTGCAGCATTAAAAACCAACAAATAATGTGGACCCTCCAAAACACGGATAGGCTGGACTTTGAAAAACTGGAATTTGAAAAATAGAGCTGGACATTGGAAATATTTGACAGTAGAATTAAAGGTCATTACAAAAATGATGAAGATAAACTCTACAATCCGAGAAGAGAGTGGGTAGGCCTATGTCTAGATTGCACTTTGGATGTTAGATGGTCCGAAATTCCTCGTATTATCATCAGATTCGGAAATTCAAGGGGAAGCACTGTATCTCTTCGAAGATACAGCGCAACATTATTTTGTCATCTGCTTCTTTTTTTTTACAGGAAAATGATCTGAGCTTCAACAGAGCGATGCTTATGAATATCGGGTTCCTGGAGAGCCTGAATATATCGCAATGGGATTGCTTCGTGTTCCACGACGTTGATCACGTGCCACTGAGCGACCTGAATTACTACGGATGCTCCAACATGCCACGGCATTTCATCAGCGGCGATAGTAATTGGAATTACACGTAAGGGAACAATCTGTTTTGTAATGTGCCATCTGTCGATGGGGGCGCTGTTCAAAACCGACGATTATGCACACTAACGGACAGTATATGGTGCTTTTCAGGGCGATACGTGCGTAAAAATAAAAAAAAAGCACCCGGAACAGCCGATGGCACACAAAATGGCACCACTTCTTTGAAGGTCACTTGTTCAGAAAAAAAGGCACTCTTTACAAATTATTGGGGGTGGGGTAATCGCTGGTGAAAAAAGGCATTTGTGGAAAAGGGCAGTCTTTACAAAATATTGGGGGGATACCCCTTGCCCCCCCCCCCCCGCGCTGGCTACGCCTATGTTTATGATCCTCGATTAAATCAATATTACCGATCTTTTTCACACCCATCTGCAGGATAATCTACGAGCTCCTGTTCGGCGGTGTGACGGGTTTTCTCGAGAGCAACCTGCGGAAAATGAACGGCTTCCCCAACGTGTACTGGGGCTGGGGAGGCGAAGACGACGAAATCTATCTGCGAGCCAAGAAGGTTCAATTGAGAGTTGCTCCCAGACCAAAAGGGCGCAATCGCTACATTGGATTCTACAAAGTCATTGAGCATCACCACAACAGTGCACAAGAGATACCAGAAAGGTACAAAATCTCACCATAATAGTTAAAGGGACCATTGAAATGATATATCTGTAATGCAATCCTTGAAAATGCACCTGTGTGTCCCTTTAATCTTATTTACAATTGTCATTTCGCCATTTTCAAGAGTATTTTGGTGCCTTGTTGGTTTTTATGCTAATGCGAATTTCCATATTCGTGAGCAAAAGTGTGATGTCATATCAGGCAGAAACCTTGACGTTTGCAATTAGGTTATGCACAACCCAGTTAGTTTTGGTTCTCTGATTCAGGTTTTCTTCTGTGTTTCTGACGCTTTACCTTATGCAGCATCGTTCTCGACATTGTCCTCCGAGGTGTTATAAGCTGAAGTTTGCTTTAACACTTTGGAGTATAGGTTTGATCTTGAAGAACTTCTCAAGCCGTATGGATTACTACGGTCTAACTTCAGGCTGCTTGGGTTAATATCAGGAGGCTTCCATCAATGTCTTGTGTCTTAATGTTTATTTGTAACTCTCCGTATAGGTTCGATCTGGTGAAGAACTTCTCCAGCCGTATGGATAATGACGGGCTAAGTAACCTCAGGTACCCGCCCCCTCGTCTTGAGATCCATCCGTTATACGTCAACATCTCCGTGGACATCTTCAGATTTGAATTGGAGGAGAAATGAAAGTGGACAACTTCGAAAAGAGGATCTATCACAGTGGATATTACAGTGGGCAAAAACATTGCTTCGTGAATCATGACAAAGAACAGATTAAAGAACCCGGAAAAAGCTATTTTGTTTTAAGCTGTGCTGACATGGCTCCTAATTCTACTTTAATCAGACTAATTGCTCAAAAATGCACAAGTGTAATACTCAAAACATGATTTGACACACAGAGTAAACCTTTGGATGGAAATTCCTCTGTTTAAATCCAACCTGTAAAATCGCAAGTTAACAACAGGTGTGAAGATCAACATGTATTACTTGGTATGTATATGCAAATTTAAACATTGAGAACCTTAAATTTACAAAAAGACATTGAAGCATGCTTCGATAATGTAAATTGGAAGGCAGTAGATTCGTAAAACGTTGGTAATCATCTCAACCCCATCACTTTAAATCTTCCTCGTGAGCTAGAATGCTACACTTTGTCTCATTTCCCCTCGATATTTTGGTTTTGTCACGGTGTCTTTGTTACTATAATTGAGGCTATGTTGCATGTATATCTCCTTCAGAGGCTATTAACAAGTCCTTGTGTGCCCTTTTACCCTTTGAGTCAATTTTATGAGTTTATTTGACCACATCTAAGTATCTGATAGCCCCACTTTACCACCTTGACTTTTGCAAGTGAGCCCTACAGTAATGACTTCTGATTCGGTGGCCAAATAGACCCGAGAATCATCTACGCGATGAAGTAAGCGGAGCCGAAGACGTCCATACCGCTCTGGTCCCAAGTCTGCACGGACGCGCTGCCGCCGTTGATGGTCATGGGGCACACCGCGTTGCGATTGGTCAAGAAGCAGGTCGAGAAAATGGCGATCTCGAACTCCGGACTGACACCGTACATGATGGAAGTCAGGGGCTTGACTCGCCCCTCCCACTCAAACTGGTAGAGCACCTGGCGAGGCTGGGGGTGAAAAAAATCGCTAACAATGATGACTTTGGTTTTTTAAATTGTTTTTAAAGTTAGGCCTACTGTGTTTTACTCGCTGTTAAAAAATTACAAGGTCCAATATAGGGTGAGTAAAATAAAACCAAAACCCAAATGTCGGGACCATTGTTTTACTGAAGTTCTGCATGTAGCACTTTCAAAATCTACGATATGAAAGCCCAATTCATTAGCTTTCTTTTAGTATAAGAATCATTCAATAAATTTACGGAATTTTAAACACAACCGTCGTTTTAAAGTTCTGTCCACGGATCACAAAATGGTGAGTGTCCTTTAAGCAAAACGAAAACAAATCATGCACATAGGGATGTGTGTGAACAGTAGTCCTGACATTTGGGTGTTTATTTTTAACTCACACTGAACGGGTACAAAATGAGTGGTTCATGCTCTGGTACAGCTGACTCCATTTATCCTATATCATTAGGGATAATTATAGATAAAGTCTATTTTCGTATATTTCCTCATTTAATCCCTCTATCATTCTAAAGCTGACCAACAACTTATGAGAAAGGCCGGCTGCAAAAGATACTAAATTTATAATCTGGTAAATTATGTTTAGTTGAGGGCTCAGACGTTTTTAACGGAGACAGGTGTAAAAACAAAATCATGTTTCTTTTCCGGTGGATGTCGTTGATTGTATATCTCTACATTTTTGCACTCACTGAAGTTGTCGTGCCGATCTTTTTAGACAAAAATTCGTCCTTTGAGGCATAATCGCCCTGATTTCTTTCCTTCGTTTTTACGATTGTTCGTAATAAGGAGAATCTATTCCAATTATCGCTGTGTATTCATATAAATGTTTTGCTCATAATAAGGGTGTCGCCCGTTGCATATTCAAAGCACTTAATTATGCACCCACCTCTTGAATATTCATATATCCATAGTAGTTCATGACCCCTTCCTGCTCCAGTTGGTACATACGGACCCAGCTGTGGAAGCCAGATATCGATGAACTGCTGGACCACTCGCCAGCAAAGACGTGCTCGAAGCCCGAGGTATCGCTGGTAGCTTTGCGAGTGTAGGGCGTGAAGAGAAGGCCGCGTACAAAGTCCTTGTACTCGGAAAGGCTGGAGTAATACCCTGCAATGAATGGAATAGACCGATCCATTATCCGGTTCGTTAGTGTGACGTCACCTCCAGCACTTTCTGCACGATTGGAACCGGAAGTTAACGCAGCTCGAGCGTTTGCAGCCAATGGGCGCTAGTAATCAAGGGTGTGCGCGCGTGTATGACGTTTTTACTAACGAACCGGATTAAGCCCCGCCCCATGACGTGGGACCAATCACAGCCTTGGTTTAATGTCCGACAAGCGTGCATGCGCGAGCGCGCGTACAATGCGCGCAGCTGGAACATGCAGTGTGCATTGAAGAGGCCCACGTGTTGCTATCAGGATTTCCCTCAGCAATCGCTGGTATTATTGTAAGTCTTTTTTCTCAATGTCGTTTAGTTGCATGGGTCTCAGTTTACTTAGGATTTTTATCGTGACGGTACTCGGCACGTTTCGGCTGGATATCGGCTTGCCTATGCTTTGCTTTGCTTGGGACTTTTTAGTTTTGACCGGAATAGAATGAATGATTGGACCTCATCTGAAGAATTCAGTGCTCGTACCTAGATATTTGGCGTATTGATACGCGATGTCCATGACGTCAGTCTCAAACATGGCGTCCATGAAGGCGTCTTGCTCAGCCTGCTCTGCTGCCGTGGTTACCTCTGTCTGACCTTGAGATGTGACGTAATTGTCGAAAAGGGCGCTCATCGTCTTGTAGGTGTCGCGCTGGAGAAACGCGGTGTTCACGGAGGAAAATAACCTGTACCAAAAGGAAATGAGCAACAGAGGTAAAACTAATCACTGCTTATGTTACAAGTGCCGTCTGGATATTTAAACACGCATCGTGACGTAAATTTTTAAAGATCGGTTCGAAACCAGTAGTTCCAAGCTAATTATGTAGACGTAGGGTCCAATCTTGGGTGTTTATGTACATGTATATAATCTACGCATTGTGAGTCTGCCAACTAGAAGGCGCACGTACAGACTGAAGTGTGAACTTAGCCCTTACCGGCGACCAAAGGTATACCAGGTGGTACGCACGCGCGCACTCGGTAATAATGACCAATAGGGTTTTGCAAATTGAAGGCGCGCGTTAGTCTGGCGCGCGATTAACAAAAAGTAGTCTGTAGCGCATTCTCTCTTCATTGGGAGCTGAAGTGAGGAGTAGCACCGGTGTCATATGAAAATCGGACTCCTATGAAATCTGGACTCCTTTACCCTATTATTGGTTAAAGTTTAACCCTCTCGCGTGAACGGTCACTCTCTTCACTTAGGCAGGCTTTATTCACTAAGCGAGGTAAAATCTGATATATATCTTAAAATATCGTATAAAAGTAATAGTCCGTATTTCATACGGTCCTAAATTCACGCTACACCGGCAACAAAGGTGATAGACTCACGGCTGAAACGACAAGTCCCTCTCGTCGTTGGAGTTGCTGATGTAGTTACCAAAGTTGAGCGAGAAATCAGAGTCGGACAGGCGGTTCACATCGGCGTTCCAGACGGCGTTGGCAAATTCGTCCATGTTGGTGGGGACATCGCCATCGATAGGGTCAGATGGGACTGGAGATTCTCCTGATAGAGTGCCAGAAAAACAAAACAGGAGACGTGGAGTCTATTTCCCTTTTTCTGACTTGCGAGTCAAGACATCAACAATTCTTTGAGGCAAGTTGTAAATTCGTGTAATGTTCAGGAGATTTTCTATGCTAGCCTACTGTGCTCTTCCACAAGATTCCATTAGCGTGCAGTGCATGTGGTCGCTTGAGAGAATTGCAAGGGCGGATCCAGGGGGGCAAGTGGGGCCAAGTGACGTCGCTATAAAGGCAGGCACTGCTTACACCACCATCTTTTCCTCAAAAAAAAATGGTCAAAGTGGTCAGAAATTGCCCCAGATCGCACCACAGGGCATTTAGAATCCAAAAAAGCCCCGAGCCCCACGCCACACAATTTTGCCTCACTTTTTTTGGGGGGGGGGGCGAAATCCCCCCCCCCCTAAAAAACAAATTGTGTTCTGGATCCGCCCTTGGAGAATTGCCTCACCGTCTTTCCTTTACCTTATCAATACCAATATTGCTAACTAACAATAACTTCCTTTCAAAACAATGGATCTTTACACTGACCTGCGCATTGGGTGTTGTAGTCTGTACAACAGTCGCCGTATGTGATGCAGGCCGAGTTGCATTGACAGGGATGGCTCGAGTCAAAACTAGTGTCACAGCGGCCCTGGCAAGATCCTGGTTGTTGTGGTACCAAAAGTAAAAAATAAAAGAGGTTATTTTCTGTTATTTCGGTGTAACTAGAGAAATTCACTTTTGGAAGGTGCATTACATTAAAACCGAGTGTGACAAGATTAACACATAAGCGAGTAAGGCATAGGCCTACATGTAGCACCAAAAAAAATCAAACACGCAGCTTCACTGATAAATAATTTGCTTGTAATAAAGTCTTCAAGTGGCATCTTACCGAGCACACAGTGAAGGTTGTAGTCGCTACAACAGTCGCCATATTTGACACAGTTGGTGTTGCACTGACAGCTGAACCACCTGCTGAAGGGATTGCCACACCGGCTGTAGCATGACGCACCATTTGCTCCTGGTAAAGAGACAAACATGGTATAACATTTTTAAAGGGCAGTGCAGTATAACAAACAGACGAATCTTAAAAACAAATCGGTATAATGATGGTAGAGAACTTTCTACCCTGTCTTTCTCTTTTCCCCCTATATATATAAACTTTACCAGCTTTTGTGATCAAATGTAAGATAAAACGTGAATTTTATTCTTACTTGAGACCGAAATGGGAGCATATTGTATGACTTTACATTATCCTATACCAACTTCAAAGGTTAGGCATTACACGTTTGCATAATGATTGCCCTGGTGTTACGCACCAAAATTGTACATATCCATGACAAAACATGTGAATATTTAATAGAGACAATTTATTTAAAATGCACATACCTGTGAAGGTCGCAAGCAGAGCTAAAGACACCAATGCGAAGAATTTCATCGTGAAGGTTGGGAGTTTTCACTACTTCGTTTGCTCATCGATTCTGCAGCTGCTTTTATACCGCTTGTCAATGTTATTTTATCAGACAATTCCGACAGATTATAACTAGATTTTCTCTCAAATTAGAGCTTCATTCTTTGTGCAAACAGATTTGCCCGCTGTTCCGACAACGACCACTTTTAATCGGTCAATAACATCGCATAATTAACACTGGAAGATTACGTTTCATTCGAAAGTGTTCTCGTGCGAATCTCATGTTTCTTCCTTGAATTCATGTCACTTCCGTTGATTTTTGTCTGTCGGTAAATGTGATCCATAAATGAAGTGATGACGTCACATAACCACAGCGTGAATTCGTGAAACTTGAATCAGGATATGAAAAAAATTTAACAACAAACGCGCACGTACTGTTTAATGTGGAATCTCGTCCATGCTGCTTTTGACTTGTAAAACTTTATTTTTGAATCACAAGTTTCCATTATCATTTATCGGGTTATTTTTTTCAATGTAAAATTTTCTGGTAATACTTCCCTACGTTTTTTTGTTATTATTATTATAATTATTTATTCAGCCAAAGAATACAATTTACAATAGACATAGACTACAATACATATATCGATACCCAAGAGAAAACAAAGAGAGGGAAAAAGCTTATCACCAAGATGGGCTATATAAGGGCAACAAAAGCCAAAAACAAATACTGCAGTCAATAGACCTGTTACCCCACATCTTGGTGATAGTAACTTAAGGAATTATAAAAAAACACTTATAAATTATACACTTACAAAAACGTATCACTGAAGACATGATGCTGAAGCTGAACATTACCCACGAAACCACCTCATGAACAAAAACAAAAACAAAAACATTACTTGTCAGTCAATAGGCCCAAATCTACTTAAGGATGAAAACCAATCATCCATGGAAAATGAAAGATGACAAAATTGTACGAATAGGCATTGAAAGAATTAGTCTTCAAATCATTTGCCTTTGTTTCTTGCTTCGGTATTTGATGATCGAGTTGTAATTGTAGGCCATCGGTCATCCGGAACCAGTCTCGTCCAGAGCAGGTGCAAACCCAGCACTGTGGCCGCGCACAGACCAGACACTACCGCTGCGAAGACAAAAGCAGTGCTGTAACTATTGGTCATGTCGTACAGGGTTCCTGCATATAGGGAAGATATACAATGTATACAATCAAATATACCACGGATAGCTGTGTTATATTTCCAATATGATACTACATGGTGAACTTGATAAGTGCTACTATAAAATGGATGCCTACAATGTTATCCTGGAGTTTAAGGTATCAAACGAGAAGTATTCAATTCAAGCAGTGTGAACATATTCTTCTAATGATATCCCATGTATGTTCTGATTGCACTTGATTTGTTTTTGTCTCGTCCTGTTTGTAATTGGTCCCTTATATCTCTGTATGTGTAACTTAAAGTTTACTTCACTGTGCATAGTTAAGTTAAAGGAACAAGAGTAATTAGTAGTTATCTTGATATTTTTTTCTACTCATAACGCGGCGGACTTCTTCACAGTTGACAAGCTTGCTTTTTGAGAAGCCCACCGCTTATTCTATATCAGTTTATCTAAATTATTGTCTAAACATTTTCTTTTCAGAATGATTAAGTGTAAATACATATGAATATGAGTATAAGGAGTGTGTCATAAATTACTATTTTTGGAGCTTGCAGGCAATTTATATATAACAATTGATTTTGCCCTGTAGCCGTACCTCCGATGAATGCTGACGCCATGTTCCCCGTGGCAACAATCACCATGACGACACCGATGCCTCCGGGGTATCTCTCCTGGCCCACGATCCTGCGAACCATGACTGACGTCATCGGGATGTACACCCCAGCAGCCAGCCCGATCGTAGACGCACACACCGCAAAGACGGGATAGCTGGCGGTGGCGGCGAACAACACCAAAGCACCGGATGCTAGGGCCACGGCGGAGCCAAACATGCACGCTGGCCCAGCCACTCGAGCGTCTACGAGTTGACCGGAGATCAGGCACGCGATGATGTAAGACACACCGATGATGGAGATCAGGGTGGTCGCTTGGAGCTCCGGCACGCCCACCGACTCGGCTAGAGCGGTCAGGTACGGCAGCGTGATACCGTATATCGGAGCGTCTGTGATCGAAATTATCAGAAAGGTTACGAAGACGCGGTTGGTCCAGAAGAGAGATATGCCGGTGCGATCCAGGAGCGTCATCAGTCTCTCTGTGATAATCCTCTTCGCTGTCTTTGCCTCACTGCATGGATCAGAGTTCACCTGTGAGGAGCTGACGATTTTGTCATCATCCTCATCTTTATCTTCTACAAGATGACTGTAAGGAGACCCTCCCTGTATCCCCCGACGCTCGCCGATGCTGCCATAGTTACCAGTCACCTCTTTCTTTCCATCTTCACCCGTCTTCGTCTTTCTCGGTGGGCTTCTCATTATGGCTGCACACAGGCACGCGTTGGCTTGCACTGCGCTGAAGACTAGCAGAGCTCCTCTCCATCCGTAACGGTCGATCAAGTAGCCGAAAAAGATTGGCAGGACCACAGTGCCGACACCGGTCCCCGTTGTTGCTATTCCTACGGCCAGTGCAAAGTGCTGATGAAAGTACTCACTGATGATAACCATGACGCCAGTATACGACATTCCAAATCCGATGCCTGAAACAAGCAAACAAACAAACAAACAAAGGTTGCAAACATTTTGGGACGGTTGGAAGTTGCCAAACAAAATGGCGTGACGCACTGCGCGATGGCCTGCAGCAATCATATCACAAGACCAACAGACACAAAAAAGTGCATGCACTTGCGGCTTTCAATCCCACAGGGCGTGCATATTAGGCTGCATGTAGGCCTAATAACAGCAGACTATGTCAACTTCACAACTTGGCATATACCATTATTAAGTTTGATAGCATTTGTGACTTTAGTTAGGCGTGATCGCTGGCTACATAGGATATCCTACGGGTTTTAAGGCTTCTGACTATATAGCGCCCCTGGAACAAACTTTGTTTAAGACATCAACGAAATGGGAACCGCCAACACAGCTCTGGATAGCTCAGTTGGTAGAGCGCCGTAACGGCAATACGGAATTCGCAGCTCCAGTCAATTTCTTTGCTCAACTTTGAAACAACGGTTTATTTTTGTTGAAGTCCTTGAAACTGATCAACAAAAAAGATGACCGGAAAATGTGGTCTATTTACCTGCCATGAATGGAAGTGTAATGATCAGGACGTAAACGTCCGTGGCAAATGACGCTATGAGGATCCCGGGAAAAGACAGGAGGGCACCAGCCATAGCTACGGGACGAACTCCAAAATATCTGGTCAGCGCACCCGCCAAAGGGGCTGTGGAAGAAAAAAGGGCAACAGATAGGTCCCATAGCGCCATGCAAACATCCCCCCTCCCGGTCCAACCCCAAATAAACCAACAGGTGGATCCAGCATTGGCGCAAAGGGGCGAGGCCTGAGGATAGCTGTCAATGGATGGAGGGGTTTGCTACTTGTTTTCTGCATGATTTTCCAATTTTTAGCGGCCGGGGGAAACAAAGGTGGATCCAGGAGGAGACAAAGGTGGATCCAAAGGGAGGGGGACCAACAGGGACCATGCCCCCCCCCCCTCCAAAAAAAAAATGAACGAACCAATTGCAATTAACATTGCGCCACCATTCACCAATGTCATGAAGAGTCCTAGTGCCCCCGGGCCCCCTTGCTTTTCGTATTCAAGTTAAATTTGGGTCGGAAAATGTTTGGACCCACTTTTTTCGGGATTAAAAATTGTGTTCTGGATCCGGCCTTGGGGAGAGAGAACCCGGGCCTACCCCCTAACATCCCCCGTGGATCCACCAACGGAGCCACGCACCACTGAAATTAAACACATCGCCATGCAGAACTGGTCAAACTGCATAAGGAGCGGTTAATTTAATATCTCACAAACTACACTGTCGCCTACATGTATAAAGCCTGTTTTAATTCAGATCAAAGAGCCGTAAAACAATAGACTTGACGGCAGTTGATGTAACAATAAATGGTTGCAGATTTAGAAAATGACACAAGGTATTTTAGTTAACTTACAAACACACAAAAGCATGGTCAGTAAAGACGATGACAACCATCCGATGAGGGCAGCACTCTCGGGAAACTCGGCGAACCATTCGATGTAGAACACGCCGATGGCACTCGCCGCGCCATAGGTAAGACAGTTGACCACGAAACCGGCCAGTAAAATAGGCCAGTGGCGAGCCTCTGACTCCGAGGAAGACATCTGGCTCAGCTGAAAGAAAAATGTTGGAGTTCTATTTATTTTTCCAGGAGAACATTGGGTGTTCGACTTCTTACATCAGGGTCACATTTTGCCGAACAAGTTGGTAAAAGGTAGTGCTGCTTGATAAAGCTGCTGGTCGTGGGGTTGTAATGCATGGCGTCAGTTTCTTCTCAACACTAATCCGATTTTGAAAGTACGGCCGCTGAAGGTTATGGTATAACCTTTAGGTGCGTACCATGCCTGAACGCCTATCACAGGTACTTTCTGTACAGCAGGCTGTACTCAAACGGGGGTGCAACTCAGTGGTTCGAAATGCCAAAGCCAGTCCCAGTAAACGCCAGCCCAGAGCCCAGTAGTAAAAAAGTAAACTCGGATTGTTGAAATCGCTGAAATTCCGCCGATAATAAAGAATGACAAATCCTGCATTCGTACGCAACCTTTCACTGGTCAAGTCAGATTCTGACCGAGCCTCGATCGCTGAAAATGAGTGAAATACCTATGCGTAAATACGTCGTCATGTAGTGTCTCCCTCTAAAGTCCTGTTACAATTCTTTCTTTTTGGATTATCATAAGTCGGGGTTCGGCCCATGTAGGGCCAGAAACAAGTACGAATCAAGCAAAATGCTACGCTTGTTAAATCCACCTTTCCATGGTTCAGATTTCGTTATACATTATTGGGAAAGAATGTTGCAACCTGACGCCACTTTTTTTCCTTCATATATCATCTCAATGAAGGTCAGTCATTGCAATAATGGTGATATGACAGGAATCTGGGACCATTGGAAACATTTCCAATTTTGTTAGGAAATACTTAAAACAAATTCTTGACTCTCATGGACTTTGTACACAACTGCTGAAGTCAAGTATAGCGTCTGGATACTATCTTTCCCTTTAAACCATATCCATAACGTACATATAGTAAAACATGGTTAACATGGATAAAGTTTCACAATGGAACATTGTTAACAAATAACATGGATATAAAGTTTTACAAACACACGTGCAGGCCCTATAAAATTGTCTTGACTCGATAGACTTTGTACACAACCGCTGAAGTGCGCGTCAGGTTGCAACATTATTTATTATAAATTTTTGACAACGTACGTCATTGGTGGTGTACAGCCCATTATGAACCACTTCCCGTATAGAATAAGATACAAAGTTAAAGTTATCAGTTAAAGATAAAAAGTAAAATTAACATGATGAAATCTACGACCAACGAAAATAACCAAGGAAGATAAAGTAGACATACGAACAAACTAAATCACACAATAATGAAACGTAAAAAAAAATAAAAATTCTTTCCAATTATTGAAAATACGTCGCCAGAGTACTGAAACGCCACTCCATTTAATTGTATTTACGTGTAGGCCTACTCCTTTATTCCTATTAACGAGGACCGTGCACTAAACTGTGGACTTTGTGAAATCGGAAATAGTGTTCTGTAAACTCACCTCAACACGCGGTGAACCAAAATGTTTTTCATTGTTCGTCTCTATACAGCGGTATCTATTTGATCTTTCAACTCACCAGCAGGCAAATTATGTTCCAGTATCCTTGATCGTGTGGCTTGTTTTCATCATTTGATATGATTCACATGACATGTGACACTTTGTGCCATATGTTCCGTTTTCAAGTCACTTTTTATATATTCCGATCACTATATAGGAAGTAGACTATGGGCGGCCAAAAGGGCCAAACAATTTAAAACATTAAATATTATCAAAGGAGCAACAAGCAAAACAAAAATCAATCAGCAAATCTAAAATTAACAAAGAAAACAACAGAAACTAAGAACTTTTTATTTAAATACAAAAAAAAATTAATAAATTTTTAATTTAAATATTATTGATAATAAACGTGGAGAGTTGGTAGCTTCTGATTGGTCCAGACTCGATCACGTGGGGGTGTATTAAAATGTGATATAGGCCGGCTTGAAGACTAAATGGCCCCTGAACCAGCATTGATTCAGCATCGTGTAAGCTTAATGATTGGTTTGTTTTAATTACATTGAATTTTGCAATTATTAATTTTGGCCTTTTTGGCCGCCCGTAGTAGACAAGTGTGCATTGACCATGGCACAGTTATTTCTCGATCTTACAATAATATTATTCCAAAAAATAATTGTGTGTTGTTGATGGCACTTCCTTTGGGAATAAAAGTTGACCTCGGATTGAAATTGAAATATATATTTTTTAATGTTAAAACGTTGCCACTGCGGTCCACGTGAAAAGGTAAAACCCCTTAATTGGTTTATGACTATCATATTATGGCGAGATTGGATGCCGCTTGAGTGCAGTTAATACTCTTTCCTGATTGTACCTGAGACAGGCATGACGCCGCAAACAATTATTAGTTAAGCTAGAACAGGTGGTTTTTAAAAGGCTTTGCAGTACAACCGTAATTGATTGCGTTTAATTGCTGACTGGTTGTCAATTTTAAAACCCCATGGCCATATTGTTACAATAGCTCCGGGTGGGGTTAAAAACTGCGACAATATTGCTGATAATTGCAGTTTCGCGATAGAGCTTCTGACGGAAACAAGAAGTTTAGCTAAATTAACTAGAATAAATGGCTGCTCAGAACGGAAGGAATTTAGTTAAACTACCAAATCTTAAAAGAACAAAAATTCAAAAACCGATTTTATGGAATCGGCCCTCCACGACCAATGTCTGCGCATAAAATAACAAGCTCCTAATCAAAAATTACAAAGTCACTTCAAATACAAGATAGCTAGATAGCTCAAAATCCAGTACTGGATGATCTCGTTTATTATCTCATCGGAAAACAAAAAAAATACAAAAATAGTGAAATGCTGAGTAAATAAGTTACTATGCTGTTAAAAAAGGCACAATAATGTATTTATAGATGCATTTTTTGAGATTGTACAAAATGACATAATATATACCATTGAAATGGAAACACAGAGTTTTATAATTGATACAGTACCACATTAAAAGGTAGCTCTGCTGTGAAGTATTCCCTCTGTCCAGAAGCCTGGAATATATTTTGGATACCACAAATTGTGAAAGATTTTACAAAGAAGGCACATAAGCGAGTACTTCATTTCATGTTATTTACTAAATGTTTTAAAAATCATTCCGAATTATGCAAATCACCTGTGGCGAATCTGCAGCACTCAACTATTTTTTTTTCATCAAATAAACCACGCAGGTGTTTTCTACGCTTGTGACCAAAAAGTAGTAAACGGGAAATACAATGCAACTAATAGTACATTTCGCCATTAAATTCGAGGAGAATTTCTAATATTTGAGTCTTTACGTCAGACTTCGGATCTTTTTGTTAACCAAACACAATGGAATGTTTTGGTTCAAAAGTAGCAATATTGTACTGTTTTTGGTTCGTACATCATTTCCATATTGACTCGGATAAGCCAAATCAAATACCATGCTAAACAGACTTTCATGTAGCCAAGTTTTAAACTCAAGTCACAAAATTTACACACACACACAATCCAGGGCCTTCGCAATTTTTGCCAATCTCTGTCAACTTTCAATGGACACACAAAATTTACACACACACACAATCCAGGGCCTTCGCAATTTTTGCCAATCTCTGTCAACTTTCAATGGACACAAACATCAGTAGGCCTACATGTATGTATTTTGTGTTAATAAATCCATGGCGAAACGATACAGTATTATGCCTGTCACATGGTTACAGCGTTCTTTATAAACAGTCCATAGCTGCAAAGCTGGAGCCTCTATAAATCGATCGCATCATCAGCAGTCCTCTTTAAGATGTGTTTCATTGTACAGGGTGGTGAAAAAAGAAGAAATCCCACTTTCGATCGCATCATCAGCAGTCCTCTTTAAGATGTGTTTCATTGTACAGGGTGGTGAAAAAAGAAGAAATCCCACTTTTGACAGGAATTTTCACCGACTTGTTGAGCCTATTTCAACAATTCAATTTAATGGTATTAAGATATTGATCTCATTTGTACATGTAGTTTTATCAGGGTAATTATAACCAGATCAATTTGGAATTAATATCCCTTTTCTAAAACTCTTCCATTTGCGACAAATCAACCCACCTTGGAAATTCCTAGTTTTTGAGTAAAACCCATATATCTATTTCGTGAAAACCTTGTGGAGACCTATTCATCTATAGAAATTGCCCTGTGGAGACCTTTACGATGGTTTATTCCCTATTGTGTGTGTGTCTCCACAAGGCTACGAATTTGTGGTCACCCGGACCCGCTCGCTAACTGGGGCAGCGGTGGTTTACACAGGGGCAGACACGAGAATCAAGTGATGGCTAATCTAACGGTCTTGTAGTTCACTTACACCTGTTAAGCTAATCGAACGCACCCATCCATTCATTAACAATGAATGCACAACAAATCTAGTCATGCGTGTCCTTCTTGAACAAAAGCACACACCTCTAACATGGCTGCCACAATGTAAATGGTCTATTCGATGGACAAATGTGAACGAAGTGTAGCGTGGATTGCTTTGACCCTAATACCAAAATAATAAGAATTGTCAACGAAGTTAGCTTTTCATTTTCCAAATGAGACGAAACGTCTAGCCATTTTGGTGAAATCTGGAGAATACTATATACAATGTATACCCATTAACAGAAATGCTGAAAAAAAACATCATTACAACAAAACAATTCATTCACACTGAAAGTTAAGTTGTAATTCGCATGAGAAAATGTGATTCTACATTACTGTGTTATAATTAATCTGCAATCAACTTTAAAGAAAAAAAAATATTCAAATCCTTTCTTTTATGACACTACAGTTTTCCAAATATATATCACACAGTTCCTTCTACATGTTTATCAAATTACATAGTCTTGGAAGTACTTGGAGATTATCAAAATTATTTAAACAATGTACAAATGCAACCAAAGGTTCAGCATGATCAAGTAATATAAAATATAGTCAGTACAAAAATACTCGACAAACTCTGACCACGATTAAGAAAAAAAAAAAGATATCGGCCATTTTACAAAATGCAGCTACTTTTATTAACAGTAACAACTTTCAGCTAATATTGCATTATTATTTAATATATACAGTCCCACTATATTATTTAAAAGCATTTGTTGGAAAATAGAGCGCGCATTTGGCCACACGTGGAAATCGGCAAATTCGGTGAAATTTACAAATTTGTTTCAGATTATGCAAAGAATGCAAGATATGCAAAGTGTAAGATTAGGTCTATTAACAGTAACGACCCCTAACCATCCCTGAAAAGAAAATATAAACACTAAATGCTAGTTAGTTTTTACCATGTACGCTAGTTTCATACCATGTATAGAAAGTGAAGTTGCTTGTTTTATCAGTTGCTTTCTTTAAGGCAAGACTGGTTCGAATGGAAAGCCAGAACACACTACAGAAAACATCATAAACTACTTGGATATGTCAAAAATAAACCCAAAATCATCATGACAATCAAAAAAAAAAATCCCCAAATCATGATGCCTCACTATGCTAATGCTTACGTAGAGTTTTAATGGTTCTCATTTTATACAGCTCCTTAAAAGTTGATCAAATTAAACATGAGATCACAAGTAATGATGCCCAGTTTTTAGGCGGTTTAACAGGTTTTACAGCATACCCGGGGGTTAACTCGAGTTTTCGGGCGAGTTATCACTTGTTCAATTTTGCATTCTTCCCCAAAAGGGATTGCTTTAAATACTTTTGTGGATGTACGACTATCCACGGTTTGGAAGGGTATAAGCCTATCGCGGTAGAATCACGTCAACGCAGCTTGTGAAATATTGCCCAATTAGCTGATAAACAAATGGACGCGGACCGCGCACAATCCGAGACAAACAAAACTTAACGTACAAAATTTCATAGGGTTGTCTAAGGGGCGTGGCTAACTCGTAAACGGCGATAGGTCAATTGACTGATTTATGAAAGAGAACTGTCTGTTAACAAAGAGAATAACCGACAATACCAATCCCAAATAAATCTGTGGATGCTATGTTACTGTGGACACGCCCTCATCTCATTATTGGATAGTTTTTACCGATAGATTCCTAACACCTGTTGCAGTTTATACTGTACATTATCTTCAATTTGTGGTCCCCACCACGGACATCACACACTTTGACTTTTTCTCACCACCGAGTTTACTCCGCTTCCTTGTAGTTGGGCTCCGTCGCGACGAAGTAGTCATCCAAGTAGGAATGCAGGAACTCGAAGGTGTGTCTGGCGGCAGGATCCTTGTCCCAACACTTCTGCATGAGTTCGTAGAGGGTGTCCGGGCAATTGGCCATCTTGGGCATGCGGTAGCCGTGCTCCACCTGGTCCAAGACCTCCATGTTCATCATACCTTTGAGAGAGAGAAGAAGAAAGGCATCAATTGGACGAATTTCTAGACTTTGTATTTATCTAATGAGAGTCATCCATCATAAGGCACTACTGAAAGGCCATCAAGGGTGAGGGGCCTAGGCAAAGAAGGCATAGAAAAGGACATCTTAGAAATAGAAAATATCCTTAACTCTGTGGTGTGAGCAAGAACTAACACATTCAGTACATCTTATAACACTTTTTAATTATTCTGTCTTTTCTTTGTCAAAAAAATTCATACTCCACAAGTTCCGTATTGAGACATAGCTATCGTGAGTGCCACTTTAACCCTGGTTGAACTTTTGAAACAGAATTACTGAGGCAAAGATCAGACCCAGGCCAATTCATATAGGATTTGTATTGTCCAGCTCCAACCACAAGGCTTGTGAAGTATAGCAGCTGCTAACACAAGGTCATCAATCCTCCTGTCATTAGGCTCAGTCTTGAAGCCTGGAAACTGGTGGTCCTCATCCGTTTTAGCCATGCAGCCTCAGGCAGTTGTGGTGGGGAGGGGGATGTGCAGGCAAAAACCAGGGAGATAACACTTGAACTTTTTTCGCCCGGGTACTGACCTAATACAGAGTAATTCTTCAGCACCGAGATATCCCTACTATGCAAAACTTATGCTCATTTTACTTAAAATTTTATTTGTTGAGAGTGCTGGTGGAATCCAAGGAAACACATGGAGGTAGTGATTCCTTTATTGCGGGGGGACGTATAAAGACAAAAGACAAGTTTGGCGCAAAACCGCAAAGTGGTTACTCTTTTCTAAGTCGGCACTTGTAAACAGAAAAATGCTACTCGAAAAATACTCGAAAAATACTACTACTTACTTCAACTAGCGCCAGGACCCGTTCTCGAGGAGATGAAAAATCACGAAAAGAAGAGCGAGTTGCAAACACTACTCGAGAGAACTCGAGTACACGGCATAGCCCAGCACTAACGTGCGTAGTTTTTAAAAAATTTTAATATCCAAACTGGCGTAAAGCTTTATGAATATTCAGTTGATAACGAATATTTGAATATTCGGGACAGCCCAATCCATAACCAAGCACCATCTTGACAGGTGTAGGGCCAAACATTTTTAAAAAATGCATAACACAGAAAGCCTTAGGGACCGTGACCATTCAGCCCCGGTATGAAAAGAGCTCCCCGGTAAGCTCGTCCCCTCCCAAGAAGTCCTTTCGTACTGTCCCAGCTACCGGCCCAGGAGCTGGTCCGGTTGCTAATCAGGAACTCCTCTATCCTGGGGTCTATTGTTTGCAAGTATTGACACATGTAATATATCCCAGAAGAAACCTGCTTGTGGTTTTCATCTCTCAGCGCGAAACAATAGAACACTTTCATCGGCACAGATCAAACCCCTTGCCACGCTGTTTCGCACACAATGGGACCGTAAATTACCAAGGCGTTTGGAAGGATTTCATCTTTAATCCGGTAAGTCTGCTATTGTTCTGCTCTGGACGTTCTCTGAAGGGCAATAAATTGATGCGCCTGACTGACTTCAAAACTTCTGATCAGACAGGACCATGTACCGGACGACACTGGGCTGAAGACCGGACTGGCTCTGGACCGGATGAGGTACCGGGGGGCCCTTTTCATACCAGGGCTGAATGGTCACGGTCCCTTACCTGGGTATGGTATACGTCCGTGTGTGACCAACTCAGTCAGTAGAACACCGAAGGACCAGACATCGGATTTGATGGTGAAGCGTCCGTACATGGCCGCCTCTGGGGCTGTCCATTTGATTGGGAACTTGGCACCTGTCGTGGACAAAGGTAAAGGAAACACTCGTGCTTTACTTACTTCTGTACAAGAGCAATAGACTTTATTCACAAGTCCGCCATATTAGATTGAAAGCGAGGTAAACTCTTCATTTTTGGAAAAGTAGAAATGCAAGCAACGAAATAAAAGTTTGTTACAAAATAAAAGTTTGTTTAAAAACCTACCTTGTCTAGCAGTGTACTCGGTATCTTCAATCATCCTGGCCAGCCCAAAATCAGCCACCTTGACGATGTTGCCCTCTCCCACCAGGACGTTCCTAGCGGCTAGATCACGATGGACGTAGTTCATGGACTCGAGGAAGGCCATGCCAGATGCAATCTGATCGTAATAATAATAACTACAGGTTTACGTAACGCACATATCCACCAAACAGGTGTTCATGATGATGTACGCTATTATTACCCTTACTCATCTGGCCATTGAAAACATTCCAAAGACCATCTCAGCCCCTGAGGGAGAATACAGCTCGATGATGTTGCCACACGGGCCAAATGGTTAAAGCTATAGTCCATCATTTGTAATTAGTGCATTTTGTTCGTTTGAAGCAACAAAAGTGTTCAAAATCTAATGAAGGATACTGAGCAACTAACCTGATGAATTTTCAGCTAAGCTTCAGCTGTACATTCCGAGAAAAGCAGCATTCTAAGATCTCAATTTCAAATCAAAAGTTACTGAATCATGTTTTGAATTGTTTTGAATTGCAGCTATACGCGGCGTCGCGCACTGATCCGACGAATTATAACAACCGCGCGCGTGTGTGCGTCGTTCCAATACTTGTGCGCGCTGCGCCGAATAACAAAACGAACTACTAATTTAAATTTTCCTACGGTGCTTCTTAAGAATCACCGTTGGAAATGCCTTCTATCGTTGATTACTTCAAAATTACAGCTTCCCAGAAAGAATAATTTCACAGGGAGTTTAGTTCCCTTACTATCTTTCAACCAAGTTTGTTTTTCAACAGTAATTACGCCAGTTACTTTTCGGATGGCTGCAAATGATGGACTATAGCTTTAAATAACCATCTCTACCCTCACAGGTAGCCATGCATTACTCCAGGATGGGGTAAGGAATTAGTGATCAAGTGTTTCGCATGCCCCACAGCCCCAGGCTGGACTCCCCGATATTACCAACAAGATCATGAGTTCAGTACACCAAAAGAAGAGCGCCACGGCACTCCACTTTGCATCGTACTCCGCTCATAGAAAATTTGCTCCCACATTAGACCTGAACCAGCCAGCCGACCTCTACAAGCTCTGGGGTTGAGTGGTTAGACGTCTGAACTAGCAAGCAGGAGGCCGTGGGTTCGAGTTCCAATCCCATTTTCTTCTCGCAAGATCGGAGACAACACCGAGTTTACAAAACCCAGTATAAAAATTTGAATGACTAATGAAATCAAGCGAGCGGAAAAGACCAAACTTTGTTGGATGACGAGAATGGGAGCATTTCTGCACTGACCTGAGCTCCCATGTCGACCAGCTCCGGCAACTTCAGGTTGCGGCCTTCGCCGTCTTTCAAGAAGTCCAAAAGACTGCCGTTGCACATCAACTCAGCCACGATGTAGATGGGTTCCTAGACGCAAGACACATTTCAAGGAAATTTTGAGATTAAAGGGAAGATACAACATTTGCAAACATGAAAAAACGAAACATTATCACGAAATACCTTACTGGATTGTTAGGGAATGACAGTCAAAGGCATCCTGTAAAATCGTAGCTCCTGGTGTGCTGACATTTTCAAGAAAAACTGTATTTTTCCAACGCTAATCGGCTGCGTTGGAGAAAACTGGCTTTTTTCAAAAACTGCTCCTAATTTGTCAAATTTAGTTATTCCGCATTTTCTTTGCAATTGATCACACACCTGTGAAGGAGTACAAGCCTGTTAGACTGATTCTCTGAACTTACAATTTCCCAAGGTCTATACATTGCTCTGTTTCATCGTAAGTGGGGTCAGGGAACCAGACTACAAGAACATGATTGGTTTTCTTGGTTTTTCCAGCATCTACAACCCCAAAACGTGAAACAAGTCAGTTGAACAAAGTTTGCTGTAACATACTAATCCTCCAAATCCATTTATTTCTGAAAATTGCAGTAAAAGCAAATGTTGTACATTCACTTTAAAAAACAATATCACAAAAAGGGAAAATGATTTGTCAAGAATCTTCATTTTGAAGCTATGGGTTCCAATGTCGCCAAACCCTTGACTTTGGACTCCATAAAATTTTTAAAGTCTTTTAAAATTTTTGGCCAAATATTTTTGGTAAATTTTTGGAGACAGACAGACAGACAGACTGACCGACCAACCAACCACCAAGTGACATGTAAAAGCTCCTGCAAGAGCTTAAAAAACTAGAGGGCCTAATGTATCGGTCTTTGCAGGGCTTTTCTCAAAGGCAAAATGACAGTGGCTTAGACACAAACAAGTAGAAGTAAGGGACACACAAGGATACTGTTAAACTCCAAATATTGCCTAAAACTTTGGACGACCAGTACCTTATCAGAGCAGACGGCGTAGAGCTGACAGAGTTTTGGATGGCGGAGTTTCTTCATGATGTTGGCTTCTGCCAGGAAGGCTGTGGGAGTCATAGTGCCCTTCTTGAGGGTCTTGATGGCCACTGGGGTCTTCCCATTCCAAGTACCTGGAGAGAATACGACGGTGAAAGACGATAATCTAGGAGAAAGAAGTCTTCTTTTTTTTCAGGACAGTTCATGATTGAGTTATTTTTTAGCGCATGAGCGTCAGAGTAACGAGCTCTGGTTGGCTGGTGATGGTTCATTAGGAGTAGTCTAATTTTCACACGAGAGTCGATGGAGTAAAAAAAAAAGAGTAATAAAGTTGAACAAAGAAATTGAATGGAGCGGGATTCCATCTGTGACCTTCGGATCACCGTTCCGGTGCTCTACCAACTGAGCTATCCAGCCCCATGTTGGCGGTTCCCCATTTAGTCATGTCTTTGTTCAAGGGCACTAGTACGAAGCCATAAACCCGTATATACCATGTAGCCAGGGAACACGCCCAAGGTCACGATGCTAGCAACATTAGCAATGCTGCAAATCTGGGAAATAGCAAACGGGGATCACTCAGAGAGGACACAGTTTTTTATTACAAAATAATCAAATAAAAAACAAAGGGAAGCTGACTAGGAATACATGTAAGAAGAAAAAGCATCTACCCAGGAATATGATAAGCATACCTTTCCAGACTTCTCCAAACTGGCCGGCCCCAAGCTTGCTTTCCAGCGTCAGGGAAGTGCGGGGGATTTCCCAAGCATCTCTGCCGAGGCTGACGGTGTTGGGGTTCTCCTTGGGGCAAGGGAAGGTCAGCTTAATGCACAGTCCATCAGCCACCTCTGCAAGGGGAGGGACAACAAATTGAAATTCAGTAAATAAAGAGCACATACCGGTAGCCTGCAAACAATACTAGTTATCCCGTGAGCGCAATTGAAACACGGTTTAAAACGTAGTGCATCTGGGAGTGGTATGTGGAACACAGACACACTGCATTTTCAATATGGAACACAGACGTACATTTTCTATGTGGAACACAGACACACTGCTTTCCTGCACTGCTGAACACTTTCCTCCCACATTTTCTATTTGGAACACAGACGCACTGCTTGCTCCACAAGCACGAGTGCGATAACGAATTTTTCTTCAAGCAAACTTGACGCGCAGTTAAGTTGGCACTTGCAAGCTTTGCGCGAACCTTTTAGCGGTTTAGTGCATGCAGCTGGAATGTCGCTCGCATCTTGAAATGGCGCAATGCACAGGGTGCGATATGGACCATGGGATACAGTATGATATCACACTGTTGTTGCCATGGATCAACCAATCAGGATCGAGGATACAAGTTTGCTTGGAGATAATGTTTAGTACCATCAGGGGAGTAACACATTTTTCTTCAAGCAAACTTGACGCGCAGTTAAGTTGGCACTTGCAAGCTTTGCGCGAACCTTTTAGCGGTTTAGTGCATGCAGCTGGAATGTCGCTCGCATCTTGAAATAGCGCAATGCACAGGGTGCGATATGGACCATGGGATATACAGTATGATATCACACTGTTGTTGCCATGGATCAATCAATCAGGATCGAGGATACAAGTTTGCTTGGAGATAATGTTTAGTACCATCAGGGGAGTAACAAATTTTTCTTCAAACAAACTTGACGCGCAGTTAAGTTGGAACTTGCACACTTTACGCGAACCTTTTAGTGGTTTAGTGCATGCAGCTGGAATGTCGCTCGCATCTTGGAATGGCGCAATACACAGGGTGGGATATGGACCGTGCAATACAGTATAATATCACACTGTTGTTGCCATGGATCAACCTATCAGGATCGAGGATACAAGTTTGCTTGGAGATAATGTTTAGTACCATCAGGGGAGTCAGGTTGTTGTAGCGGTACACAGGCTAATGAACCCAATGGCATTGAAATCCGATTATGTGATAACATGCCAGAAACTCCAGTGGAGGATTTTCGAAGGATCCAGGCAGAGATCACCTGGGACAAAAAGTGGATGGTTTTCAAGGATTCAGGTGCTGAGAGTTTTAACTCTATGCCATTGGAGGATCTTGGAGGATTCAGGCAGCTACTGGGCAAGAGAACTTAGGGAGCCAGGGTTAAAAAATAAAAAGTGCATTCTGCCACTCTATCACCCGCCAAATACAACTAGCTTTTCATGTATGGCTATAAATATCTATCCAGACAAATAAAGTATAATTAAAAGTAAAGTAAAGAAGTTTTGATGCAAGGGGAAAAAAAATAAATTTGATAACTCAAGCAAAACCTAGACTAGATTATTGCTTTCAGCTGAAGCCGCAGTGGAATTTCAACAACTCTACGAAACCTCTTTTTTCTCCTTTTTTTGAAACGTAAAGTAAATAAATTTTGATAAAAGGAAATAAAATTTTTAATTGATAATAACCCAAGCAAAACCTCGACTAGATTATTGCTTTCAGCTGAAGCCGCTGTGGAATGTCAACAACTCTACTAAATGTTTTTTTAATTTATTTTTTTTATTTGAAACTTACGTTGGTAATGTTTGACTAGCTCAGCCAGAACCGGAAAGGGGCTGCGCATGGCTATGTAGAATCCCGCCTCGTTGTCTAGCTTTCGGATCTTGTAGTGTTTCACATGGTCCCCTTTAACAGGGTCGTAGTCACGAACAGAAAGTGAAAAAGTACCTGAGGGACACAAATCAAAATGTTGTTTTCTCGTTAATTTAACACAAATGTTTAGAGTTTCACATACTCGCCTTACACCGGGTCGTAATCACGTACATAAAGTGAAAGAGCACCTGAGGAAACACAAATCAATATTGTTTTTTTTTTGTTAGTTCAAAACGATTCCAACCCTGCCGCATATTGACGATTCTACATTCTGATCAAAAGAGAGAAAAATAACGGCTAAAAACCAAGTATGGAAAGGCAGTTTACTCATCAAAACCATATGCATGGTAGGGTATTGTTGATGTACCCTAACGTGGCGCGGCCCCTAACGTGGCGCGGCCCCTAATGTGGCGCGGCCCCTAACGTGGCACACTTTGATTTTCCGATTGTAGCGCCTAGCTAGAGCAAAAGTTTTAACGGAAAATTTCATCAAGTTCTAAACACTCCCATTCATAAATCACGAGTTTACATGTATCTACCCGTTACAAAGTTAGAGGCAACAGTGACGTGGGTTCGAGCCCGCCGGCGGACACTTGTGCTCTTCAGCAAGGCACTTAACCATTATTGCTTCGTCCTTCGGATGGGACGTTAAGCCGTAGGTCCCGTGTGTTGCATAAATGCACGTAAAAGAACCCAGTGAACACTTATCGCTAAGAGAAGGGGTTTGCCCCGGTGTTTCTGGCCTCCTGTATAAACTCCCACGTGGAGTATTAAGGAGAAGAACCAACCAAGAACCAAGAACCTGGCTCATTAACTTTAAAAACAAAACTGAAGGAGCCATCGATTTGTCTTACCTGGTGTGGCTTCACCGTCTCTCACAATGAACATGCCTCGCTCGACACCAGGCATTACAAGCTTCTTCTCTGCTTCCTTGCGACCGATACGACCAAAGTACCACCTGAGGAGAAATGTGGGGAAGTACATGTAATCTTAAATTTCAGGGTATTTTCTTTAAAGGCAATATACATTTGCAGACATCAAAAAGCAATACTACCAAATTATAATGAAATACCTTACTTGACTGTAAGTGAATAACAGTCTCAAGCATCCTGTGAAATCGCGGCACCTGGTGTGCTGTCATTTTTAAGAAAAGTGGCATTTTTTAACCATCATTGGAGAAAAACTGACTTTTTTTCAAATCCACCCCCACTGAACCAAATTTAGTTAGTCCACATTTTGTTTGCAATCGGTTACACATTCGTGAACATGTTGTGCAAGCCAGCTAGTCTGGTTCCCTGAACCGACAATTTTCCGATGTCTATAAATTACTCCGTTTCGTCTGAAATAGGGTCAGGGAGCCAGACTACAAGAACAGCATCCTTTTCCAGCATCAACGAACACAAAACTTTAAACAGGTCAGTGTAACAATATTTGCTTTAAACTACTACCCCACCAATCCATCCATAATTTCTGAAAATTACAGCAAAAGCAAATGTTGAAAATATTTCATTTAAAGAGCTGTTGTACATGTACTAACAATTATAGGTCATGTTTAAAAGAAAAAGGGTTAAAAAAAAAAACCTGAAACAATATTTGCAATATTACTTTTCTCCCTGTTTTATTACATGGAAGCACACACTACACAGGTTTAGATTACATGTACATGTACATGTATGACAAAATAGAAATCTTTTTGAATTCACGTTCACTCAAGCAAACAAATGGTTCAATCAAAGCAGAATGCTTAACAAAACAGGTAAAGGTCATTACAACTTAAAAGGTACCGGTAGAGTACAAAAGCAGATCATTTGCAGCTATTTGCACATTATTGTTGAAAAGCTTACCAGTACTTGGTTTAAAGATAGTAATGACACTATTAACTCCCTGTGAAGTTTTTCTTTCTGGCATGCTGCCATTTTGAAGCAAACATTAAAAGAAGGCCATTTCCAAAGATGCGTCAAGTGACGCTTTTTTGAAAATTGACGTTAGCAGTTGGTTTGTAATTGGGTGAATACGTGAATGGGTGCGTGCAAGCGTTGAAACGACGCGCGCGAATGCGCGGTTGCTATTATTCGTCAGTTCAGTGCGTGACATCACGCAGCTGCAATGGGCTGCTGACTTTGTGTGCAATTCAAACCACGGCTCGGCAAATTTTGAATTGAAATTGGGATCCTAGAATATTGTTTTCTCGTGACATACATGTACAGCAATGAGCTAAAAGTTCATCAGGTTAGTTGTAAAGCACCCGTCTTTAGAATTTCAGCACTTTTGTTGCTTCAAACGAAAAACAAAAATGCACAAATGACAAATGATCTACCCTACCTTTATGTAAATATTTTCTTCTTTTTTTTGTAAATAACTTTTGCCCCATTAAAGGGAATGTACATCATTGGCTTTTGCTGTAATTTTCAGAAATGAACTATTTGAGCGGTTAGTAAAATAGATCAAATGTTGTTACACTGACATGTGTGAAGTTTTGTGTTAAAAAAATGCTGGAAAAACCAAGAAAAACACAAATGTTCAAGTAGTCTGGTTCCCTGACTCCACTAAAGATGAAATGGATCAATTTATAGATGCTGGAAAATTGTAAGGTAAGGGAACCAGTCTAGCTGGCCTGCACCCGTTCATGAACATGAAACCAATAGCAAACAAAATTTGGACTGAAAAAAAATGGTACATTTGGAACAGAAGTTGAAAAATAGTTAGGTTTTTCCAACGGTGGTCGGCCGACCACTGTTGGAAATTTATACAAAATACCACTTTTCTTGAAAATGACTTCATACCAGGTGCCTTAATTTTACAGGATGCTTTAGACTGTCATTTATCAACATCCTAGTAAGGTATTTTGTAAAAATGTGTTAGTTTTGTTTTTCGATGTTCGCAAATGTTGTATATTCCCTTTAAGTATTCAATCCAAATCAATCTTTGTCTACAGCATTACATGTACATGGAAGTATTGTGCATTTTTGTAATCATGGTCTTATGGAACTGCATCAAGTGAAAAGGAAGTACTTTTGGGGAGGGGGGGGGGCCGTAGATTCAACACAACAAGAACCAGTCTTTTGTTTTCATGAATCATATCTCCATCCTGAAGTTCTCTTGCAATTTCCTCACCGGTTATTTTTAATTGAACAACTTGTAAAATAATGTGCTTGAATTTTGCATGTAAATTTATCTCCATGTAAATCTATCTCCATGTAAATTTATCTCCATGTAAATTTATCTCCATGTAAATTTATCTCCATGTAAATCTATATCCATGTAAATTTATCTCCATGTAAATCTATATCCATGTAAATTTATCTTCGAGCACATGAACATAAATGTACAGTACATGTATGTACATGTATGTGCTTTTCACATGAAAGTACCGGTACAAGTTGTATTGAAATCCCTGTCTGTAATTTTCCAGATCGTTTTTCTTTTTCTTTTTTCTTGCACTTACTTCCTTGTAAATGCTCATTGACCTATCGTTGACCTTGTCGGTTAATGTACACGCACATTGGTGTACACAATACACCACTATGGGCACGCATGTGTGCATAGATGTGTACTTCAATTTGAGTACTAGCGCCGGGTTCGTTACCAAAGTTTGTTGTAGCATGGTTTGTTGTACCATGGCGTGTTGTACAGGTACAGTACAGCCAGTGACTTCCTTGTTGGTAACAATGTACATGTACCGGTACAGCGTATTACATGTAAAAGTGTATCAAGTCACGGTACAATTGAACGAACTAAAGATCTTCGAATACCGGTACATGTGTAGCAAGTAATGGACATTTTGGAAATGGAAATGAACAATTTGTGAAACTGTTTTTCCTTGTCGTCGTTTTCAAGGTCTGTGTAGGGTACATGTGCTGCCCCAAGGTCAATGCATGACACATGTGAAATTATAATTCGATAATAACCCTAACTCATACCCATCCTTGCAAATTTCACCATACACATATTTCTGACTGTGACTCTGGAGGTGTGCCAACCCAATGTAAAAGACTGTCAGTTTAGGGGTACTGTACCCATCCCGACAGATTCCAACAAAACATGCCGTTGGGGTTTGATGGGTTGAGTTCTGTTAGGGTTAACCAATCACAGGCCTGCCAGATCTCCCGCATTGAGTACGAGACTCACGCTTTTTCAGGTTATTCTCACCCTCTCACGCCCACACGGGTTTTGTCACGCTAAAACAAATAAATAAATAATTCACACCAAACTCGAAAAAAGATGATCTTTTGCTCAACAAAATGGGTTAAAAATTGCACCACAGAGCGGGCTAGAATCTTCCGTGTTAAAAGTATAGCGGGGAAGTGGAAGTGAGTTTTGACTGTCCGTGACTGTTTAAATAGCAGGAGGGTTAGTTAATTAAATTCAAGTACGTTCAGATATCCGCCAGCTGTTAAACAGTCCACTGATTCCACAAAACTTCCAGGGTACATTGTGAGGAATCTCTTTAAAGCACCAGGGAATTTTATGGGGAACTCTCGTTAGTTTCCCCCCACGCTGTGGCCTGGCATGCCAGGTCCTTCGTTATGCATTAACCACTTCCTTGTTTGTAAGAACTTTACCATGTTGACGGGATATACATGTAAGGTCAGGCTGACATTGTTCGGATTGTCGCTAGGAATAAGATTTCAGTCTGAGGTTTTCAATTACATATGTTAATTGCTCATGCGAGACATGTACACGTTCATTGTGATGCTGGCATCAGCGATAGAAATCAACAGTCTTTTACACACATCCATACATGTATAATTCAACATTTAAAAAAGAGAAAGGCTATCAAGACAATACTTAGACAATGATAATACTCATTAGGGGGAGTGTGGCGTACAGGTTAGGGTCTGTGACTCCTGATCAGAGGGTCAGGGGTTCGAATCCAGCTGCTGGCCATATGTATGTCCTTGGGCAAGCCACTTCACCCCCACTTGCCTCTCTCCACCCGGGAGTATAAATGGGTCACCACCGTTAGCTGGGGAGTAACCTGCGATGGACTAGCATCCCATCCAGGGGGAGTAGAAATATTCTCAGTCGTTTCATGCCATGGAAACCGGAGATAAACACCGGCCTGATGAGCTATATTGGCTCATGACAGACTTTACTTATAGTAATACTATAATAGTCACATCCAACTATAGGTATAATTCGAAGTATTATTCAGGTTATTAAATATCAAAGGACAGCAAGATTTACAACGTAAATGTCACATTATGTGAATTAGTGGGTCAACTGCATGTACCCACTTAACCACTTGCATGTCTTTGTAGTGCATATTCCAGGAGAAACAAAAAAAACATTTTCAAGAAAAAAATATAGTATGACGTTTGAGACACTCTTCCGAATTTTTTCAGACACTACCACGCAGTTTATACATGTATTTTTCATCCCAACGACAATGTTAGTTTCCAGAAAACTAGAATAATAATAATAATAATAAACCATTCTTATAAAGCGCATTTTACACGGGGTCCCAATGCGCTGAACAATTAACAGAGGAAAAAAATACTAACATGAATGCCCTCCAGTATTGTGAACCAATAATGAGCCTCTAAGGCCACGACTGCACAAGTGGCCACTTTACTAGCCTTTCCACAAGGCCATCCTGACTTTGCAATTCAAATGTTCAAAACCGAGCATTGAAGCCGTGAGGCAAATTGAGAGACCATACAGCACAGAATGGTGTACTGATGTAGTGTGGATAGTCTCCTCTCCAGTCACCTTACAGTAGTGCGTAACCGGGGTTTTGTTTGCCCGTTGCAAAATATAATTTTCGTCTCGTTCATTCACAGACAGACCATCCGTGCTTAAAGGGGGGGGGGGGATGCTATTGGATAATAGGTGGCACTCTTCATCCCTGCAAATGTGCCGACGGACACACACATTTTCAGACAGTATGATTTCGCTGTTCAAATTCTGCAACTATCATCGTCCCGATTTTGCTTTAAAAACTCTAGCCCATTGCAATCTGCCTTGCAGCTTTGCAACTCAGTAAAATGTCTAATGTCATCATGGCCTCAAATTTGCTGTCGGACGCACAATTTTTCCGACAGGACGATTTTGCCGTCCCAATTTTGCATCTGTCAGCGTCTTGATTTTGCTTTTAAAATCTCTAGCCCATTGCAATCTGCCTCAATCTTCGCAACTCAATAAAATGTCCAATGTGCCGAACGAGACACAAGTTTTCTGACAGGCCATTTCGCCATCCCGATCAATCAGCATCCCGATTTTGCAAACTGCCTCGCAGCTTCGTAAAACATCCAACGTCATAATCGCATCATCAAAAGCCATCCACTATACTTACTCTTCAGCACTGATGCTCTTGACAGGTGCGATGTAGTTGCTGGGGACGTAACCTTCTTGTAAAGTCTTCGTTGACCTTGCCAGCCACCAATCACCATCGCTAACAATGGAAGAAAAACAGGAGGACATTGTAAACAAACCAAAGTCTGTGAAGTTTATGGAGGCTGACAATTTGTTGATTTTAAATTGGCAGTTGTGCAAGGCCTACATGTTTGTACAATTTACGAGATAGTGCACACCCCGGAGTATTGAAAACATATGAGGTTTTAGCAAGAAATATCGCACAAATACCGTAGAAATGACTCTTGCAAAAATACTTAAAATGCAGAATTCATATTTCTGTCTGTTTGCATTTCTTTCCATTTTTTGTGGGGGGGGGAAACACTCTTAATACACAGACATTTTTTTCACTGGAAGTTTCACAAATATATGTGATCCTGCTTTGAATAGAACTAAAATGCAAAAATCTGATAACGAATTGTGAATTAACTTCCTGCAGAATTATTCTGCAAAACTCATTTTGTGTTAGCTGCCCTTGATGACAGTGGCCATTTCCAAACTTTTTGCCACTTAAAGGGAATATACATCATTTGCTTTTGCTGTAATGTTCAGAAATGGATGGAATTGGGGGGTTGGAAATCTATAGCAAATATAGTTACACTGACTTTTTTGAGGTTTTGGGTTCGAAAATGCTATAAAAACCAAGAAAAAGAATCATTTTCCTGTAGTCTGGTTCCCTGACTTCATATAAGAAGAAACAGAGCAGTTTACATACATTGGGGAATTGTAAGGTCAGGGAACCAGTCTAGCTGGCTTGTACCCGTTCATAGGTGTGTAATCGATTGCAAACAAGTGCGATGGTCAACTGGGGCCAGTATTTGAAAAAAAAGCCAGTTTTTTCCAACGCTGGTCGGCCGACCAGCGTTGGAAATTGATACAAAAATACCACTTTTCTTGAAAATGACAGTATACCAGGTGCCATGATTTTACAGGATGCTTTACACTGTCATTCACTAACAGTCCAGCAAGGTATTTCAAAATGATTTGGTAGTTTTATTTTTTGATGTTTGCAAATGTTGTATTGTCCCTTTAACACTATAACAGTAAGTGACGTGTTTCTGAACTTTGATGTACTTGAAACGTACACACATTTACATCATAAAGTTGTTTAGTTTATGGAGTTATAGTTTCAGTTCCTGCACTATTACTGGCCATGTACTAGGGGTCGTGCTTGTTCATTTTCTGAAAAGTTACTAAATAATATGAACAGTTACATGTAATTACTGATGCTTAACATTAACTCCCTAGGCCTTTTTGCTAGGATGTAGCCTCAATCCTGCAAAATCCTCTAAATGGCCTCATGGAATAGCCTCAATCCTGCAAATTCCTCCTTTATTTCTTGAATACGGTCCATGGAGGCATGACCACTGCCTGAATCCTGCACAATCCTGCGGCAGTGACTGTCAATATGTTGAGGCTTGGCCAGTGACATCCTGGAGCAGTACGGAGGACTTCAAGCATAATCCAAGCCTATATTTATGCATGGCTGAGCAAAAAACAACACAAAGTCCGGCCCAAGACCTTGACAAAGTGCATTCTACGAAATCAGTAACGCACTTTTGCCATGTAACCTCAATCCTCCAAATTCCTCCACTTCAGCGAAGAGGATTTTGAAGGATTCAGGGTGGTGTAATGTCATTACATGTACCGTAGATGTACAAATTTGTGTCAGTATGCCAATAGTCTCATTCATGTCATTGGTCAGCTCGTCAATGTAATCAATGAAAGCAGTGTTGGCAGTCACTATTATTATATCCTGGTCAATATAAATGTATTAGTGCCCTATGCATATGAGATATACTTACTTGTTATTCGTTATATCTAGTGTTTCTCCTTTCAGAAAGCTCAAGTCGTCTCCTGTTCGCGCCTCGTAATCGTAAATGGCAACGTATTTCAGTACTGAAAATATAAAAAATAAACTTCAAATAAAGGGAAGTTACATGTTGTAAGTGTTGCAAGGACAAAAACGGAATGTGTTATACAGATCTGCTACACCGTGCCCACTGGAGACATGCACACAATCGGGAACAAAAGATTGTATACGTCTCCACAGGGCAATTTCTACAGATGAATACGTCTCCACAAGGTTTTCACGAAATAGATATATGGATTTTACTCAAAAACTAGGAATTTCCAAGGTATGTTGATCCGTCGCAAATGGTAGAGTTTTAGAAAAGGGATACTAATTCCAAATTTCAGCCAAGGAAATTAATTCTGGTTAAAATAAGAGCATTTTGAAACTGTACTTTCAAACTCAAAAACTTTAGTACACGAGAACAAAGAAATGTCTCCACAAGGATACAAATTTCAGTATGGGTGTATACACATCATGTACAAAATTGTTGAACTAAATTGTTGAAAATTTATAATTGATTTGAATTTTTAACCGAAAGGTATTTTTGAATGGGAATACAAATGTGTTTGGCTGGTATTAATACGGCTTGGAGCCTGGTAGCCGATAATTTGACTTCAGCCATTATTTGCATCTGGGCCCTGGGCCAATTTTAAATGTACAAGCGGCCAAGCAAATTTATTTCTCTATTAACCCTAACTCCCTAGGCCTTTTTGCTAGGATGTAGCCTCAATCCTGCAAAATCCTCCAATTGGCCTAATGGAAAAATAGCATTAGCCTCAATCCTGCAAATTCCTCCGTTATTTCTTGAATATGGTCCATGGAGGGGTGACCACTGCCTGAATCCTGCAAAATCCTCCGGCTATGACTGTCAATAGGATGAGGCAGAGACATCCTGGAGCAGTGCGGAGGATGTCAAGTATAATCAAGGACTAAATTTATGCACGGCTGAGCATAAACAACACAAGGTCCGGCCCAAGACCTTGACACAGTGCGTACTCCGAAATCAGCAACACACTTTTGCCATGTAACCTCAATCCTGCAAATTCCTCCAATTTGCAAAAAGGATTTTGGAGGATTCAGGGTGGTTAGGGTTAAAGGACACTCAAGCAGCATTTCCTCAGGTGATTCCTTCTCAAGAGCAGGTTTGTGTACATTAATTGACCCAAGTAATAACCAGGCTGACAATGCATGTTTCCATAGGAGGGTTAAGTTCACAGTGTGTCCAATGCAGGTTCTTGTGGGTAGGCATGTACACGTGTAGGTTTACAGAATCTCTTTCACTTCCAGAGCTGCATGTACATGTATGTATTAGGCCAAAAAAAAAATAAGTCGGTCTCTGGTCAGCGCGCGTGTCGATTTTAATCATGCGCGTCAATCTTTTTTTTTTTCCACAATGTTCCGTGGTAGCTCCAACAGCGCCCTCTATTGCCGCACCTCCTCAATTTTTTTTTACCAAAGAGCACCAAGGAATGGGAAATTGCACCAAGACAAATGATCGAGAGCACCAAGGCAAATTATGGAGGACACCAATGTACATGAGGACACCAAAAAAGCTAAATAGTACCCCACCTTGTCTGTACAATACAAGCTTGAAGAAAAAAAAGAAAAAAAAAAGAAAAAAAAAAAAAAAAAAAAACCTCGCCGCGTCAATTCCGGAACTTTGGTCTGACCAGAGACCGAATATTTTTTGGGCCTTAACCTTAACCTTCCTCAATTCTCCTGCCAGTTTTGGATGATTTTAGAGGATTGAGGATGAATGGCGATGATGTATCGCTTTTTTGTGGAGGATGCATTACGTCAAGCCAGTAGGCCATATCCTGCATCGGTTATGTTCAGCCATGCATACATCAGCCCTGTGTTTTTCTCGTATTTCATCCGCACTGCTTCTAAACGCCATTCGCACTGCCTCAAATCATAGCAGTAATTGGCAGAGGATTTGGGAGGATTGAGGCAGTGGTATTGCCTCCACAGACTAAATTCAAGAAATAACAGATGATTTTGGAGGACTGAGGCTGAATCCAGTATCTTCTTGGTGGCAATTAAATGATTTTTGCAGGATTGAGGTTGCAACCCTAGCAAGGGGGGCTAGGGGGTTAGGGTTTGAAATTAACGTTGTAATGCAAATTTTGGATGAACTCTCTACCTGGTTTGCTGGGTTTAGGTTGAGCAGGGGTAGGGATGAACATCTGACTGTTTCCCCTGAAATCGGTGACACCTCCGGTGGCAATGGTCGGTGACGGAGTTGTTATCTTCATGCCCGGGCTGCCCATGTCGTTGCTGTCGTTTCTGGTATCGGCGCGGTAGCTTGTGCCATCCTCTTTGCTGTTGATGCACCCCATGGCGGCTACGATGCTGGCCAAGAAGTACTAGAAGAACCTGGTCGGAAAGAACATTGAACTCTCAATTCTAAGTCTAAGCAAAAAGTAAAGCTGGTCCAACAGTCCAAGAGTGCAAACATTCGATTCAATTCGGGCGATTCACAATGCAGTGTGCCACCAAGAGTTTGCCACGAAGAGTTCATTTCTCCCAGTGCATTGTGGGAGATGGCCGACAAATTCACAGCATGGGACATTTAAAAATTGTTCGTTTTTCCAGTCAGTAGTTTTCGTAAAGGTATGCTTCGAGTATCTGTTTGCCCTTTTGTTTTCTTTTTCACAGTGTGGTGGTTTTTTTTGTGAGGCGGCAGAGCGCTATGCCCCAATCTATGACAAATTAGTTCAAGTTGTCTACTGACACTCATTCAAATGGGCCATGTTTTGTCGACAGTAAACTTGAAAAATGGACTCTCCATGGCAAACTCTTGGTGGCGCACTGCATTGTGAATGGCCCGAATTGAATCAGAATGGCTATTCACTGATAGTCCTTTCATGTACATGATGTATCCAGTCTACATAATTGGCCGGATCTAGTCATTTATTGGCGTTACACCTAAATCGTATATAGACAAATCCAGCGGCACCCATTTTCCGCAGTGGCACCAGGATCGCCCAAGTTGCGCTCAGGTAGTATGCACGCTCTTGGCTCCTTCGACCAAGAATACCAAAATGCACGTGCGCCTCGTCTTTAACCAGTTCGCGCCGGATGACATGTATACCCGCAAAAGTTTTGCAGTATTCGGAACGGATGACGGATAAACACGCACGGACCGAGGCCAGAAAATATCTGTCAGCGATCGAAATATGAGTGTGCTGCCCAAGGGTGATGGCTTCAACCCGCCCGGCTCGAGGTCGTGTGAAAGTAATCCCGCGCCTCGTTCCGTTCTTGTAAAAATAATCCCGGTGTGAACTGGTTAAGAATGCGTGCAGCATGCGCGTGAGCGTGACACAACCGCAGTTAAAAGCTTCTAATTCTGGTCGCCAGATTCCACTACACGACAGCACTGCCTGGCTCACAAGTAACAGTAAGCCTGCGTTAAGTCATGATATGTACCTGTACAATGAGGACACTAGGCTACCCCTCTCAAACTAGCAAAAACCACTCTATAGTTTCATGTACATGTACCTGTAGCTGACACTTATAAACACAGCATGTTAAAGAGGTTGTGGAATGCTCGAAGACATTTCCGTCATTTTTTGGGTATATGTAGCCTTAAGTGTGATGAAATAAAAACGACAATTGTTTCTGTCATGATGAGTACAAAGGTTACTTTTGAGAGCTATTTTTCAGATCCTGTTTCGACCCGAACGTGCAATTTGTGTAAAAGTCGTCGTTGCGGGCAGCAAACAAAACACACTAAATCGTGACGTAATAAACAGGACTCGTTTATGCTACTCTGCATCGGGAGTCCTGTTTATTACGTCACGATTTACTGTGTTTTGTTTGCTGCCCGCAACGACGACTTTTACACAAATTGCACATTCGGGTCGAAACAGGCATGACAGGACTTGAAAAACAGCTCTCAAAAGTACCTTTTGTACTCATTTTATGACAGAAACAATAGTCGTTTTTATTTCATCACACCTTAGGCTACATATACCCAAAAAATGACGGAAATGTCTTCAAGCATTCCACAACCTCTTTAACTAGTTCAGCTACATGTAAGACAAAACTGAAAGGCCATGCGAGGATCACGGCTACATGTTGTAGTATGTTGTAGTCGTGGGTGCATGTCCTTTCAGTTTTATCCTTGACACGTACCTACACGTACATGTTGTACATACATGTACAGGACAGTATGTGGCTACACATCCGGTATTTGCACAGGACACACCAAGTGGATACGATTACCACAACAGAATTCTCCTAACATATTGAGAAACGACATAATGTCACTTCCTGTGTTTTCTATTAAAGTGGATATCAATTACTCCAGGATATCCTTTTCTACATGTCCTACATGTACATAATATGCTTGATATGTACTGTACACATGTGATGTTTATGCTGTGTGCATGTTCAGTAACCTGTACACACATACTTCTGAAGTCGTGCTTAATTACACATGTAGAGAATGTCATGTACCCATGTGTCAAAGGGCGACAGGTGGATTAATTTTTAGAGCTCTACATGTAGGTTAAAATAAGACACCACATATCTGCTTAAATTTACATAAATGTACGTGTAGTCCAAACAACTATATGTTACATGCATGGCGGGTGTCTCAGCTATTCTTAGTTATTTTTAATTTGATGCACAAATGGTTTACTCAAGCCCATCCAACCGATACAAAAGCATTGCTCTCGAACTACGCCTTTACGTCTAAGGTTTTTTTTATGATAATGCCAATTTCCATATTTATGAGCAAATGTATGATGTCATGCCAGGCAGAAATCTCATTGTTACATCTATTTCAGCACAGGTCTGAATGCTGAATATTTTGCTGATCGTAAGTTTTCTCTCTTTGGTGATTCGTTGTTAAGTGACAGTACATTACATGGCAGTAAGCCAAGGAGCAATACTATTCTCAGAATTTTTTTCAAAGAACGACTTTTCGGGTTCACAATTTGAACAGAAAACCCATTAAACTGAACGGTGTCTTCCTGAAATCACATCACAGCAACAGCGCCCTCAGTTGTCTGGAAAAGCATGGAACAGTTTTAAATGTTCAAAAGTTAAGTGCACTATTCAATAAAATTAAGCAAAACGGAATGTCAAATTGTTTTCAGACATTTAAGAGGGCAGTTGCACAAAATGTGTTCCTAAGAAAAAACTCATCTCATGAACCATTTAAGGACACACTGAACTTGGGCTGTCATGCACATGTACCCAAATGAACATCATACTGGTATCTGAACAACATACATGTACATGTACATGTATGTCTACCTGTACTTGTCTCTGTATCCATGGCAACTTAATCGGTAGTGTACGCCTACACTTACCTCCTAATCCTATCTATTTTTTGTTTAATCATCATCAGCCATGCTTATTATTGACACAGAGACCAGAGAATAAGATAAAATATGACAAGAGTAAACAAAGTCGACAGGAGTGACTAAATGGTCTTCCCGGAAACTCTTATCTCTCGATGCTACAGGTTGACATTACTTGTGTTGTTCAATCCCAACCCTGCCAAATTAGCTAAGGATGTGACGTTTACAATCTTGAACAAAAGATGTCTAATTGGAATTTGAAATGGAACTCAAAACGGAACTAACATTTCAAAAGAAGGGACGTTTTATCATGTTTATTCAAGCTTTTCAAATTTACAAAGAATCCAGGATGCCTGTACATCCACTATAAAAATTCTTCAAGAGACTAGTATCTTTTACACTGAAAGTAACCCGAACCCTGCTCAATCAAGCAGGATCCAACTATTTCACATTTCAGTTAAATTCTGTTGCTGGATTGAGCAGTATAAACACCTTGTACAGCGCGTCCCAAAACACCCGCAATTATTTTTTTTTGGAGTCTCTAGCGTCGGCGCAGAAACACGTGCTGCCATTATTTTTATAACACTTTAAAGCTTTTATAAGATGGAATTTTTGCGTCACCGACGTTTAAACACTGTATACTCAGTGTGTTACCTCCCGAGTGAAAGTTGGAAAAAATCACTCGGGTGGGACTCGAACCCACAACCTCCTGCCTTCTAGTGCGTCGGTGAAGGGCAAAACCTAATTTGACTTTAAAGCTTGGAATATTAACTTTATCCCTGGTGAGTATTGGTTTGATATTAAGAGTTTTAAATTATTCATGTTCATAAGGCATGCCGAAAAGAAACTTAACTGATTTGAAGGAAAGTTGATGATGCGGTACATCAGATGCAAACTCGAGTCAACGAGCTGTTGAAATAACCCAAAAAACGGTTGATTTATGTTAAAAACACATTGAACGTGAAACGAAGAACAATACTATGATTTTTTTTTATGGTGTACATGATGTAGTCTACGTGGATCGAATAGAAATGGAAACACAGAAAGTAAAAGGCAACGAGATCGTCACTTATGAACACGATAAAGCATTTCCACATTGAAAAAATGTGCACGATTGATTTTCCTTGAAATCGGTTGAGTTTGTTTATGACATGCCTCTATCTGAACATTAATTTCAAAACCCTTTTGAAAATCAAACCAACACTTACCAAGGATAAAGTTCAGATTCTAAGCTTTAAAATGATATAAAAATATAGCTGGTACATGTACAAATGTACATAAATATGTAAATGTATATGTATGTGTTTCCACAGCAACGCTAGAGCCTTGCAAAGAAATGTTGCGGGTATTTTGGGACGCGCTGTATATTCCTGTTGAAATCTGTTGGATTGCAGGCAACTGAAACATTTATAGTCTGATTCTGTTGGGTACTTGAAAATAACGCCAAGTTGGACTCGATTGGAGCCAGCAGGAAACAGTGTAATAGAAAAATAAGGCACAGTTGGATTCTGTTGGATTGAGCAGGCCTGGGCCCAATTTCATAGCACTGCTTAACAGTAAGCAGAAAAGTTGTGCTTACTATAGCAGAAAATCATGCTGCTGCTTAAGCACTATTTAATGCTAATGGTTGCGCGCGCATGGAGATTTCTATTGTTACGTCACTGATTTAAGCAAATTTTTCTTCTGGGGTTAAGCGTGCTGTTGCTATGCTAACTGCTTAACGGTCCCTATGAAATACATGTAGATGGAGGCTCGGTAAGCACAAAGTCGGCTGTTAAGCAGGGCTATGAAATTGGGCCCTCTCATTTTGATATTTTCAGGTACCCAACAACTTGGCAAGTTGAGTTGTGTGGGACTGTGTTGGATTGAGCAGGACACTCATATGAGTAACCGTCAGACTCTGTTGGATTTAACAGGGCAGTCCTGGGGAACTATTAGGGGTTAGTAAATTAATTTAATGCCACCGGACCTAGATCAATATTCTATACCTCTCCCACAAAAGGTACAAATAAACATGTAGGCTACTTGTCCTCAGACATGTGTAATTGTAATTACACAAATGTACATGTACCACGACTGCGCATACAGTACATGTAGATGTGACCATGCAGCTACATGTATGATGTCACACACTAATAATAACACTACGGCAGGCAGCAGTCAATAAGGTTTGACTTGAAATGTTTAAATAGTGCATGAAAGAATTCACTTCAAGTTTTACTGAACTGAATGTGGACTCCCATCTTAACCATTTCACGTCGGATGACGTGTTAATACGATCTGGCTGTTTCTATACATAGGCACGGCTGACGGGTTAAAACGTCAAGCGTGCCTCGACTCGCCTCCACACGCTAAGGCCAAAAAAAAAAGTCTCCGGTTTCTGGTATGCGCGCGCGTCGCCGTAGCCATGCGCGTTGGCAAAATGAAAAAGTTTTTTTTTCAATGAAAGATGATGTCTCAAAACCGCCAAACTCACTGGTTTGACTGGAATCCTGCTGCTGCACAATTTTAACGTATTTTTAGATTGGGTTATGGTCGAGAATAAGCTTTATGTGGCCTCTCTGGACTCCGATATATTTGCACTAAGTTTAGTCGGGCACCATTTGCAGTCATCAGCGGACATTTGAAGCAAAAAAATCAGGTGAAAAAAAAAAAAAAGCCGCGTCGCCGCACCACTTTTTGGGCAAGCTCCATACCAGAAACCGGAGACTTTTTTTTTGTGGCCTAATCCACCATTTGTTTTGTACACACACACAAAGTCCAAGAAGTCTGTGGAGGTGGGCCGTGTGTTGTACTTGAACTTGGCCGCTGTGCGAGGTCTATTGTTCTACAATTTATGCTCGGTGGGTACACCCCGGAGTGTTGAAAAATATGAGGTTGCGGTAAGCAATATCATACAAATACTGTTGAAATAACTCTTGCGAATCAGTAGGCCTATTTGTGGCATTTGGCTGTACATGTACATTTGTGTATTATCAAACGTCGGCTGCTACAAATGTGTATCTTGCCTTTTTCGAAAATCTAATTATCGGTAAAAAAAAATCCCAGCGCGAACTGTAAAATAGCTGTCAGAATAAAACACCTCGATTTGACTGAAGAGACACAACGCTTTCATTTGAAATGTGTTGATGTCGCAATTTTAGTTTATATGATCGACGTGCCATGTTGCACAGTATATGATTTTGACAGTTTGGGGAAGTTTCCTTTCAAAAATTACTCAGTGGGTTTGCGTCAACTTAAAGGGAATGTACATCATTGGCTTTTGCTGTAATTTTCAGAAATGAACTATTTGAGGGGTTAGTATAATAGATCAAATATTGTTACACTGACATGTTTGAAGTTTTGTGTTCGAAAATGCTGGAAAAACCAAGAAAAACCAAAATGTTTAAGTAGTCTGGTTCCCTGACTCCATGGATCAATTCACGGATGACAGAAAATTGTAAGGTAAGGGAACCAGTCTAGCTGGCCTGCACCCGTTCATGAACAGGTAACCAATAGCAAACAACATTTGGACTGAACAAAAATGGTAAATTTGGAGCAGTAGTTGAAAAATAGTTAGGTTTTTCCAACGGTGGTTGGCCGACCACCGTTGGAAATGTATACAAAAATACAATTTTCTTGACAATGACTTCACATCAGGTGCCATAATTTTACAGGATGCTTTAGACTGTCATTTTCCAACATCCTAGTAAGGTATTTCGTAAAAATTTGGCAGTTTTATTTTTCGATGTTTGCAAATGTTGTATATTCCCTCTAAAGGAAATAAATCACACTTGTTCACATTCAACTCAAGAACACGATCATGATGTGTTTCCTTTAAACAATGTTGCAAGATCAACTCTTTCCGTGTTCTCTTGTGCACAAAACACAATTCTTTCCTCCAAAAGAAATCGGTGTGCTCCTTTAATCTGAAGGGAAGGAGCGTTGGCCGGATATTGTCAAACGAGAACGAGCAGGATTTCACCTCGGCCGTCGAGGAAGTTTCTGCATTTATTGCTTGCAATAAAAATAATGGGAAAACCAGTTGGCTTTAAAGGGTAGGCCTACATGTCAATGTACTTTATTTTAATTATTTAATTGTTCTATTTGTATGGGGGGGTGTGAGAAGGAGGCGTGCCCCCCTCCTTAAAAAAATCGTCCCCCAAGAAATTTGGCAATCGAAGAAAATCACAAAACAATGATTTAAGGCCTGGCAGTACCAGTAGGTCTACCATGTCTACATACAATGTTGTTGTTTGTTACGAAAACCTTGTTTTTCGCGATTTTAACGTTAAAGTTTAACGTCCATAAAAACACCTGTCTACATTCAGCATGGATGAAATAGAGGGAAAGATACCTGGACATCACTACGCCCCGTCACTGCCTGTCCCTGTGCACAAACCATGAGACTGGTCTGAAAAATCCCAAGCGTTTCTAATTGTTGATAGGTCATTGGCACTGCAGAGAAAAATTAGTGGTACAGAATGCTTTCCAAATAGCGCGCCCCTCCCCCATGTCCATCACCATGTCCACTGCCTGACTATCCAACCCCCTGGCCTTGGCCTTGAACCCCCCCCCCCCCCTCCCAGATGAGAACTCTGCTATCTCTGCGCATATCACAACTTTGGTCTCTATTTTGATAAACTAACTTTTGTCTGCCATCTGACATTGTTACTGAATACACGTTTCTTTAAATATAAAAATTTTTTAAATTTTTTTTCGATTTTGGTAAAAACAACTGCTTGCAACATATTAAAAATCATATCATAATTGAAAATTTGAGGTAAATAAATTAAATCCACAAATCTTATAATACATTTTTGTCGAAAATCTAAGAAGCTTAGTTAAATCCTATGCATGGAAAGAGTTCCGAGAATTTTTGTTTTGCTGAAAATTAACCATGTGCCAATTAATTACACAAACAACATTTTACAAATTTATACGGATTCTCCAAAATTAGAAACATTTGCAATTATAACTTTAGTATGCCGTGGCTATATTTTTAAGAACATGGACAAATTTATTTGAAATGACCCTCCATCAAAAACAAAACAAACCACCCTTCTGTAACAATGTTCTCCGGCATTTACTGCTCATTCTAATACACCTGCTATCAATCAATCAATTATACAGGCACGCGCGCCTGCACGCGGTCGACAATACCTTGGCTGATCGTGCTGCCTCGACACATGGTTGCATGATACACATTATTTCAATAAAAACATAAAATAGGTAGGCTTATTGGCCTACTTTTTGGGTAAGCCCTACTTTAATTTATTTTAACATTACAAGTAGGTCTTATTCCAACAGAAATATTTTTAAGGCATATTCAATGCAACAAACAACTCGGTACCGAAATCTACATCTCGGAAACAGATTGAAAAATAATAACGCGATATAAGGTGCACGTCATTTTTCGTGCTCCTTAATTCTGATTACGCCCTCTGTTGTTTAGTGAAAGTCGACCGAAGTTGTCGTGCAGGTTTCGGGGGTTGGACGGCGACACTGATTGGAAATTCGTAGCGATGTTTTTATTAGTTTTCTGGGCCATTCAATAATGTTACGTTTAGTAGGCCTATCTAGTCCGTAAAGGCAATAATTTACACTCTCTTTGATTTCTTTCAAATTACTTCTCGGAAAAGCTTTTGATTTCCCCATAAACTGCATCAACCATGTCAACCATGTCAACATGATCAAGAAGAAAGGCGATGTGACAGTGGATCAACAACGGTGATTTGACGTCGGCCCGTGTTTTGTGAAAAAAAGATATGAGCCGAGAAAGTTGGTTGCGCGAATATTGGGCAGCGCGGGCCGCGAATTTGGGGCACCGGCCGGACGATACAGCTAGCTGTACAGTAAACACGCACTTCCTGATGCTGATGCCTGATGGAGTGAAAACTGGAGTGAAGTGAATTTTTATTAATGGTGACTATGAAATCGGGAGCTGAAATCGGTTTACAGCTCGACTTACCTGCTAAAATCCACACAGAATTAGTGTGGACTGTCCTTTCTGCAGCAGCTATGCAAAACCTGCGATTTCTGAACCAGAACAAAAGCAGTTTGGTGGGATTTTCTGCGAGCTCCGAACGCGGAAATAAAAGGGAAGTTCGTCAAGTCGGTCTCATTGACCTTTGACTTACAAGAACGAAGTGCTTTCTGGGAAAAATATCGGTTTTGTCCGACGGCTGTTTTATGTCCATCCGTTTGAATTAATTTATGCGGCATCGCGAAATGGACGTGAAGACTTGGACTACCATTTTCGGCATTATTTGACCAACCAGTTAGAGTTTTGTTGGTAAATTGTTATTTTAAATAATGTGAACGAATTGGACATTATTTTAGGCTTGTAAAGTTGCAGTTTTTCTATTATCATGAACTTATTTCAGTGGCGTAGCACGGTAATTTTTATTGGGGGGGGGGGTAACAATTTCTTGAACTGAGGGCACTTGCACATCCGTGCTGAAATGTAGGCACGGTTTTTTTTCTCCGGACACAATTGGCCTCCGTAAAATCAAAAAGTGGGGGGTGGGGCTGTTCAAAACCGACGATTGTACACACTAATGGACAATATATGGAGCTTTTCAGGGCCAGTTACCTAGGTGCGCGAAATTCACAAAAAGGCACCGGAACGCTCGACGGCCGATGGGACAAAAAAAAGGGCACGACTTCTTTTTAAAAAAGGGCACTTGTTCAGAAAAAAGGCACTTGTTAAAAAAGGGTACTCTTTGCATAATATGGGAGGGGAGCGCTGGTGAAGAAAGGGCATTTCGATGGAAAAGGGCAGTCTTTACAAATTTTTTTGGGCCCCCCCCCCCCCACCCCCTCTGGCTACGCCTATCAGGCTGTTTGTACAAATTTGAAAAATGGGAACAGAAATTGTAGAATACCGTATCGACAACACAGTTTGTTTATCTTGGCTTTATCCCCAACGAAAAAGAAAATGAAAATAAAACGTTGTTAACACAATGGAACACGCCTGGGTGTTGTCATAGTACAATTTAACGCGGCTGATCTGATGACCCATTTCATCATTATAGTTTCCCACTCGAATTCAAAACAATGGCTGAAGGTCACTTTCATTTTCCGTTTGCCAGGATCTTTTGTTTCCAGAACTGAAATTGTTTTTTTCATCATTATGCATCATTGTGTTGGAGTGAAGATATGGTTTAATTAAATTTTTGGCTTGAGGCCTAATGAGGGAGAAGCTTAATGTTGATGAGGCCATACGTATAATACACCGTATAGTTCATTTTCACCTGTGCCACTTGATGTATCAGAATGGACTTCATTTCTGTCAAACCGGTCTGACTTAGGTTTTCTACACAGAGTCTGCTTCACCTGTACTATAAAAAGTCTTTAACTGTGGACCCTCTTCTCATAGCATCTCACCTATATCATCAGAAAGGTGGCCACCAATTAGTAATTGCGTCACCGAGTCAGAAAGCACAGACTTGGATAGACTTGGCAAAACTTCTTCGACATCCGCCATTAAAATTATCAACAGAGAAGGAACCCTGTAGTGACACGCGGGACACAGTCATGACAAGACTCCGTATTGTTCTCATGATTCAACTGTTTCTGGACCTCGTTGTCCCTGTTCTCCACATCGTGGTAGCCTGTACCCGTTTCAACGATGACCAAAACTCCTTCATTGTCATGCTCACAATCCTCCTTATTGTCGTCACGTGGTCCCTCACCAACGGCACCTCTTGGTTGTTACTCCTGAGGCATCGCCGGGACTCCAACACCACCTCGGAAGACTCTGGGTTGGACTGGACAGGCCTGGCGTGCCACCTGCTGCAGTTAGGACCTCTCTGGAGGTTCGCTAAGGCTCTCTCCGGCTCGGCCTCCAGCCAGTTTGCCAATCTCATCCTCCTACATCTCATCCCTGTGTTTCTTCAAGACCTGCCTCTGTCTGTTCTCGATGTGTACCTCATGCTGACGACAAGGAGGGAGTTTTTCATCCTGGCGGTGAGTGCTAGCGCCTCCATCCTCTCCGCCTCCCTGATCCTCAGCTCTTACCGCGAGGAAGTGATACGTCTTACGAGGACGGCCAAGTCATCTTCTCGTGAAACAACCGAGACATCGCAAGACGGTGGTCTGGGCAAGATGGCGGATTTCCCCGCTCTTGGAATCTTCGGACAAGAGACCGAGAAGAAACCTGCTAGCTCTAACAGTGAAAAGAAAGAGCAAAATGGTTCTAATGATGCTTCTGCTCATATCCATGACAACCAAAGTGTCGGTGCATCTGAAGATACTCCAAAGTGCTCAAAGGGCAAGCTAACTCTGGAGAAACTAAATTCATTTCCATCTGAACAAAAAGTTGAACAAGAAAATAAGAACCACGCCCGCCACTGGATCCGTTTTGTATGGATGACAAGTCTCTTAGTCTCGCGCGTTGTCAGTTTAGCCTCTTTCACAGCTGTTAAACAGTGGATGTTCTTTGTGTTCGTAGCCGTGCAGTGGATTATTGTCCTAGTTGGTTTAAGAATCCAAGCCTACTTTCAAAATTGTCATAGTCGGGATTGTAAAGACAGACTTCGGGACGTCGCGACCTCGTACGCGTACATCTTCTGTTTTCTCAACTTGAAACCTGGGCACGCGCTGGCCATGAATGCTTTTTATCACACCATCATTCTCACAGAGAATGTTGGGTTGGTTGCCGCTTTCCTATGGAACTTTGATGGAGAGAAAGTCTACATGGTAGCCGTCACCGCAGTCGCCTTTTCGAGTTTCTTCGTTGCAATATTCTTGATCGTTGTTTTCTACTGTTTATTCAGTGAGCGTGCATATGTCCTCATCATTGAGAGATGTGCCTGCTGCATCTGGTGGAACAGTGAACGAAAGCGCAGAGCTGAGGCAAAAGTGGCTCGAAAAGCGGCTAGATTGGAGGCTAAGAAGGTCATGACCCAGTCCGGCACCCAGATCAGTGCCATGGCAACCCGCATTATCACCACGCTATCTCTGCTACCAAAGGGCCAACTGGAGCAAGAATCTCCGCTAGATACTCAAAACGTGCCGGATGTTGTTCGCGATAAATCTCGTCAGGAGATAGATCTCGCTCTCGAGGGCGTCTCGTTCCGCAGCAAAACGTTATCAACCCTGGGCCAAGATGAATCAACAACCAAAGGAGTATCCTTCGAAGTTGATGCCTTTAGTGAGAATCCCTCTTACACGATGGCCCATCATTACTCAGAAACCCCTGCACAAGACGAGCCAAGCCATTCATCCAATGAACTCAAATTACATTCAACAGCTCAAGACGCTATACCTCAAGACAAGCAAACCAGCGGCTTTCAACAACCACGTAAGATAAACATGACTCCTGCTCCTCTTTTCCTGCTCACGCCCCCAACTGTCTCCTCAAGATGCAAGGATGGCCATACCAATCAAGGATTCGAAACAGAGGTTACTGCCGAGGTTCACGAACAGCGCCCTCAACGCAGAGCAATGACACACCTGACTTTGCCGAGTCGAGGCACTGATGGCTCCCCCCTATCCATCAGAAATGAAACGTTAAGGAGATCATTTATATCATCGGTAGAATCGCAGCCACAGGAAACGGCGGAAACCTTTGATGAAATATTACTCGATGAAAAACTAGGTATCTGTGGATCTTGGGAGCAATCTGGCCAGGTATGACATTACGACATGCAAGCTCATTTGGATCATTGTTGAAAATTATTTTCAAGGTAGAAATGAGTAAACTCGTGGCAACAAAAGACAACAGGACAAAAGGTTTGCTGCCGCATGAAGCTTACATTTATAAAACAGATGCCTTGAAACACCATCCAATTGCATCGAGCATTGAAAATATGAATTATAAATTCAAAAAGGTCATACATTTTTAAATTTCATTAGTGTAAATATCTATACAAGAAGTAACAAAAAAGTATTTAAATCATCATTAAATACGCATCTAAATTTGTCTCAATTAATGTTTCAAACACTATAGAAAAACAATGTACATAAAAACACGCTTATAGGGGCCTAGTTGGAGATTTGTTATTTTTAGGATCTACTTTGTAGCATTTTTAAGACAGTCAGGGGTTAATAATGCGGGATATTTTGATCGAGTATTTTTTGCCTAATTAATGAGGGGAAAATATTATAAAGAAACAGGCTGAATATGCCCGGAATGCAGCTTGAACATCACGTGACGTGATAGTGTTTTCAGGCGTCAGTGTGCTCCTCTCGGTTCCCGCGAAGATGACGTCATACAGCGAGAGCGATGCGATATCCTGTGTGTGTGATGTGATGTCCTCGCGCGAGCGATCGCAGGCAGGGGGAGATGAACGTGAACGATGCGAGAAGATCAGCATACGGAATGATGGAGCAAACAGTGCGCAGTACGCGCGTGTTGCATTCATAGGCTACAGAAGGACACCGACACACACGCATACAACCTAAGACTTCATCATCGATGAGGGAAAATAATCATCATGGCGGAGACGACAACAGCGGAGTACAAGACGTCCTCGGGATAAGGCTTATCATGAGTTAAGATAAGATCTCCATATCGTTTGATCGTGGATTTATCCTGCTGCTGGGGGCTACGCAAGGTGTCTATGAGCCACTGAGACTGCCACCGAGCGCCCAGTGGTTTTTATCATTTCGCTGCTTCATCGTGTCGATGCTGCATGTCACAAGGTACACCAATATAGTATTACATGAGCATTGTGTAGACACACAATTAAATTCCTCGTCCCGCTAAGTGGGGTCTGTTGTTGTTCAGTTGGTTTTAGCCGTGTATAGCACGGAGTAATTATGACGTTAGTGTGATAATGTTTCCTCCTTTAAGCATTAGCATAATTCTTGTGTTGTGTGCATAGTAATTTTGGCGCGGACAAATTCGCGTGGGTTAAATGATTTTTTTTTGCATTTTCGTAAATGTCAAAAATTCAGAGTACAAACTGTCATTGTTTCATTGGCTTCCGTCGTTGATAATAATTGATATTTATAATCAAAATGTACGATCCATGTTTTTAAATGTCAAAATACTTGTTTTATTCAGGAATTATTTTCGAACAAGTAAATCAGGATTTAAATAATAATGTTACATTCCTGTTCTTCCTGTGTTGCCGGATTTTTTTATCTTAATTTATCATCAAACTTTTTGTGAGTTGTTTGATCGTTAAATCGAAAACATTGATGTTCAAACTTTTCCACTGAGCTTCACTGAAATAACATGGTAATTGAACCCTTGTTAGCATAAGAAAAGGAGAAACATAATATTAGTTTTATTAAAAAGTAAAGAATATTAAACCATCTTTCACATTAATTTGTGTAAATTAATTTATGTGAGGGAGCTGTGTTTAACTTAAACAAGGTTCACAAAATGTCATTCATCCGAAAAAGGATGCAGCTAGCCACAAGATAATGAGACAGAAAAATGATGAGACATCGACTATAAAATTCGTCATCAATTGGAATTCATTTTCCTAGAAATGTGTTTACCGAACGAGCAATTTTATTGTCCGTGTTTTACGAAAACTTTGTGTCAGTATGAAATCTTAAACATTTGAATTGAAATTCACAACATAAAAGTGTTTATGCAATGATAACTTGTAGCTGTTTTAGGTTAGATATTCTAAAAAAAAAAAGTGCGTGTGATTTAGGAATAATATTTGACACAACAAAATAATCAGCGAGAAATTAACCATATTGTTCGGAAAGTTCTCGTAAACGGTTAATCCAGATTTTGTTTATCAGGAAAGCCTTCGAACACATATACAAATATAGCACATGATAATTGAAAGGTGCATTATGATAATACGACATTAATGTTATAAGGAACTGTGGTGTGTCAACATTTTATCAGGCCACAAATGAATGGTGCTAGAAACGACTGGCTCCTGCGGTCAGGAACTCGCTCCGGTTTGTCAGTCAATGCGTGCCCATTGCCCCCGGCCGGACAGGAATAACGGGGGGCAATTTACACCGAATAATTCATTTTCCCCTTCGAGGCGCGAGAACATGTGGAGGAAAATTAATTAAAAGGGACCCCTCAGGTTGAGAAACCTCCTTCAACAGGACGGTAGGGAGACGAGAAGAGGAAGGCCTGGTTGTCATTTTATACATGATTTCCGATTGACATATTATGGCAAACATAATTTGTGAGGCGGGTACCGCTGGGAATAGCTTTGAATTTCCAATTTATTTTAATTTTGATTTTCATCCCAGTCTGATAAGTGTCCTTCCGGAAACTATCGATTGACCGGAACCGTCGCTATCATTAATTTTTTGTCAACATCAAGCGAAAGTGATCAAATGTTATTGCCGTTTGTAAATTGGTAATTTTTATTGATCAGGCCGCATTGTTACTTGGAAATGTTCCAGTTGAGTTGTCAAATTAGCGCTTACTTTCGACTCTGAGTTATGTCAGTTGCACAGTCTTAAATTCAAGCACACCTTGGTTTTTTTCTTTGACATGCAAGTGGCGGATCCAGCATTTACAGCGGAGGGGGTGGGGTTTCGGAAGGGGTGGTGGGCAAAATGGAGGCGAAACCCGAACATACAAGCGGGACATATATTTGCTGATGTGGGTGAAAATGTCAGTCTTTGAAGTCATTAATAACCAGTTGACAGCAGAAGAAACGGGGAAAAGAACACATATACCTCCTAAACAACAACATCAGCAACAGCAGCAACAGCAGCAGCAGCAGCAACAACAAACAACAAACAACAAACAACAACAACAACAACAACAACAACAACAACAACAACAACAACAACAACAACAACAACAACAACAACAACAACAACAACGTTAAAAATGGGGGCGTTGCCGGCTGTGCCCCCCCCCCCATCTGCTACTGTATGCCAAAAAATAACAGAAATTTGCCATCTGGATGGAGCACTGTTAAAATAATGTTCTTCACACCAGCCGAGCATAATGATGTGGCTTTCCTCGCCAGTCGAGTAGTCATAAAATATTCCAAGGTTGTGTAATAGACCCATAGGAATGCGGGAACGTAATGGACGTGCTTAATTGACTGATTGATTAAACATTTTGCAATTTGTTTAAAAGCAGGCGTTGTGCGGCGGTGTTGTGTGTTGAACACTGAACGATGGCGTCACACGAGAACGCTTTTGGTTGACGTTTGAGACATCCGGGTTTTTTTTTTTGTTGCAGTCAAAGTTACGGTGACATGTGATTGACCGATTGACTGAAACTCTTCTTGATAACAAAATGTTAATGTCTCATGCATGAATCATCATTCATTTTGCATGGTATTGTTAATTTTGAATATAAATTATAGAAGTTAGAAGTGTCAGGTCTTTTCCTCTTTTGTCTGAACTTTGATGTAAGCCAAAGGAGAATCCGGGGGCACTTTAAGACTTAAAATCATCTTCAAAAAACACTTGCTGAGTACCCCGTAAACATCCTCACCCCAAGAGGAAGGTAATGACTTTATGTAATACTTAGGAAAGCGCCCTAGGAGAACCAAAGGTGTACTTCGGGACTTAAAAACTGAGCGTTTCGCAAAGTGATGTCTTCGCCCTCTAGGGCCATGACACACGAGGTAATTTAAACCAAAGGCAACTTGTACTGGGCAATTAATATTCTCCAAGAACAGAACGAAAGGCAAAATGTAATTCCATGTAATGTTTTGGGGAATTTCCATCAAGGCATTAAATGTACCGGTCATGTAATTTGTTCTTTTGAGGGTGGCTTTATAGCTTGTGTAGTCTCTTTGGTTGCCTCCAAGTTGCCTGTGAAAATTGCCTCGTATAACTTGGCCTTAAGAGCAAGGTAAGACTTGATTTGCAATTTGATGGCTTATGCAAGGTTTCTGCGGATTCTGACCTCGCAACGACCCTCCATCTTGACTGTGTCATCATCATTGTGCATGATGAAGCATCAAGCATACGGACAAGAAGAGCATTGGTCACGACTGTGTGGCAAAAGCTCTTCATCCCAACTAACTCGTCTGCGAGCGTATCAGCTCGGAGACGATGACATGGCATAGCCCCAGGACGGGATTATACGAAATCGCTTGTGATTTTGGTACACCACAAGAAATATCATAATTTACACTCGTTGAAGGGTAGGCCTATTTCTGTCAGATGGACCATGAAAATATTAGGAGCTTACAAGCTAGTTTCCCCATGCAGCGTGAAATCCATTTATACACCTGTACGTTCGATTTTGTCTCAGGCTCGACTTGGTTTCACGCCGGATTACCTTCCAGCAGCAAGTTGAGCTCATTATTCTGTTAGGGGTTTGATTCGGTCTTTCAAGTTTTTGTTTCAGGCGTTCAAAATGACATTTGCGCGCAAATTTTGTCCAAACGGACGGTAGTTTTAATCGAACTGTCACAAAAAGCAGGCGCTGATCCAGAGGGGGGCTTTGGGGGTCAACCCCCCCCCCCAGCTCTGTCCCCCAAAAAAATTATCATACAAATTCCTAAAAAAATAAGTCAAACCCCCTCCCCCCCGACACCCCAAAAATATTATATAATGTCCGCCTGTTCAAAATACCGTACACCATTCTGTAATCTAGTGTTAATAATCGTCGAATCTGAACAGCGCCCCCTATTAAACTGTGGTAACCCCCCCCCCCAGTTTTTGAATTTTACGGAGGCCAAGTGCCTGTAGAAAAAAACCTGTGTACATTTTAAGATTGATGACCCCCCCTCCCTGCGAAAATTCCTGGATCCGCCCCTGAAAAGGTATAATGTTGTCATGACTATCTTTTAATTTAAGGAGCCGAAGTTGAAGATTTCTCCAAAAATATTCCCTACTTGTCAGTTCATAATCATGTGAACCTCTCATAATCTGATCTTGCATTAATACAATGTATTTTTTTTCTCCTGAATTGACGTCAAATTAAAGTTTTTGCTCCTTCCATGTTGAAATACTGATGGTGATTTTTCACCCGTGAAAATAATGTGCACTTTCCGTGACAGTGAAGGACAGACTGCTAAAAGCGTAATGAGTGTGATATTTGAAGTGCTCTCTCTATAACCGATGTAAGGGATTGCGATTTGGTACTGCTGAATTATTTTGCGATAGGTGTACCTGTTTTATTCATAGGACCATTACCTGCGGGATATCGATAATCTTTCGTTACTTACCTTTCTGTATAATGAATGCGAATTAAAAAGGCGTGGCTAAATTTTTCATCAAGGTTTCGTCACAATAATATCTCACAGCGGCTGCGTCAGTAATTTCTCAGCGACCTTGACATCAAGTTTCCAACGGAAACTGATAATTAATGCAGGTTGCCATGGCAGCGGCAGAGTCAATTTTTTTTGCGCGCTTTCAGTGTTAGCGTGTATAGGTATACACTACGGTATGTTTAATTTCCCGGTGAATAGTTCCGATGATTTATTGTTCAATTTTCCTTGAATTGGTATTTCTGAATCTGTTTTTGGTTGTGGAATTTCAATTCTAAACTGCACAGAGAAAAAAAAGAAGAAATTGAATTACTTTGTTCTTTACCATGACAGCCTGCTGCGGGCAGATAAAATAGGCTGTATCAACAACTGTGTGGGTCTGGTGCGGGGTGCATTGGATGCTAATCGATTCCCTTGAGGCGAGTAGGAGAATGCTTCAACCTCATCCATGCCATTTTAATCTTGATTTACCATAAGTCGTTTCCATTCCCCTATAGATTTTACCTACTGTATCGTATTTCCAGACTTCAAATCTAACAAAATCCTGCATATAGTCTCTCGTGACGTCGCATCATGATCATTTTAATTCCCAGAACTGAGTCTTATATTCAGCGTGAGTCATATGCAACACAATGCAATTTTTTTTCTTTCGAAAAACAACTGCTTGTTTTTCGTCTATTTTCTTTTCAACATTATGATTATTTTTTTTTTGACCGGGAAAATCCTTGGTGCTTTGTGATTGAGACCTGAAATTTGAGAATCTTTCGCGTCTTTATGAGGTCATCTTCGTGAGGCTGTCATCTTGTTGGTTTGTGTTGCCCGACAAATTGACGCTCCCGTTGCGAAGAGGAAACATGGAGCTTGAGCAAAAGAATTGGTCTTGTACGTATGTAGAGCCCATTAAGGTGCTGCGTCCCATGCTTTATTCATAACGGTGTTAACTCGCTGTACCGTACAAATTAAATTATGCAAGGGCGGTCCGTTTTACCAGTGGATCAAGACGTCTCTCATGAAAGACTTAAGTTGATTTGAATTGATGTGAGTAGAGAAAACAGAAGATGACAGCCTGCCCAAAATGTAGGTTTGTAAAATTTCTGACTAAGGACTATAAATTCTTTTTTCTGATCCCCTTTTAGTGTTGAAAATGCATGGGAAAATTGTAGTCCATATTAATACTAAACGTCTTGTCAACACAGTCATGCAGACGTGGTTCCAGATGGGGGGTTTGGGTCGACCCTTCCCCCTGGTCTGACACACCCACTCACACACACACACACACACAATTATAACAATTACTGCTCTGACACCAAAAAAAAAAATCAAAAAAATCTGACAGGCCTAAAATCCCCCCCCACTGCAAAAATTCCTGGATCCACCCCTGCCACATGGTGAGCATTGGCTGAGTAGGCCTATATTTCTGCTATATCACTGATTTGTTTACAATTTAGTTATGAAATCCGCTCAATGAGAAATACACCTTAGGTAGGCCAACAAATTGTTATTCTAGTCGTATTTTTCTCCATTCACCACTCTTATGGGTTGGCCTAAATTATTATGCAAGTAACAAAACATCAAATACCACGATTTTGCTTTGGTCATAAGGTCATGTTTGCCGAGCTAACAAAAGAGTACAAAACCAGCATGCATGCACCATTATGCACCATAGTTTGCTAAATAATTAAAAAATATGGAGAAGCTTAGTTCCTTAAATTGTTCGTCGATACAAGTACTCTGATAAATTAATGTGACTGATGACCTGAACGAGTGTCTTTGTTACCATGGCAGCGACATGACGGCTGATTGGACAGATCAAAGTTTAAAAGGAATCATCGTGGATACATATGAAAACGTTAAGCGATCCGTCATGCTGTTATAAATTGACTCAAAGTATTGATGGGCATTAATTAATTGAAGGTAATGAACAACAAACCAAGGGAATATGATTGTCAGTGGTGTTTATTTCAATGAAATATAAAATATTTTGATCAAAAATATACTACATAAGACCAGATTACTTTTAGTTATTTGATGAAGAACACATCTTAGGACTCAAACATGAACACGAGTAAATTCCGGGGGGAAAAAGATGCGTCAAAAGACCTCACACAATAATTCAAGAAGACGTACTTTCAGGAATCCACATCCGATGACGTCACCGCGTTGTTGCTGTGCAGAAGTCAACAACTTTTGAATGCAGAAACCCCTGTCGAAGCAAACGGCACACATAGAGTGGTGGACTTTGATGTCAAGATAATAAAATGCCTCAATCAAAAGGCTTTCTCAGTGAATGGTTTCCCGAGTCTTTGATAATGCAATGCACTGTAGGCGGGTACAGCTGTATAATTGATCCAGTTTCTGCTCCATGTCACAATATTACCGGTACTATGACATCTTGCATTGTGTAATGATTGGGTATTGGTTAGTATTACTTTTGATTGCTGATGTTGAATAACGTAACGATCAATTTATTATTCGTGGGATGTTTTGCGATCGACGATAGATTGGTGAGTAGATATTCAGTGGCTGAAACTATGAGCAACAATTTTATCTTAATAAAGGTTTGCAAATTATACCTGGCAGAGCAAAATGGCATCGGATACCTATTGCCCCGCGACATTTCGGACTTGTGTGGCGTCGGACTTATGAGGCAAAATTTCCGCCTCATAGGTCCGACGCCTCATAAGTCCGACGCCTTATAAGTCCGACAATGGACAAACGCTGTTTCGGCCTTATGAGGCGTCGGAGCTACTATGTGGCGTCGGACTTATGCGGCGTCGGACCTATGAGGCAGAATTTATGCCTCATAAGTCCGACGCGTCAGGTCCGACGCCTCCTAAGTCCGAAATTTCGGACTTATGAGGCGTTTGACTTATGAGCGGACCCCGATGCGGGTATACATGGTGTCAGGATCAAGTATAATTCTCATGTTATTTTGTGATCAACGAGTAGGTGTTAAGATAGATTGGTAAACGATGAGAAGAATAATTATGTTTAGTAGTTCCATTTGCACTAATTTAACTTGAAGAGGGCTAAATTGCTAATTCCTGGCAGAATGAAATAGCGTCCGCTACCTTTAAGGTGAACTGAGTCGTACGTGTACCCGGTGAGATCACGGAGGCAGGATCGAGAGTAATCAAGCAAACGAGACTCTTGATTAGCTCTCCGCGTATATAATGCAAGAGAACGAGGTGAAAGCCGTATGCCATAACGATGTGTGCACGCTAGAGGCAATTACATGTTGAAACCAGACAGTTTCAGCTGTACTGTTACTCAGACGATGACGTTACCATAGCGCTCACCTGTATTTACCTGTGTATGATAAGACATCAGCCTACAGTCATGGGAAAACTGCAAAACTAGGCACCAAGCCAGACACGTCTTCAAAAAAAATCTTAAGTGGTCCCAAACTCCGCACCGATACTGAACCCTGAGGGTTTCCCAACAATGTATCTGCCACTCCCTGGTGCCTTTCCGTTTTGCCATGGCTATGATAATGTTCCACACCGCATGATGTATTCTGCAATAGGAAACATTTAACAGACATGTAATTTATGTACGACAAAACCAGACATTCAGCCAAAGCCATCTTCAAAATTCTTGGTCCTTCCTCCATGGTATCTCCAGATCAAGCCCACCCTAACAACCCACGTGTAATACTGACCAGCTTATACTACCCATCAATCTCTACAATATAATTCCTCCCTGATAACTTGCATATGCATACTGTGCAATCATTGATAATGGATTTGGCATGTCATGTGTGTGTGTGCCGTCCAAACTGCATGTGTAACTCATCATCGTTGCAAGTGTATCCTATTAAATTTCTGGTTTCATTTACAGACGAAGTATGCGACAAACGTACTACATCGGTAATACAAGTAAGCGAGACAACAGCACGACAAGGCTGCATGTGGTCATGTGATTTCACGAGCGAGCAGGAATAGGCGTGCCAATCGTCGAGGAAAGCAATCTGGACGTCTGCAAGCCTTCAGTTCACCTGAACAACCGCACCGATGCTGTTAGACGTGGAAATCACGCGGGATGCACTTGTTAATGAACCTCGCACATCACCCAAACCCATTAGCGAGTCATGAAATGATCGGAGCCATTTTGAGTATGTAACATTAAAGAGTCGTCGGGTCATATCCAAGTTGAATATCAAATCAGTCAACATTCTCTTTAATTGTCTTCTGTTGTTATAAAAAAAACCTTAAAGCCTCACCACAAAAGGGCTATAATGATCATGTGACCCATACTTCGATCAAGTCTCGCTCGTTCCAACTTTCCCGGTCTATAATTCAACATATTGCCCCGGAATAGGCACTCTGAAAATTACCTATAGCTGGACTATTTTCAGCACAATCTTTACTTGATGATTATCTTTGAAGGTGCTGGGTATGTAAGAAAACAGGCCATGGGATGACGTGATGTCTCTGTTTTCAGTCCCATAACTCAAAGCATTTGTAAATGTCTCGAACGCGGGTCGACAGCCTGGAAGTCTACCATACAGCGAACATGTGGCGAGCACTTGGGTTACTCTGCACACATATGATTCGAGAGATCGATGTGACTGCATTCATCAACCGAAATCTATCAACGATGAAGCTTAATTGTGACGTATGCAAGGCTTCACTTCAGTGATTCTCCATTAAGTTGCATACAATCTTCCAAGCAAACGTCATTGAGCTGAACAGATAGTGTGTGTCTTGCAGAGCATCACGCATTTCTTCTGAGGAGGCAGTAATTTTGGAGGATAACTATACCGTCATGTCTATTACACGAGACAGGTCTAGCTCCCGGACGTCTAGTTTACCAGATCCCATGGCGATCATTAGTCAGCGCGCCAAATCCAAACGCGTCATCGTCAATGTCGGGGGTGTCCGGCACGAGGTAAGGAGAGCCATTTATTTGTGAGATTTTAAACCAATTCTCGTGCGATCCTAAAAATCAAAATCGCAATAGACTCGTACCAATGTCGGGTCATCAAGCATTAATAAGTGAAACATTAATAATGAAACAGAGAGGAAAATATGAATAATGAAATGAGGATGCGTGAATTTGTGTTCATCTATTGAAAAATGCATGTCATGTCGTGCGTAACTGCTGCTTCACTCAATGAGATGACACCTTGGAAAAAGATGTGCGTTGCTTGATGAACCAGTCGCTAACAAACAGTGCAACATTGTGAGGTGAGCTGCTGCAGGGCCTTCATGCAAATAAAACGCCAATGGAGAGGAGACACGAAATCTTTTGCACCATCTTTCTAAACCTTTAGATCAAAAGGACTTAACATAAACTAAGTCTCTCTTGATTTTTTTGTGCAGGTGATGTGGCGTACTCTTAATCGTCTCCCGCGCTCCCGTCTTGGCCGGCTTCGAGACTGCACCACCCACGAGACCATCATGGCCATCTGCGACGACTACGTCTTCCTAGACAACGAGTACTTCTTCGATCGACATCCAGCCTCCTTCAACTCCATCCTGAACTTCTACCGCACTGGCAAGCTTCACCTGATCGAAGGAATGTGCCCGATCTCCTTCTCCAACGACCTGCAATACTGGGGCATCGACGAGCTCTACTTGGAGTCTTGCTGCCAGCACAAGTACCACCACAAGAAGGAACAGCTCCTTGAGGAAGAGAAGAGGATAGCAGAGAGTCTCAGGGAGAACTACCAGGAGACGTTTGGTACCGGTTGCTGGACCAAGAAGAGGATGAAACTCTGGGATCTTATGGAGAAACCAAACTCATCCAAAGCTGCCCGGGTAAGATTCTTTCACAATACGTAGGAAATTTTACAAGATAGTAAACTTTAAAAGAAAGTAAAGCTGCAGTGTTTGATTCATAAACATCGCTGCTGAAATTTTAACACCAGTAGTATTTAATTTGATGTTTACAAAAACTGTTCACTGAAATGTGCTACAGTATACTGCTCGTAATCAATGAATTATGGGCAAACGCAACTAAAACGGGAATTACGCATACCAAAACCAAGACATCATGTAATCTAATATAAAGACAGTTTTACTGGGTCCGTCAAGCTGAATATGTTCTCTCAAGTCTGGAAAACAGTAGTAGATTACTTAAACCTTGTTTAAGTACATCTCAATCACTTGTTTGTAGATTACTTGAGGACTGATATTCCTTATTGTCTGAAATCTTCAAGCGCCCCTCGACAATAGGGTCAGCAGCCTTAAACCGAATATCTAGGTAAAATGAATGATCCCTTTATGTTTTCTTTGCATGTGAGGATGATCTATAGCTTTTGAAGTCTTTCTGAAAATTCCAACATAAGATTATTTTTTTTAGCGCGGACTTCAAGAGAAGGTTGAAAATGAAAACTGCACCCTTGTAATTTGTAGTCATCGCTGTGGGTTATATGACGTCTGTATAATGTTGTCAGAATATTGCCATGAAATATTCATGGCGCGTTCCAGGACCTCGCAGCTATAGCGCTGCCGGGCTGGGGCTGTCTTTACTACAGCGTTGTTGCGGGGGAAATGCGGGGAATATATGCCACCTTTTTGGCGCGAACTCGTGATGCGATATTCGGTCGCGCCTTGCTTCGATGGGCGTGAACATACACGGCTATGGTCATTGCTTTCTTGACGCCACGGTGCGATGGCATGTGGCATTTTTTCTGGGGGCCTTCTCAAGGTGATGGAGTCGTCAGGTCGAACTTAACTTAATTACAAAAAGAGCAGAGTTTCAATTCCGAATGCTTTCGCGATTTTCAATCAAGAGAATGAGAAAGGCAACGCGGCTAACCTTTAACTGAAATTCAACTGCAGGTTAAATTCAAAGTGTTCAAATTGTCATATGGCAGTTCAAACTCTCTTTTTAAAGAATCCAATAGCACATCGGTGCATTGGGTATTTATCTTCAAAACTCAATTCAAGGTAGGCCCATAAGCATAAGCATCATGCAAAAAAGATTCCAACACAACACAATCATCATTCGAAGTACATGTATATATTTACTCACAGTGAAGTATAGCTTGAATATTATACCCTTGTACATGCAGTTGCAACATTCTTAGACATCAGACAAAATTTTATCCGGGTAATGAGTAACACACTCATGTTTCTCTGTATCTTGTCTTCTCAGGTTAAAAAAAGACATCTGTATCTTTGTATTCCAGCACTTAATGCCTCTTTATAGCAAGGCATTTTTTAAGTCTTAGGCTAAGGGTGCCATTTTGGCATTTAACGCAGGCTTTCGAAGAATGCACGATGATCAACAGTCCAAAACTGGCAGTCGTAAACGACAATAATTTCCGGTACTTCCACATCAATAATTTGTCGGGAGCTGGTTCACACCAGTCGGAGGCGATTGCTTGTAGCAAGCGGAGACGAAATTTCGATCTCCGTCCCAAATTTGGTAAGACTGATGACAGGTTGCCCCAAAGCAGGGTGTCCTTTGAAAGGTCGCAAAATGTGTCGAGGGGAAATTGGCGCTCGTATTTTTGTTCCTGTGATGTAAGCAGAGCCGTTATGGGTGTAACACGAACATAATCCTATAGCTATCGAAAATTCGAGAGGTTTATTAGTCTTTTTTTGTCTCAAACAATGTAAGAGGTGTGCATATTACACTAAAGGGAACAAAGTGCACGTCTGCTTACGTCTATTTACGTTTTGACCCGGAAAAAGTCAGGTCAAACGTGGATTACGGGCCAAATCTATACCAGGACTTTTTTGAGTGTAATATTCATTACGGTACGGATTTTTATTAGAAAAGTTATTCACAAACCATTTTTGTTTTAAATAGGGGGCCTACACCGAACTTCAAAATTAAATATGTCATTCCAGCTCTTGTTCGTTTGTGTATGTGGGCATTTCTTTGGCGATAGCGTGTACACTGAGTCTATAAACGTAAGCGAAGTTGTTGTTTTTTTCCCCGGAGATTTACAGGTGCAGGATAATGAATGATAATTACCTATGTAAAAATCGATGTCAGGCGCTTGGTGTAACCTTGCTCCACGTGCTTTACCCGTATGCATCGGGATCCGGCAGAGCTCAAGAACAAATTGACTGACATCGCCGATGAGTTTTTTGCAGTAGCTGTGTGTCCCTGTTTGTAATTCTAATTGACATTTCCCACTGAGAATAGTTCCAGGAAAAAATTGGAACACGATTTTTGTGTGTGGGCTTACACAAGTGGCACTCGTGTACGCACGCGGATCGGGCACTCTTCCTTCGATTCCGTTGGTATATTTTAGGTGCCGATAATCCGTGGAGACATATTCCGTTCGTCGGCGATTGTTGACCTACAAAATATCGACAAGCAGAGGACAGAAAGAGCGACGGACTAAATCTAGGTCAAGCACATACAACAAATCTCTTTATTCAGAGAACTCGTGTAAAAAATAATTATGTCTATCAAAGTAAAACCTAAGGCAGTGTATACTTGACCGTATTCCCAAATGTAAGTTATAGTTTAGAAATTGATGCAGTAATTAACATGTTTTATTATTGGATAAAATCATTGGAACAGTTGGTATCAGAATAAATTCGGAGAAAGGGATATTATGTCAGGGACACCACCTCTGGGCGATATTTGTCGTCAACTCATTTTTTCCCCGAAAAATGAATCATTGAGCAAAAAGAATTTTAATTTCCGACTGCCATGAAGATGAATCAATGAAAAACGTATAGTTATATGCACAATACTAAAAGATTTGCTTCTACCACGAGAATTTAAAATTACATGTTGCAAATTTTAATACGATAGATTTATAAATGAGACCCTGACAATATTCTGAACGTTGGACAAATTTGTTCTTGTGCGTCAGTGTTCATTTTTTTTCTGACTAAGTGAAGTCTCATCGGCGTCTCAAGATGTATGATGCTTATACCGACTCTGTATAATTTTCCTCCTAGCTGACTCTTTTTTATTCCGCCGTCTGATCAATCACGTGACTTGTAGTCATGATCTCGCCGACAGGGCTCGGCTATTATATTATTGGTGTCTACTCTTATGCGAAAGGATTGTCAGAAGCCTGACATTAATGTGATTTGTACTCGAGGATATTGTCATGCATTGTGAACTATCAAAAATGATTCCAAAAGTTGGTATCAATGTTCCAGTCGTTTTTCACACCTGTGTCACTTAAAGTTAATGTTCAACATTTCCTTTTGCTGTAATTTTGCTGTAATCAGAAATGGACAGAATTGGGACTAAAGTTATAGCAAATATTGTACACGCTGACCTGTTTAAAGTTTTGTGTTCATTGATGCTGGAAAAATTAAGGAAAAAAAGTGCTGTTCTTGTCGTCTGGTTCCGTGTCCGTACTGAGACGAAAAAGAGTAATTTATAGACGTCAGAAAATTCTCAGGTCAGGGAACTAGACTAGCTGGCTTGCACCCGTTCACGGATGTGTAGCCGACTGGAAACAATTTTTTTTTTTTTTTTTTTTATGTTTGCAAATGCTGTACATTATACTTTTAAAGCTATTTTTTTAAATAGAATTGGAAAAATGTTATCATGGAAAATAGTCAAATTCACTCTCGATGTTCAGTAGCCACACCGCAGGTGCTATGAAGGGATGTAAGGAATGATCAAGATGGGAATTTACATCATTGTTAGACATTTGATACCGACGCGTGCTTGAGACATGTCTCGAGATGATCGATTATTAATGTGCTGCATTAAAGGGTGGACTGCGAGTGAAAAACATGCACGAGTGGTCCTTGGCCTCGATTCAAGCCGTCGTTGGGGATTTAAGCAATCTGCTAGAATTTTCTTCTCTCTGTAATGCCAACTGTACAGATGCAGTACTGTAGGAAACATATTTACCACATTTCTGTTTTGAAGTTTATAATTGCTTGCAAAATACAAATGGCATAGAACACCTTACAGTTTGTTTCCATTCGTCTGTTTCACTATAAAAAAAAGAAGGTTAATTTAAATAAAGAAACAGTTTTATAGAATCCCACAGCTTACTCGAACTTTCAGAAAAGAGAGACGAATACCACCTTTCTTGATTCCAAAAGAGAGGATACATTTAAGTGTTTTTTGTTTACGATAGATGGTGATTTTAAAAATCAAAGTATAAGGCCAACAAAAAAAATAGTCGGTCTCTGGTCAGACCGAAGTTCCGGAATTGATGCGGCGACGCGGGTTTTTTTTTTTTTTTTGGTGGCTTTTTTTTTTCAAGCTTGTATTGTACAGACAAGGTGGGTACTTTTTTGTTTTTTTTGTGTCCTCATTATACATTGTGTCCTCCATAATTTGCCTTGGTGCCCTTTATCATTTGCCTTGGTGCAATTTCCCCATTCCTTGGTGCTCCTTGGTACAAAAATTTGAGGAAGCGCGGCAATAGAGGGCGCTGTTGTAGCTTCCGTGTTAATTTGAATAAAAAAAGGTTGACGCGCATGATTAAAATCGACCAGAGACCGAGTATTTTTTTGGGTCCTAACGGTGGCTTTTAAATTCTTGATAAACAAGCATGCTGAGCATCTATTGAGTTTGAAATTTTCTCTCTCTCTCTCTTGTTTACAGGTGGTTGCAGTCTTATCCATTCTGTTTATCATCTTGTCAACAATCGCCTTGTCACTAAATACTATGGAGACCTTCAAACCCCAAACCGAAGATCTCAAGCTTCGTGATGCAGACAACGAATCCTTGGCGTTGGTAGAGAGCGTCTGCATCGCATGGTTCACCCTTGAGTACCTCCTTCGTCTCATCTCAGCACCCAATAAATGGAAGTTTTTCAAGGGCCCTCTTAACATCATCGACCTATTGGCCATCTTGCCCTACTACATCACGCTGTTTCTCACGGAGTCTCGCGAGAGCGTGATGCAGTTCCAGAACGTGCGCCGAGTGGTGCAGATTTTCCGGATCATGCGCATTATGCGGATCTTGAAGCTGGCCAGACACTCGACTGGCCTCCAGTCCCTCGGTTACACAATGAAGCGCAGCTACAAAGAACTGGGTTTGCTCATCCTCTTCCTAGCCATTGGGATTTTGCTGTTCTCAAGTTTAGCGTACTTTGCCGAAAAAGATGTCCAGAAGTCCAAGTTTAAGAGCATACCCGAGTCTTTCTGGTGGGCAGCCATTACAATGACTACAGTAGGATATGGCGACATTTACCCCACTACTCTGCTGGGTAAAGTGATAGGGTCCGTCTGTTGTGTGTGCGGTGTACTTTTCATTGCCCTGCCCATTCCCATCATCGTAAACAACTTCTCCGAGTATTACCGAGAGCAGGAACGGCAGGAGAAGACGATGAAGCAAAGGGAGGCGTTAGATAAGGCCAAGATGAACGGTAGCCTTGTCAGCCTTAATATCAGAGATGTCTGCCTCGATATGGTAGATGTCATGGATGACACTGCGCATGTGCTGAAAGGCTCCTTCAAGGGTAGCGTGCATTCTCATTCTAGTCCACACCGAAGCATCGGTCACGAGGAGACTTACAGCAACGCATCAGTGGATCTAGGAGCAATGGGGATGGATCAGCAGTCTCGACCGACGGGGGACTACAAGGATGTCCTACCTCCACCCTACAGGTGTGGTCTTGGTGAGCGTCCAACCACTCCACGAGATCGCACCTGTAGCTCTACCACATACACAGACCACGCCAACAAGCAGAGTTCCAGTAGCTTAGCTTCTGATGCCTTCCCGGAGACGGGGCAGACGGAGCGGCCAAAGGTATACCGAGCTATTGGTCGGATGGGACTCATCGTCGGCCACTCTGGGGTTGGAATAGGTGGTCGGGAAGTAGATGACTGTGAGCATTCGAGAAATAGTGTGAAAAAGTCCAGAGAGAGTGAGGATGTACCATCTTACGTTGATGCGCCGTCTACAGGGTTGTTTGGAACTCTTGGAGAGAAAGCCGGGAGGAGGGGAGGCAAGGTACCAACGAAGAGGAGTGTATCTGGCATCTCTGATCGGGAGGATGATCCATTGCGTTCCCCGCCCCACTATACTACGGCAGAAATAAATCAGCCTCTGGAGAGAGAGGCCGCACCGCATGAGCAGAGCCGCTCACGAGGTGGTACCTCACCAAACGATGCAGAAGATGCGAATGAAACTCAACCACTTCTTGGATCGTATCATCCAGCAACAGACGGTGATGGCGCCCAACCAGCCGAGGGTCGTGACAGAGATTCCCCGCAAGGTATAGGAATATCTGCGGAAGATCAGGTCATCGTTCAAAAACTTGACGACGGCTTCACCACAACGTGGACCAAAGCTGGAGCTCAGAGTCCGCAGAGGGAACAGGTGGCCCCTCCGGGAAAGCGATCCAGAGATAAACCCATCAAACCTGTCCTCAAGAATCCTCCCAACTCTAGCGACGAGAGATCATTGGAGCACCCGTCCCTAAGTCGCAAGTCGAGTTCTGGCGACAGTCAGGCTTCACCAAGTAACGTCCGCAAGCGCGTGACCATCGAAGACGACAGGCGTAGCGTAACGTCTACAGACTCTGAGGCACTAGCGGACAATACACCCCAGCCCCGACTGTCCAAGAAACCTGCCAGCAAATGGAAACCCCGAAAATTTAAACAGAAACCTTCTGTGATCCTATCGGGTATCGGAAACCTGACCAGTGGACTCCGAATCGGACATGGAAAGTCGGGTCAGAGGAAAACCGGGTCTGGAGACACCGAGAAACATTACAATCGGACCAGTGATAGCGGTACCTCCGATAGTGGTACCACCCCACCACCAAACTCCAAAAGTACCAAGGGGAAGGGTAGAAGCATAAAATTGCGCACTCTAGCGTTTAAGCCGCCACAGTCTCCAAAGCAGCGCTCCGATACGGCCGCAGTGGATCCAAGATCAATCAAGGATGTATATGACAGCGATTCACAACCCCAACACTCGCCGTCTGTCCAGTTCAGTTTACCGAGTTCGGGTAACTTCGAGGACACCCCGTCACACACCGGTCAATCCAGGCAAAGTAGTGAGAACGAACATTTCATTTTCCCTCCTCTCATCCAGGCGTTTCCTGGAGACGAAGACGCGTCGTCACCGCCCACCAGGAGCCCCCTTGGCTACTCCCCGCCTGCCACGAAGCAGTCACACGACACGTACGATATGTCATCGGGTTCGAGCTCCCCCGTCTCCCGGAAATCGCCCTTGATTATTGGGAATGGGGTAGAACCAGCTCCCATCCAATCGCCGAGTTACGATGACGCGTCGAGAGAGATCACTGTCATAACAGGTGCTGGCCCCAAACCTACAACCCCTGGCTCGAGCCCTATATCAATTAACCATGTAGATCGCGGGACACACCATTAAACTTGTGTGTGCATTCCCAAGTAAAACTTCGACTGAACAATTATAATCAATCTCATCAAACTACTTGATCCATTATACCAAGAGCGGTTTCATTATTGAATTCACATAGCTGTTTAAACCGTCAGGAATCAGACATACGTCTTATTTATAGTCACTATACATATTTTTACTCGTATGTGATATTTGTGACATCTCATGTAAAAGGTGACAACAGAATGTCGAAACAATTAGTCTTAAACGCCCCCAGTAGACTCAATATTTTCCCTTGATAGCAATGTGTGATTAGCTCATTTGTTGTTCTAAGGACATAAGATATATTAAAGTGTTTGTAAACTGCAGGTGCAACTAATTTTGCCCGTAGCACTGACTTGATTTTTATAAATGCTTGAAAAGTACGCATAAAGGGCACCTGGCATTTGGCGAACACCTTATCCAAATACATACTAATTTTGAATTTAACTGATTATACAAATCGGAATTTTCTTTTTACTTTCATAGTAGCGGCCCTGTTTGAAAAAAAGTGATTTGTAATATGTCTCGGATTGCAGGGTTTGATGGCTGCTGTGCAGCAACGCAAAAAAAAAGAAGAAAAATAATGGAATTACATTCCAGTCACCTTTGAGAGTTTGTTACAATATCTAAAAACAGATTCGTTCAGTCGGAGATTTAAATTGCTGAACGATGCTTTCACAGTGTCAAGCATTCCACAACAATGTGCACTTTGAAACTAAATACTGTGACCAAGCCCCAAATGGATCATTCAGATTTTTTTCAACCTCGTGTCCATGCAATCTAGGTGCAAAAAACAAGCACAGAGACCGTGTAGTCCAGGTTGATTCTGTCTTATAGTGGATGTCAAGCTTTCGGAGGCTTTCTTAAATCGTGGTAGAAGCAAATTATGATATTAACTTGCACCTATTTCATTAAAGGGAAATGGATATGAAAAAACGCTAAGCTGAAACTTTCCTGTTCGTAATTTACAGATTTGAACAATATGATGTACTCGACTTCACATTTTGAGATCTTAAACTCTTATAAGTATTCCAAGAAGGTTTAATGTCTACTCCTTTCGTCATAAAGAGTTTCAAATCATCTTGAATATGTAAAATAAAATAAAAAGATTCGCTCCTTCAACTTTCATCTTTCTCTAGCCGTAAAGCATTTAAGGCATCTCGATCTAAAATTTCACAAATCTTCGCAGGTGGAGTTTTCTTCTCTTGTTCGTAGATGTTTTCCAGCAGGTAAGAAGGACAATAAATGATTTTTCAGCAATGTGTAGAACTCTTGAAAATACTGTATTCTAGTCTATCCCCTGACCAAAATATGCTAAGTGTGTTTTAAACATTACCGTAGCCTTTGTCACAATATTGGACATAGCCAAGTCACAAGATGTCGTCTGCGAACTAAGTCTTTCAGCACCTAAATATTTGCCCATTTATTAAATATTATAAAATGATGTGCTAATTACATTGTTCAAGGTACAACTGTTTAGCATTTTGATCAAAGTTTATTTACGCAAACGATGGACAAGCTTGACCATTTTTAGATATGAAAACGCAGAAAAAACACGTATGTTCATGTTTTCCGGGCCAAATTACGCCATCTATCTATGAAAATGCAATAAAGAACTTTGTCATGTGTCAATTCAAACCTTGGTACAAGTGATAAAAATGTTAGCAGGTGTTTTGTACCCAATTATAATTAACGCCTATGGCTACGCCCATGAAAGTCAAACTGAACTAATGTACAAATCTCTTTCCTACATCTGTAATCATATTTATCATGAAACAATGATCGTTGCTATATTTAATCTCAGGTCAAGTCTCGATTGTAATTAAGGAATTCTTTATAATAGTATTTGACATTTTAATACTTGTAAAAATGTATGTAACAATTATCCAAACCATTCATATTTATATATGTAAATGAATGTAACTTCTGATTTTCTTTTCCAACATTGTATACTAAAACAATATCGTTAATGTAATCAGATAAACATAATTATAAATACACAGTGCATGGCCAAGAACTACCAAGTGATTGTATAGCAAGCCTCCCTTCTTGGCTAAAATAAACGAGGTCGTGGTTGGCATCGTCAACGTATATGAACTTTAAGGAAAGATTATGAAGTGATAGTTGTTTAATCGTTCGAAAGAGGGCGTTATATTCCACAATTATATATTTTTGTTGTATCCTCACCTATTGCGTTGATAGATTCTTGCTCGTCTTTGTCTGGCTTGATTTACAGTTCAGTAACTCGATCGGTCCCATTTTTCGGACATCTGGCGAAAATGTCTCCTTTCCAGGCTTAGACCACTTCAGCGTGCAGGCTGAGAATAAGTGATGCTTAGCGGAGGGTCGACGAACTGTCTTGTTTTTTGGGTTTTTTTACCAAATCTTTTGAAACTCTTCACTACCATAATTATTTCTGGCTCTCCTTCTCTGCGTTTTCTTTGTCTATGTCGCGTTTGTCTGGCTCGCTTTTGTTAGCTCACTTAATTGTCTTGTTCACGTGTGTTCGGATTGATTTTGTGTGGCGTGATTGAAAGTTCGGTAACCCGGTCCAATTCGAGCACCTGGCGCGAATTTCCTGGTCCCTGATTGGTCTGATGCCGCGTCTTTAGACCAGGTCATCATACGGGCCAGGAATAAGTGAATGCTTAGCGCGTTGGGGAGGGTCGACGAACTGTCTACACTATAATGTATCAGTTCGAACACTTGACTCGCATTCTGGTTCTGCATTCGTATCGCTCGCTTTGGTCTAGCTCGCCTATATTGTCTGACTCGCATAATTATGTCTAGGTCGCCTTTGTGTGACTTGATTGACAGTTAAGTAACGTGAACCTACTCGAACACCGGGCGCGTCATTCATTGGCCCTAATCCAGGCCTAGGCCAGGTCAACGCACTACCCAGGCGAATGCTAAGTGTGAGGTCGACAAACTGTCTTCGGTCTTTATTTAATTAAAAAAAAAAAGCAAAGATTTAAAAACTAGCCACATGGTCAATGCCTTTCGCGACGGCCAGGTGTCTTATCTCGTGTGGATCAGCCCAACCGTTGAGACGAGATAGCGCCCTCTGTTGGCTGATCAGTTGGATCACATAAGTATTATAATTAACACAAACCCCTTACTCCTCCCGCTAAAAACAAACAGCTTCCCGTTATTTATAGAAGCATTTACCAATGAAAGTATTATTGCAACCGATGGCATTGATAGGCCTAGTGTGGGTTTTTTTTTTGGGGGGGGGGTGGTAATAATGGGTAAAGAACAAATTCCCAAAGAATTAATTAAAATAATGGCCTACTTTGCAATGAGAATCACTGGGTTTGATTTCAAATTTGTCTATCATGTACAGGAATGAGGATTCTGTATCGAAGGTTCGCTTTTAAATGTTTAATTTATTATTACATGTACTTTATCAGACTTTATGGATTCGAGTCACAAACATTTTCAGATGCAAGACCTAAACTATAGAGGCTACTTTTTTGCACTGGAAGGGTATGCAGAGGGTTACACCTCTATGTTCCGACACCTCTATGTTCCGACTGCACATATTCCTATTCCTAACCCTAACCCTAACCCGAACCCTAACCCTAACCGGGAGTAACACAATCTAGGTTGTCGGAACATAGGGGTGTCGGAACATAGAGCAGTCACCATGCAGAGTGTCTATACCTTTCATTAACAATTCCACAAACAAATATTCTCACTTCTTTTAATAATAAAATATTGTCTTCATAATCATTGACCAGTTGCAAGCTGAGTGGTTTTATATAAAACATTTCTTCTCTAAGTGACATCGTAGATCTCCCACCTTATTTTCTCTAAGTTTAATTTATCGATCAGGTTTTCCAGTCGAATTCAATCGTGTTAGGACACATCGTCTGACGATGTTGCTGGTCTTTTTTTCTGTTTATCTAGGCCTACACAAACAATTCATATTGGATCCAAAACTTACTTTGTGTTTTCCTGGACCGTTATTTCAACAATATTCTTGCAACCGTTCTCATTTCCATTTTTTATTTTATACCATCCTCGACTCCCAGGGGAAAAAGATATCTATAGGCAAAGCAGATTTTAAGCCTTCAATTTAAATTAGATTTCTGTTTTCACATTGTAATATTTTATAACTTGAAGTTCATGCAATGTATATTTTAAGGACATTTGGAGACGTCATTTGTGTGCTTAAGAAGAAAGAGAACCAACAATATATCCGAGCGTTTTTAAAAAAAACTGTTTTTCGAAAAACTTCGGACAGTTTCGGTCAAGGGTGCATCCAGAGGGCCCCCTCCCCCCCCCCCCCCTAAAAAAAACCCCCCATTGTTACGTCGCAATAAAGGCAAGTCACTGCGTACACTGCCATCTTTTCCTTTAAAAAAAATGGTTAAAGTGGTGAGAAATTGCCTCAGATCGCAACACAGAGCATCTAGAATCCCAACAAAAAAATTCGAGGCCCTTAAGCGGGCCCCGAACCCCACGCCGTCATTTTTGGACCCACTTTTTGGGGACCACAATTGTGTTGCCTCCCCCCCCCCCCCCCAAAAAAAAAAATGTGTTCTGGATCCGCCCTTGGTTTCGGTCCCGAGCAGAAGTTTGCCTGGTCTGGTCAACTTATCTAACCCGAGATTCGCCAGAATAATCAGAGTCTTCAGGTCAGGGAACCAGACTCGAGTTTGTTCGCACAAACGACGGCCTCGTACTACTCGTACCATCGTCATACTTTAAATGTGAAAGTTGTGTTCTCTCGGTTTTTATTACTTGTAGAATAAATCTCCGATCAACCTTTAGAGTGAATACAAACAATAAATGATTTACAAACCAATGCAATTGATCTTGATGTACAATCAAGGTCGTACTTTAATTTATCCTTCAAATTATTACAGTCCAATTTGCTTAATACAATCTTAGGCCAAAACAATAAAGTCAAAATAATGCATTTTTGTGATAATTCCCATTTTCTACAAGGGAAGAGCATAATTAAAGTAGGTTTACTGAGTCAGAAACAGTGTAATAATAGAGATAATTTCATCGCATACAGAACCGTTTGAGGAAAACCATCTTTTCCTTGAGATTTTCAGACCAACCCCCGGCAATTATAATCTCGAATTATCGTTTTAAAAAGGGGTTCCCCATGGATTCATGGGGCGTTTTGGATAAAATATTTTTTTCTCCCGGAAGTATCACAGTGTCTTTAGTTGTTTTCAATCTAAATTAAAGAAACAGATATATAGAGTATCATATTCGCAGTTATTAGAAGTTTAAAGGGAATATACAACATTTGCAAACATCAAAAAATAAAACTACCCAGTTTTTATGAAATACCTTACTAGGATGTTGGTAAATGACAGTCTAAAACATCCTGTAAAATTATGGCACCTGGTGTGAAGTCATTTTCAAGAAAATTGTGTTTTTGTGTAAATTTCCAACAGTGGTCGGCCGACCACCGTTAGAAAAACCTAACTATTTTTCAACTACTGCTCTAAATTCACCATTTTTTCAGTCCAAAAGTTTGTTTGCTAGTGGTTACATGTTAATGAACGGGTGCAGGCAAGCTAGACTGCTTCCCTTACCTTACAAATTTCCGGCATCTATAAATTGATCCATTTTATCTTTAGTGGAGTCAGGGAACCAGACTACTCCACCATTTTTGTTTTTCTTGGTTTTTCCAGCATTTTCGAACACAAAACTTCAAACATGTCAGAATAACAATATTTGATCTATCATAGTAACTCCTCAAATAGTTCATTTCTGAAAATTACAGCAAAAACCAATGATGTACATTCCCTTTAATAATTTTTTCGTAGGTCTAGGTCAACTGAACACTCTTTAGCTGGACATGTTCTTAAATATCAGGTTTCAGCTACCGTGCATGGGGTAGAGGTTTGTAAACCGATGGGTTCCTCTAACAAGATCTTGGGAACATTTCGCAAACGAAGCAGAAGAACACGTCCTTGCGCCACTTATCGTACCAGCTCATGTTGTTGCTGTTGACAACTACGCAATCTTCGTTGTAGTAATTGTCCGGTTGGCCTCCTGTCCAACGGGTGAACTCGACGTCACTGTCATCCTGCTGCCACCTGAAATGCCCCTCCTCCGATACGTCGTTTGCACTGTGTATATGAGAGGTGAAAGGTCAAAGTTCAGCTGGTGTCATGGATCATTTTACCTTATTGATTATTACCCGCACAAGTGACATGTCACTGTCTAATAGACTATTAGGCCAAAAAAAGGCTCCGGTTTCTGGTATGGAGCTTGCCCAAAAAGTGGTGCAGCGACGCGGCTTTTTTTTTTTTTTTTTACCCGACTTTTTTGCTTCAAATGTCGGCTGGTGACTGCAAATGGTGCCAGACTAAACTTAGTACAAATATGCCTATATGGGATTGGGAGTCCAGAGAGGCCACATAAAGCTTATTCTCGACCATAACTCCATCTAAAAACACGTTAAACCAGTGAGTTTGGCGGTTTTGAGACATCTACCATTGAAAAAAAAACGTTTTCATTTTGCCGACGCGCATGGCTACAGCGACGCGCGCGCATACCAGTAACCGGAGACTTTTTTTTTGGCCTTATCATGTTGCGGCCATCTTGATGTGTTCCCATTCAAATCAAGGTAACAAAAGCGAGGATGGAAGGAAAATAGTCTGGTTCCTTTTTGCACAAAAACATTATCAATCAGAACTGTTATTGGATACGGGGAACACGACTGAAATGGTGGCAGAAGGATAACGGTCTATTATCTTTGGCATGCGGAATACAACCAATAAGTCCGTGTCTCATAACGGAGTTCAAGTTTTACCCTGCACCTGTCTATATAACTTGGAAAAGTCAGTAAATGTTTAAGGGGTGTATGAAAAAAACCCTTAAATCAAAAATGTTATCCGCAAATAAGCACGTTTAAGCTATGGACACATCAGATAGGCGTACATCAGAAGGGAAGGTCATATCCACGTTTGTGTTTAGCTGGGTCAACCATGATCCGCTCCGTTCACAAGTACCCCTCACCGGCAAAGAGAGTACAGTTGGGGATGACCGACCAACGCCATCTTGCCTGACTGCATTTGCTGCGAAGCGCGGCCACTGCGTGTACATAGTTCAAATCCCCTGGTGTACGTGCGTCACACACAAGGAACAGTGCGCGTCAACCAGCGAAATGTCCCGCCAATGGGACGCCGTTGCTAGGTAAAAGGGCGCCCTCTTTCGTCGACGCACGGAGCCCATTCGCGTTCGTCGATAGCGGCCTCAACACTCCAAGCGAAATTCGTCAGTGTTAAATATGATTGTGTCAGAATATTGCCACTATGAAGCAAGGGCGGATCCAGAAGACAATTTTTGGGGGGGGGGCCAAAAAAATATTTGGTCCCCCAAAAAAGTGGGTCAAAAAATTACAGCGTGGCCCCCTTTGCCCCCCCCCCCTGGATCCGCCCTTGCTATGAAGCCTTCTCGTTAGAAAATTCACGTTCGCGATTGCCTTCGAACCGAACCCCGGTGCGTACTTGGCGCCAAAACGAACGCAAATTTATGGCATCACAACAAAATACTCGCATTTCTACGAAGCCCGGGAAGGGACAGGGTGGATTTTTTTTTGGCAGTTTGCTAATTCGTTCGCACGAATTACTAATTCGTTCGCACGAATTACTAATTCGTTCGCACGAATTACTAATTCGTGCGAACGAATTACTAATTCGTTCCCACGAATTACTAATTCGTGGGAACGAATTAGCAAACTCCAGTAATTCGTTCGCACGAATTACCAATTCGTTCGCACGAATAACTCCAGTAATTCGTTCCGACGAATTAGGCATTCGTGCGAACGAAATAGCAATTCGTGCGAACGAATTAGTAATTCGTGAGAACGAATTAGTAATTCGTGCGAACGAATTAGGAAATTCCAAAAAAAAATCCACCCTGTCCCTTCCCGGGCTTCATACATTTCACTTCCGGTGAATTTCGCATGTTTCCTGGAGTCACAATCGCTACGTGTTGGCATTCGCATACAGATCCAACTTGCATATTAATCGAACTGTTATATATGTTTTATATCAACTCACCCAATCCAATATTTATCCCCGCACGGGCCCCCCTTGTGCTGTCTGTAGAAGTTGTTGACCCAGACCTGGTCATCATAGTTTCGGATAGTGACCAACCAACCTCCTTCTTCTTCGCAGCGGTTTCGCGCGTAGTAACACGAGTGCTTTTGTTCCTGCCACGCCCTATAGCAGTTACCGCTTTCTCTCTGAATATAGCCACCGGGACATTCGGCGCTTACAATCGCTGCCGAAGTCGCAAGGAAGAACGTTACCAGGAGCAGTCTCGCCATCTCTGGTGTGATGTGTTGGCAAACCTCACCAGTGTGGTAACCATCCCTTCTATATATAGAGCGAAAGTCGTGCTTGAAAATGCCAGGTCCCTGCCCATCAAATCTGAACAAAAGAATCGCCGTCAAATGTACGCCAACACCTGTAAGATAAGAGATTTGCAGTGGGAGAGAATGTAGGAGCAAGGGTACATGTAGGGCAGGTAGATGGAGGGCTGCGGCTCAGTGGGTCTCAGCTACCGCGCTTCGTAGGTCGCGATAACTAACACATTGTCACTCATAACAGCTAAACGAATAAAGAGGTCCGTGAAACATAAACATATATCAACCTGTCCATTTTAGTCCTCGTCTGCCCATCAAAGGAAAATATCTGTATCAGCTCATTTTCAAAACACAGTTTAATTGGCAGCCACTAATTTCAAGAAGCCCATTATTAAGTATCTGATTTTTGTAAAAGTTTCGGGTCACATCTATTGGCGTTTCGTGCCTTTTTTCGACTTTCGATTAACAAGATGGGGTCTCGGTAGCTTTACCCCTCACGAGTGTTTGAATTCAAAGAGGACGTGGTATTGTTTCCCCTTCGCTCGTACCCTCCGCCCTGCAAACAGGACGCTGGGATACTCTGGTGAGCTTCACAGAATCTTGTGAAGGAAGTGGCCTATGACCTATGTATAAAGCATCTGGCTGCAGCTGTTCAAGACTGCAGTTAGACAATGTGCGCAAATGCTATCCGAAAACTTCCCATAGAAATGCACATGTGGACAAAATTTTGAGCGTCGCATAATGCAATCCGACCGTTCGTGATTAGAGTAGCTAGAGACGTCATTATTGGGGCGGGGGTGTCAGGGGGACCAAGGTCCCGCCGTCGCTTAACTCAACCCTCTTCAATAAAGCTCCAGGGACTCAAGCTTGGAATGGGACATTTTTTGTTTCCCTTAAAAAAAAAAAAAATTCACTCTGAAACTTACCAACGGCCATTTAGTGATTATTGAAATGGTTTCCAAGTGTTTGAGTAGGAACCGATCAGCCAAGAAAATGTGATTGGCGGGCGAGGCTTAAAACGGACATGAGTTTGGATATTATCTCCATTTCGTGGCCATTGTGTCATTATCACACCATACGGAGACCAAACAAATTTTCCGTCCGCCTGCCGTCCACGATTACAAAGCTTTTGCAAGCAGGTGTTAATAATGGCGGTTCTTTTGTCCAAATTATTTTGACGATTAGGGGCAGTGGTGGTATTTTGAACCAGAAAGGCTCTTTTCATAATGAGGGATGATCACCAAGCTGGTGCCGGCAAATACACACACACATCAAAGATGGCAAGACAGCTCCTTCTTGCGTTCTTCCTGGCGACATTCGCCGCGATTGTGAGCGCCGAGTGCCCTGACGGCTACACCTAGCGAGAAGGTGGCAACGTATGTAAGCTTTTTGAACATATATCTAATACCGGAGTGAGAGAGCAGATAGTGGCGGTAAACGTACTGCTCGATACCATGGAACGAGGTTGCTGGACGGCCAAAACGCAGTCTGGATGTGTTGGTTTTAATAACATGCACGCGTCTATTCCATATAGTCAGGTGGCCTTTGGTCGGAATCGTGACCGACTGGTCCAAAGCCACCAAACTTGGCAGATAGATTCTTATAGCCCTAAAGAATATATTTAGAAGGGGTGACACCTGAAATGCTTTTGGGAAGGGTGCTTAATTGGCATAAATCTTTAATACCTGCCGTGTAATATATTTTTTCCCATATTTGGGTATTTAAAAAAAAGTATATTATGGGGATTCTACTTACATGTCCTTGCTTTAAAATAACATTTCCTAAAGCATATCAGAGACCGGTTGATTATAAGGACATAATAAAGATCAAAAATGGCTACCATTATACCCTAAAGATGCGCGCATTTACCTTTTCCTCAGATATCATCAAGTAGTCTCGTCAAACGTCAGTACTGATGAGCTTCAAATTCACAAAGTTACTGGCACAGTTACCTTAACAGAAATAAATGGGAAGTCATGTGAAAAATGATAACATCTTTATATTGAGCCAAAAAAAAATGACAAAGGGGGAAAATGAAGTGTCCGTAAATTGGGCTAAACATTTAATAGGCGAGGGTTGCCTAACGTGGGGGACTTGAACAAGTTCAAGAAAATCCCCTAAACTAAGAGAATATGTAGTTCAATAATTACGTCTACGTCAAAACGTTTGCTTACCAATAATTTTGGGAATTTTCTTAAACTTGTTCAAGTCTCCCACGTTAGGCAACCCTTCAATTACTTTTAGCCCAATTTACGGACGCCTCGTTTTCCCCCGTTTTTGTTTTCAAGGCTTAATATCACAATGTTTTCATTGTTCACATGATTTTCCATAACGTTTTAATAGGGTAACTGTGCTAGTTATCAATTTGGTGAATTTGAAGCTCATCAAAATTGAGGTTTGGCAAGACTACTTGATGATATATGGAGACAAGGTGAATGCGCACAACTTTAAGCTGTAATATTAGCAATTTTGGATCGTAACTACAGTATGTCCTCATAATTATTCAGTCACTTACAGTGAAATCTTGATAATTCAAACTCTGATAACTCAAAACAACTGTTAAGTCAAACAAAGAATCCATCGCCTTTAATGGTATAACAATGATATGCAACCCTGGTTAACTCAAAACTCTGCTTGAGTCACATTTTGAACCTGTTCCCTTGAAGTTTGACTTATCGAGATTTCACTGTATATGCTTTAGAAAATGTTATTGAAGTAAGGATGTGCAAATAAAATCACCGAAATATATGTTTCAAAAAATAAAAACAAATATATACCCAAATGTGGAAACAAATATATTAAACGACAGGTGTTTACAATTTATGCAAATTAGGCAACCTTCCCAAAATAATTTTAGATGTAACCCATTCTAAATATCTCCTCTATGGGCTACAAGAATCTATCTGCCAAGTTTGGTGCTTTGGACCAGTCGTTCACGATCTTGTCAAATATTGGGTCTGCGGCCACCTGACCCAATACTAGACTTACGCCCCCCCCCCCTACCCGCACACCTTTTCGATTTTGCAGGTTCACCAGATCAGCGGAACATGGTACAGAGGTGTGCGCTGAAAATTCGGACCGATCTGACCGTATACCGGGCGACGGGAAAACTTAAATTCTGTGAAATACGGATTTATTGGTTGTATTTCTCATGCATGGGTTACGATAATTAGACAGTAATAGGTCACGTGTGAGGGTAAGAGCTCAGGGTGTCAATCGTTTCTTTAAAATGGGGGGGGGTGGACATTACTCGATCAGATCTAATGCGAGCGCGAAGCGCGAAACCTTATTGAAACGGCGTGGGGTTCGGGGCCCGCTTAAGTTTTTGATTCTAGACGCTCTGTGGTGCAATCTGAGGCAATTTCTGACCACATTTATCTTCTTTTTTTTTTTTTAGCAAAAGACCATCATTAAAACATAATTCACTGTCACTGAATCAGCTAATCTGAGCAATAGAATAATTGATGTAGTCTACAATGTTTATTCGTGTGTGGGGGGGGGGGCAAAAGATGATAAAAAAGGGTCCAAACATCACATGACACCGGTATCAGATTTACAAGCTAAACTTTGACCTTTCACTTCCTAAACACACACACACAGGGCAAACGACCTATCGGAGAGTCCGTTAGTGTGCATATATAATCGTCGGCTTTGAACAGCGCCCCCATCAGATGGTACCAGCACCCTCCCCCCCCCCCCCCCCCCCCCCCAACACGCTATTTGATTATACGGAGGCCAAGTGTCCGGAGAAAAAAAACGTGTCTACATTTCACCTCGGATGTGCAAGTACCCTTTTCAAGAAATTTTTACCCCCCCCCCAAAATAAAAATGACCGTGCTACGCCACTGCATAGTTCACTGACATAACCCCGCTTCTCCCGATGCTTAGATCAATTAAACGGATAGGGCCAGGTATAAGCTAGGGGACGCTTAACGGGAAAGTTTTCATTTTTATAACTTTAGAATAACTCTCCGATGAACATAATTATTGAGGGAACACAAAACCACGAGCGCTTATCTGACCTTAGATTCGCCAGCCCCCGATGATCAGAGTCTTCGGGTCGTGGAACCAGACTCAAGTTTGTTCGCAAAAACAATGCCCTCTTGGTTTAGGTGCGCTGATGTGTAGCCGACCAGGGATTTCATCGTCAGGACGTGAAAGTTTTGTTCTCTCTCTTTGTTATCCCCCTGGCGGTATGCCGGAGGAAGATATTGCGATAGCGTATGTGTGCGTTTGTTTATGGTGTAAATCGAGGACACACACGTGCAACATTATCGGTGAATCGACAGGAACCAAATCGAGGACGACCTCGATTAGAAAACGTGTACAAAACCAATGACAGCTGTTGCAAGAAAGAGTATAAACAAAGAAAAAGGGAAGAGGAACAATAGAAAATCCTCGATTAATACACCATAAACAAACGTGGGTGTGTCTGTATGGGTTGGTTATCCATTCAGACTGAGGACTTGGGACAATGGGGAGTGCGATTTCAATGCGCCCGAGACAATACAATTATGTTGTCAGCGCGATAACTTGAGAAATACTTTACTTAGGAACTTTCTCTCTGGAGTTTCTCTTGGTAGTCTCATCAAGCCTCTTGCTTTTGGAGCCGACAGGTCGGAGGTCAAGGTCACTATAATTGCTAAAACAATAGGAATCTTCCATTTTGGTTGGGGACGCTGACAAGTATCCGTATACTAAATGACTGTATAAAAACTGCCAGCATGCCAGGGGGCATCGCACAGGTTTCACTTGCAGTATATTTTTATATAGACTTTGGAATATTTTTATACACAATCTATAGTTAATCGTAAGTCAAATGATTTGCAAAACTCCGGAAACTTATTTTGATTTACAATTAAGGTCGTAGTTTATTTTGTCATTCAAAATATCATAGTCCAGTTGTCCTAGAACAATCAATGGCCAAAATAAAAGAGCCACAATCATGTGAGGTTTTTTGGTAACTTCCCGTTTTCTTAATTCAAAAGAATAATTAAGTAGATTTATCCTGACAATTTTTTTTTACTGAGTCAAAAAGAATTTCACGATAGAGATATTCCATCGCATGCAGTACCGTTTGAGGAAAGGCATCATGTCCTTGAGATTTTCAGGTCTTCAATTTTCTTCAATTCCTCGTTAATTAAACAAGTGGTTTCCCCAGGGATTCATGGGGCATTTTGAACAGCTTTTTGGTATGGAAGTTTTTTTTTTCTTTAAATAATATTCTAAAAAATAATAATATTTATCGTTCATCTTCTAAAGTCAGACGAAGAGAGTATTCGCAATAACTTAAAAGTTGAAGAAGTATTTGGTAGGTCAATTTGAACACGCTTTGACTAGATATCTTGTCGACAATAATTGATCACGATTTAACTACATAATACCATGGGAAAGATCTTGGGAACATTTCGCAAACGAAGCAGTACTCCCTTGAACGGTCGTAGTCTTCGTCATTCCAAGACATATTGTCGCTGTTGACACGTGCGCAGTCTTCGTTGTCCTTGTTGTTCGGTTCGCCTCCTTCCCAGCGGGAAGTATATGTGACAGCGCTACCGTCCTGATGCCATACGAAAGTGCCCTCGTTCTTTAGGTCGTTTGCTCTGTTCGGGTAGAAATATCAACGTTGAGTTAGTATTGAAGTCGAGTTGGTACAACGGTCGAGAGGGGAAAACGGTCGAGTGGTACAACGGTCGAGTTGGCAAACGGGGCCGTATCATAAGCTCTGAATCACCTATTTCTACTCTTTTCTTATTTAAACTTTTCCTTGGAGGGAGACCATGCTTGACACAATCACCCTCCCCACTCAAGTATATATGCCACTGCTCGCACCGATTCAAAGACTGGACGATTCGGCAATATTGCGTCTCAAGTCGGTCAAGGTGTTTAAACGTGTTTCATCGTGGTTTTTCATAGAACCACTAAACAGAGGTTTTCGTAATTGTATGCGCACTTGATAAACAAGAGTTTTACATCTACTGCAGATTTCAGGCGAGCGCACATGCTAAAATTCGCATCGAAATTCACCAGAACTATTATGGTGTGATTTACTTTTACGCATTCACAGCGGGAAAGTAGCCTATTATAGACGTCACGTATCCGCGTTCGCGCTCTTTCGCACCAAGTAGGCCTTTTATGATGAGCGGACATTAATTCAACAGCTAATGTTGATCTATTTATGGATTTACATGTACTTATAGATTTATTTCTTAGCGATCAACTCACCCTATCCAGTAATATTGATTGCAAGGGCTCTGCCTGTGCTGTTTGTAGAGGTTGTTGATCCAGTCCTGGTCTTCATCGTTTCGGATAGTGGCCACCCAACCGCCTTCGTCTTTACAGATCTGACGGGCGTAAATGCAGTATTTTTTGTAACTGTTGTACACCTTGTAGCAGTTGCCACTACTACCTCGCTCGGTGTAGCCGCCAGGGCACTCGGCGCTCACGATCGCGGCGAATGTCGCCAGAAAGAACGCAAGCAGGAGCAGTCTTGTCATCGTTGGTGTTTGTCGGCAAACCTTACCAATTTGGTAACTATCCGTTCCTTGTATATATATAGAGAGAGAGCCATTGCAGAGAAAGAACATACAACCACCTTCTCCTGCCCATCAAAATTAATGTGGACAAAAGAATGGACGTCAAATTCACGTCAATACCTGCATACGTTCTGCAGTCAAAGAGAATCATGTTGAGCACGTGTTCGTGGGTAGCAGGCAGATGGAAATGGCATCTTCATGTCGGCTTAGGTTTGGGTCACGTATACCTGCTTCGTAAGGTGCGATAATTGACACACTGTCACTCGGCACCCTTAAATGAATAGAGATCCAAAAATAGTATCGGAAATATATACCTGTCCATAATGGGCCTGATATGCCCATCACAACGCGTTGTTTTCCAAGTTCTCCATTTTTACTGAAACTCCATTAATTAGGCGACCAGTACTTTCAGGAATCATAAATATGAAGCCCCTGTTTGGTAACAGTTTCTCGGTGTCGCATGATTTGGGTTTTAAAAAAATCAATCGCCATTAAAAAGCTGGGATGATCTGGAGAGTGTCCAAATATCTCATGTCTTGGATTGGGAAGAGGAAACATTTCTTAATACTTTCCATCAACCTGTCTGTTTCCAATTTGAGTTCAAGCTATCTAATGAGGAACCCCCCCCCCGCCAATGACATGACTCCGCCCTTAAAAGGTTTTTTTTTTAAATGGCATTAAGTGGTTTTAATTTGAACTAGTCGACTTGCTAATTGCAGTATCGAATGACAGCTGGAAAGTTTCCTATCCAGGGCTTACTATTGGAAACGAGGTTGAATAGTTATATTACAGGCATTTGCCTTTCCCGAATTTCTGAATCTGTGAATCTGTTGTAGTTCCACTCTTGGACTAGTGTACTGGTTTAGACAGCGGTGCATTATTTTCAATTAGGATTTAAGGGATAGCAAGTAGCTAGAGACGTCATTATTGTGGGGGGGGGGGGGGGCAGGGGGACCAAGGTCCCACCGTCGCTTAACTCAACCCTCTTCAATAAAGCTCCAGGGGACTCAAGCTTGGAATGGGACATTTTTTGTTTCCTTCAAATAAAAAACCCAAAAAGAATTCACTCTGAAGCTTACAAACGGCCATCTAGTGATTATTGAAATGGTTTCCAAGTGGTTGAGTAGGAACCGATCAGCCAAGAAAATGTGATTGGCGGGCGAGGCTTAAAACGGACGTGAGTTTGGATATTATCTCCATTTCGTGGCCATTGTGTCATTATCACACCATACGGAGACCCCAAAAAAATTTCGTCCGCCTGCCGTCCACGATTACAAAGCTTTTGCAAGCAGGTGTTAATAACGGCGGTTCTTTTTGTCCAAATTATTTTGATGAAAAGGGGCCGGTGGTAGTATTTTCAACCACAAAGGCTCTGTATATGGGGGATGATCACCAAGCTGGTGCCATCAAAGATGGTAAGACTGCTCCTACTTGAGATCTTCCTGACGACATTCGCCGCGATTGTGAGCGCCGAGTGCCCTGACGGCTACACCCAGCGAGAAGGCGGCCATTTTTATGGTTCGCCCTTCGGTCTACCGAACCATCGTACCATTGAACCTTCGGATTAACGAACCTTCGTTCTAACGACCCTTGGGAAATTTAACCTACAAAAACGTGTTTTATTTCCTTTGGTGGGGCAGGCGAGGCTCAAAATTGACAAGTGCATATTATTTTGGGTTTTTTTGGACATCTTTATTTTAGTGGTTATGCGTGACAGTGTGTTATTAATTTAAGTAACAAACTTTCAAGAAGCCTATAGGGGTGTTTGTTTGTTTGTTTGTTTGTTCGTTGGGTGGGGTGTTTGTTTGTTTGTTTGTTGAGAATTGTTGGGCATAATAGCATAGGCGTAGCCACGGGGGGGGGGGGTAAGGGTGGTATTACCCCCCCCCCCCAATATTTTTTAAAGACTGCCCTTTTCCATTGAAATGCCTTTTTTCACCAGCGCTTCCCCCCCAGATAATTTGTAAAGAGTGCCCTTTTTTAAGAAGTGCCTTTTTTCTGAACAAGTGACATTTTTACAAGAAGTGATGCCCTTTTGTGTGTCATCGGCCGTTCCTGGTGCCCTTTTGTTAATTGCACGCACGTATCGCCCTTAAAAAGCACCATATATTGTCCATTAGTGTGCATAATCGTCGGTTTTGAACAGCGCCCCCATCGTCAGATGGCACCAGCCCCCTCCCCCTTTTTGATTATACGGAGACCAAGTGTCCAGAAGAAAAAAACGTGTTTTCATTTCACAACGGATGTGCAAGTGCCCTTTTCAAGAAATTTCCCCCACCCCCAATAAAAATGACCGTGCTACGCCACTGCATAGGTCACTGACGTAACCCAGCTTCTCCCAAGGCTTCGATCAATATTAAACGGATAGGGCCAGGTATAAGGGAACGCTCAGCGGGAAAGTTTTCATTTTTATAACTTTGGAATAACTCTCCAATGAACGTAATTATTGAGGGAACACAAAACAACAAGCATTAAAGATTTACAGACTAAAGTGACTCCAAAATCGAGGTCGTCCTTTATTTTGTCACTCAAAATTATAACATTGGCCAAAATAAGAGCTTATTCCCATTTCTCTATTGATATAGTAAAATTAAGTATCAAATTTCAATTAAGTTATTGATGCTGTTTTGATATCTACGGGAACTATGCCTTTACTGAGTCAAAAAAGGTGCAGTGTCTGGCTCGCTAATGTAACGTCACCAGTTTAAACCACGCCCACTGCACATTACGTAGCATTGGAACCATTGTAACCGGAAGTTAACTCAATTCGAGTGATTTCTGATTATCCAATGGGCGCTCCAGTAATCAGTAGTGCGCGCTTGTATCCGGTTCGTTAGTGAAAACGTCATACACGCGCGCACACCACTGATTACTAGCGCCCATTGGCTGCAAACGCTCGAGCTGCGTTAACTTCCGGTTCCAATCGTGCAGAAAGTGCTGGAGGTGACGTCACACTAACGAACCGGATAGGGGCCTTATTCACAAGTTGGCCATTTTTGTCGAGCTCCCTGAATGAATTTCATTAATTGTTATCTGTTGAATGAGATAGCGCCAGACTATTTATGCAGGCACAATACAGCCTTCTTTACGGTCATTTTGTTTTTAATCTGGCTTTGAACTTTAATGACAAATTATTCACTGAAGCAGACTGGAGTTTATTAGGAATTAACTTGGTTTCATTTCTCTTCGCAAGGTCAAAACATTAAGATTTCACCTCATTTTTAATTCAATATGGCCGACTCGTGAGTAAGGCCCATGACGAAGTCACGTACTAACGATCTGGATAGAGGTATATCCGTTACAGTTTGAAGGAAACTGTCTTCTAGAAGATTTTTTTCACACCCTTGACCTTGTTATCGCTATCATTAGACAAATTATCATTAAAGTCGTTTAGAAAACACCACGAACAGTATCGGTTGTTTTGGGGTCTATTTTGAACAAATATGAGCGTTCACATCAACTGGAAAATCAAGCAATACTAATGTTTGCTTCATTGAATATTAAGCAACCCTTGGCTGGACGTCGTTTTCGAAAAAAAAAATCAGGTTTTATCTTCTGTTGAATGTCTCTAACAAGATTTTGGGAACATTTCGCAGACGAAGCAGTATGTCTGCCACTCGTAGCCAGCATCGTTCCACGCATTCCAATACAAGTTGTTGTTCACGCAATCTTCACCACTGCTGTCATTCGGTTCGCCCCATCTCCAAACAGCCCACGTGACGTCACTGTTATCTTGAAGCCATCTGAAATGCCCCTCATCCTGCAAGTCGTTTGCCCTGTGTGTGTGTGTGTGTGGAAGGTGAAAGGTCAAAGTTTAGCTAAATCTGATACCCTTATCGTGAATGTTCATCGTTTTTGCATTGTGACTATCGGGTGTCGAACAGTACGCGCCCATCACTACCTGCTCTCTCACCCTGGTATTGGATCATTTGCATGTGAAAGATTTTTGCACACGTACGTATGCAAATGAGGAATAGTGTGGTGCCTTGGATAGGCTTTACATTAGCGTTTGTTTTTGTATGCGGTGTCTGGGGTAAAAACAGAGTCAATTCGTCGCAGCACGAGCGCGCGTGAGTTACGAAAACACGATTTTTAAAATTAAACCGTTACGATCTTATCGAGACAACATGCAGTATCACATTTCATATTAATATGAACAAACTGGAAAGGAAATAAGTATTTTCGAGAAGGCGTGGACGAATGAACGCGAAAACACGTACTGCACGTTGTGAATAATAACACCAAGTACACGATAAAAATCCATTACTGGCCAATTGCGATATCGAATCAGGATACAGGAAGAAAGTTTCCTATCCAGGGTCTACTATTGGAAACGAGGTTGGAAATAAAGTAAGCACTGGGGACGAGGTTGCGTCAACGCAGCTTGTGAAATATTGTCCAATTACATGACATATTAATAGACGCGGAACACGCAACATCTGAGACAAACAAAACTTAGCGTACAAAAACTCCATAGGGTTGTCTAAGGGGCGTGGCCAACTCGCAAACGGCGATGGTTCAATTATAATTACCTTCTCTTAGGCATGCGCAATACAACCAATGAATATGTATTTCACAGAGTCAAAGCTCACCCTGCACGTGTATTGATATGAGACACGTTAGTCAACTAGAGGTTCGCGTTTATTGAGTTACAAACGCAGAGTGGTCGGACAGACGTCGATTATGGTATATAGCCAATTATAATGGCTCTTTGCTAAAACATAAGCGCGTTATGCCATAGATAACCATTAGAAAAAATATTATCTTTCTAATAGAGATCAATGGGTTTGATCTCCAGCCTCGTTCCCGTAGTGTCGAACAGTACACTCCCATGTACCTGCTAACTCTCTCACTTAGATACCATTACATTTGCATGTTCAACAATCTTGCACACAAAAGTCATGTACAAGTAAGGAATAGTCTATCTGTCTGCGCCCTTAAATCAGCTTTTGTTTTTGTATTAAATTAATGGGTTAATTAATGGGAAGTTTGCGGTAACATACACATGTGAATGATACATCTTTTGAGTTGCGTGATTCTGAGAAGTATCAGTTGTTTTAACTTGACGTTTCGAACAGTATGTTCTGTTTGTCATCAGGTTACTTTGGTAAAAAAAAACAGAATGAAAAAAAACCTGGTACATCATCCAGCTGTTAATGTTATATGACTTATCGACTCACCCAATCCAGTAGTCATCATGGCAGTGCCCCTGGCGTTGTTTGTAGAAGTTGTTGACCCAGGCCTGGTCTTCGGCGTTTCGGATAGTGACCAACCAACCGCCTTCGTCTTCGCACGCTGACATCGCGTAGCGGTACCAGTGAAAGTCATGCCACACCTTGTAGCAGTTGCCACCATTCTCTCGCTGTGTGTAGCCGCCAGGGCACTCGGCGCTCACAATCGCGGCGATTGTCGCCAGGAAGAACGCAAGAAGGAGCAGTCGAGACATCTTTGCTGTTTGTCGACAAACCTGACCGCGAGAATGTGTTTCTGGTGACCGTCTCTTCTATTTATAGAGGGAAAGAGAGCCATTGCTGCAATGTAATAGACACAGGAGACTGGGCTCCGTGGGTGAACGGGTGATGCTCAGACTATTGCGGCAAATGCGGGGGATACAATGCAGCCAACAGCTCCTGCTCATCAAATTTGAACAAAGAATCGCTGTTCAATTATTAATGCACGTCAACACCAAGGTATCCGTTTTGAAGGAATTGGTTCCCTGGCTAGACCTGTTCGCATTTCCTCAAACTATTTCATCGACAAATAAGAGACTAATTGAACATGTTTTTTTCCTCACATCCAGTGGCGTAGCCAACGGGGGAGGAGGGGGGGCCATGAAACCTTGTCACCCCCCCCCAGTCGCCCCCCACTGAGATTTTGAGTTTCTAAAAAAATATCATTGATCTACATGACGCCCCCCATGAAATGTTCCAGCCGCCCCCCCCCCCAGCGCTCTTGCCCCCCCCCCCCCCCCCCCCCCCCACTGAATAATTCCTGGCTACGCCACTGCTCACATCTAATACATTGCGAGAATTTTTTCTCTCCTTTGAAGATAAATACCAATGGAAAGATCAAGGACTTTTTGGGTGTAAAACTGTGATGATGTCCATCAATCAAAATAACGTTACAACACATTTTATTGACAGAAAAGTTCCCACCAGTTTCTATTTATTTCGACTAATATGTAAATATTAAACTTTGTTTGGTACAGCTTGGTGTGATAACCATCACCGCCAAAGGCGTTATCTTGTTTATTTGTTTTCCCCGCGGCTCCTTTCAACTATCAAATGCATAAGACATTGTATTTTTCAAAACTCAGCCAGTTGGTAACCTGAGCCAACTTTCTGTAAATTTGGGTGTCACTCACAATGACGTTTTGTCCCGTTATACTTTAGTTGTGTCATTGGATGACGATCAGCTGGTGCAGGTGGCTGTCGAAGATCGGGCCATCAAAAGCCCCTATCGAAGTCTGATGTCGGCTGTCTTTGTTTTTGGTTCACGCGCTGGTTCACGTGTCGAAATCTTCACGCATTTTTATGCGCGTGAACCAGAATACGCGGCACACGTCGGTACTCTTATGTCTTCACCGTCCTCTGGAAAATGCCTTATACTCAATTAAACAAGCATTCGTAAGCGTACAACCATCGCAACGATATAGAGCTGACCCCCAATCGTCACTGTGACACCTACTGACATCCTTCAGAGTATCAGAGTGGCATCAAAATTGGAGCTTCTATACAAGCGCATACAGAGTACATTTATAAAAGGGGTAGAATTATCCTGTTGAGTTGTAGCTTCTGTATGTGTAAGGTTTTATGTCGGGGAAACAAGTGATACTACACCTTATCATATAGGCCTAGAACCTATATAACTGTGTGGGTTAAAATTGTGTTGTTGTTTTATTAATTCTTTCATGTGTGTTGCGTAAGGAAGAGACAGAAAGGTAACCAGAAGAATTCTAATACACTTCAGCAATGGTGGTTGACGACTTTCGTGGCTTTTGGTGGCACCATAATGCCATTTTTTTGTTATGTGACGAAAGTATGTAGCTTTGTGATTTTTTTTTCACAATTTAAACTGGTACTTTTCTAGAAATGCTTACTGTTATCTGAATAATAATATTGTCATTGAAGGGAATTACAAATAACACCATTTGAAAGCTTAGGCTTCGTTGAATAAATTATCCAGTTTATTTTATTTACGTTAAATCAAACACAAGATTAAAACTCCCGATAAATCGAAATATATTTTTTGTTGGTTCAGTGAGTAAAAGAACAACACTGTTGCTGACAGAGGCTTGGTGTCTTTAATTAAAGAGGCTTCGGAAAGGGCGCCATCGGGACGGATATTATTTGAATCTGGTGGTTTGTGACCAAAACTGGTGGCCTTTCGACACATGGTGGCAGCAAACACGGTACGGATAGACTTCGTCATTTCTCAGGTCATGGCGCTTAATAAGTGACTTAATAAGGTCTTCTTGAACACTGCATGTACACTCTAATCATTGTCTTCATTCCATCCAGCGCTTTTAAACAACCAAAGAGCATAAAGGTAAGCATTACGGAAAGAATTTACAGTTTATTTTAGGTAAACATTTGTCCCATTTCTTCGTGCCTATAAAAAAGAAAAGCATATCCAACACGCTTTACAGTGAATGGTGTTAAGTTTCGGGGAAAGAAAGATTTGTGAACTCTACACTCCTGACAAATTTATAATTTCAAATAGTTGTCGTTAGGGTGTTCATAAATATAGGCTTAGATTCTAAAAACTGATATCAATTATTATTGATCATTATATTTTCGAATTCCAATTTGATATTGTTACAGCTTAATTCTAAGCCACAATACTACACTGCCTCTCCGTCGGGTACATCTCGCAGACGAAGCAGACTGCCGGAGCACCTAGTCCAAAGTTGTACATTTTGTCGTCGTTCCACTCTCTGGTGGCGCTGTTCACGATCAAACTATCTTCGTCCCGATAGTTGTCGGGTTGGCGGGGGCCTCAGTTGGTGTAGGTGGCCACGCTACCATCTTGTTGCCATCGCCACGTGCCTTCATTAATTAGTGCGTCAGCACCCCTGTCAGTTAAGTATATGATGACGTTATAGTTACCACTGAGTTGAATACCTTTACCAATAGAGCCTGAAAGTCAACCAGTGGTGGCGCACTTCCGAACCCCTCGAATAGGAAAATAAGCGAATAAAAGTCGGAGTTTTATTTCTTGACTTTTTATTTCTTTATTTCTCGACTAATATGTAAATATTAAACTTTGTTTGGTGCAGCTTGGTATGATAATCATCACCGCCAAAGGCGTTAACTTGTTTATTTGTTCCCCGCGGCTCCTTTCAACTATCAAATAAATAAGACATTGTAGTTTTCAAAACTCAGCCAGTTGATAACATGAGCCAACCTTCTGTAAATTTGGGTGTCACTCACAATGACGTTTTTTCCGTTATACTTTAGTTGTGTCATTGGATGACAATCAGCTGGTGCAGGTGGCTGTCGAAAAGTGGGCCATCAGAAGCCCCTATCGAAGTCTGATGTCGGCTGTCTTTGTTTTTGGTTCACGCGCTGGTTCACGTGTCGAAATCTTCACGCATTTTTATGCGCGTGAACCAGAATACGCGGCACACGTCGGTACTCTTATGTCTTCACCGTCCTCTGGAAAATGCCTTATACTCAATTAAACAAGCATTCGTAAGTGAACAACTATCGCAACTATATAGAGCTGACCCCCAATCATCACTGTGACACCTACTGACATCCTTCAGAATATCAGAGTGGCATCAAAATTGGGGCTTCTATGCAAGTCCATACAGAATAAATTTATAAAAGGGGTAGAATTATCCTGATGAGTTGTAGCTTCTGTATGTGGAAGGTTTTATGTCGGGGAAACAAGTGATACTACACCTTATTATATAGGCCTAGAGCCTATATAACTGTGTGGGTTAAAATTGTGTTGTTGTTTTATTAATTCTTTCATGTGTTTTGCGTAAGAAAGAGACAGAAAGGTAACAAAAAGAATTCTAATACACTTCAGCAATGGTGGTTGACGACTTTCGTGGCTTTTGGTTGCACCATAATGTCACTGGGCTTGTGGTGGCCCATATGCAATTTCGGGTACATTCTTTGAAACTCTCAGGATCACTAGAGGATACCTCAAGAAGTTCAAAACCACTCGATGCCATTTTTTCTGACCCTTTTGTGGGCGTGGCCATGATTTTAAAAAGGTGGGGGGCATCGCGCGCAAAAAATAATTTAAAAAAATTACTTTTTTTTCGCATTTGGACAGTTCACTTAAGTGCTACATCACAAGAAAAAAATCAACAATTTTGCATCTTTTGGGGGTGGGGCAACATTTTAAAAAGTGGGGGTCACATGTCGCTAACAGAAAATCGATCTGTAAAATGCAATCTTGAGGTTTTTTGTTTTTGTTTTGTTTTTGTTTCAATCCATTATAACTTGGCGAGGAAAAAACGTTAACATGTCAACTCATAAATTCCTTGGCTTCCATTTGGGGGCGTGTCACACTTTTTTCATAAAAAGGGGGCATACGTGTATTCCAAAAGGAAGCTTGTGAGAGCCCATATGGATTATTGTCCATTCTTTCAAACTCTCACAAACACCTCTGGACACCTCAACAAGTGAAAATCTGCTACTCGGTGGCTACAAATCCTTTTGATATATCACCAATCATATCATTTATGGTGATATGCCAAATTTAAAACTGTTAAGTGAAACAAATCTTGTGTAATCCATCTTGTGTAATCTGGATTCTGAAACTATTGACAATATAGTCTCACACTTTTCTATTACTAAATAAGGTCATGGATATTAAATGCCAAATATGTTGTCCAATTACAAGTGACTTATAAAGGATTCACTAAATCACCCAAGTTTGATAAGTTTTACTCTTAATATTGAACTTTGTCATTTTCAAACGTTATTTCCAATGATCGAGTACCACATTTAATAATATCATTTTTATAAATGAAGTGATGATAAATAAATTTGAAATTAAAAAGGCTGTTGCAGTTTGTGTGTGATAAAACGAGGTCAACATTGTTGTCAGGACAAAATAAACTACAGTGAAATCTCAAAATGTCAAACTGTTGATAACCCAAACCTCCTGTTAAGTCAAACAAGGACTCTATTCCCTTCTATTACACTGATATACAACCCGGCTTAACTCAAAACTCTGCTTAGCTCAAATTGGAGCCCACTCTCTTGAAGTTTGAGTTATGGAGATTTATTTCAAAACATAAATGTCTCTCAAAATCGATTATTTGTCAACTTGTATGTGTACAATATATGCACGATATATTAAAAAAGGCTGCCATTTTAATGGCCAATGGGGGGGAGTAGGGTGGAGCAGTTTTTCACTTGTTGAGGTGTCCATAGGTCTTTGTGAGAGTTTGAAAAAATGTGCCAAAAATCTTTAACTGTCCATAAAGCTTCATTTTGGAATACACGTATGCCCCCTTTTATGAAAAAAAATGTGACACAACCCCCTAAATGGGAACCAAAGAATTTATGAGTTGACATGTAAACATGTTTTCCACACCAAATTATAAGGGAGTGTAACAAATACAAAAACAAAACAAAAAAAGTTCAAGATTGCCTGTTACAGGTCGATTTTCTGTTAGCAACGTGTGCCCCCACTTTTTTAAAAGGTTGCCCCACCCCAAAAGAGACACAATTGTGGAATTTTTTTTTCTTGTGATGTAGCACTTGAGTTAACTGTCCAAATTTTTTTTAAATTTTTTACGCGCGAAGCCCCCCACTTTTTAAAATAATGGCCACGCCCACAAAAGGGTCAGAAAAAAATGGCATCCAGTGGTTTGGAACTTCTTGAGGTATCCTCTAGTGATCCTGAGAGTTTCAAAGAATATACCCGAAATTGCATATGGGGAGTCATTTTCGACCGTAAGCCCACTGACTCGTTTTGTGATTTTCTTTCACAATTTTAATCTGGTACTTTTCTAGAAATTCTTACTGTTATCTGAATAATAATATTGTCATTGAAGGGAATTACAAATAACACAATTTGAGAGCTTTGGCTGCCTTGAATAAATTATCCAGTTTATTTTATTTACGTTAAATCAAACACAAGATTAAAACTCCCGATCAATCGAAATAAATTTTTGTTGGTTCAGTGAGTAAAAGAACAACACTGTTGCTGACAGAGGCTTGGTGTCTTTAATTAAAGAGGCTTCGGAAAGGGCGCCATCGGGTCAGATATTATTTGAATCTGGTGATTTGAGACCAAAACTGGTGGCCTTTGGACACATGGTGGCAGCAAACACGGTACGGATACACTTAATAAGTGACGTAAATAATCAGAAAGGAAAATGTCTTCTTGAAGACTGAACATTAAAATCATTGGCTTCATTCCAGCCAGCGCTTTTAAACCAAAAGGCATACAGGTAAGCATTACGGAAAGAATCTACAGTTTATTTTAGGTAAACATTTGTCCCATTTCTTCGTGCCTATAAAAGAGAGAAGCATATCCAACACGCTTCACAGTGAATGGTGATAAGTTTCGGGGAAAGAAAGATTTGTGAACTCTACACTCCTGACAAATTGATATTTCAAATAGTTGTTCATAAATATAGGCTTAGATTCTGAAAACTGATTTCAATTATGATTGATCATTATATTTTCGAATTCTAATTTGATATTGTTATTATCATTGCTTTGTACAGCTTAATTCTAAGCCACAATACTACACTGCCTCTCCGTCGGGTACATCTCGCACACGAAGCAGACTTCCGGAGCATCTACTCTAAGGTCGTCCATTTGAATGTCGTTCCACTCTCTGGTGGCGCTGTTCACCATCAAACTATCTTCGTCCCACCAGTTGTCGGGTTGGCGGGCGGCCCAGTTAGTGTAGGTGGCCACGCTACCATCTTGTTGCCATCGCCAAATGCCTTCATGAAGTGCGTCAGTACCCCTGTCAGTTAAGTGTAAAATCATGACGTAAGAGTTACCACTGAGTTGAATACCTTTACCAATAGAGCCTGAAAGTCGACCCGTGATGGCGCACTTCCGGACCCCTCGAATAGGAAAATTAGCGTATAAAAGTCGGAGTTTTATTTCACAAGAAATTCACCCTCGGCAAAAGACCTTGGTAAAATTGTTACCAGCACCTCAATAGACCAGAGACCCAATGACGTAATGGCTTTTTTAACATATGCGATTTCCTATGGGAGCGAAGTCGGGACGCCAGACGAAATAGGGACCGTCTACCACATTGGAAAGCGCACATGTAAACAAAGCGTGACGTCATTAGGTCTCAGGTCTGTTGATGAAAACTGAAATTTGCATGACGTGAAAGAAAAATGTCGTGCCAAACATTGACGTCGCACTTTCCAAAATAGATGTGAACTAGTGACACTCAGAGCACACGTACACAGATGAAAATTTATGAAATAATTTTGTGGCGGTATTTTGGTAATAACTGAAACTTAAATGGGAGACTAAAATGTCTTTCTCGACACACACAAATATTGTTTTAATTAACTTAGGGACTAATTCTCATTTAAAAACAAATCTTTAACGGCCGTTGATAAGAACTGTATTCACGCAAAACCGAGTAAATCTAGAATCCATCGGATATAGTTTGGTAAATCTTCGCGTGATTTTCATTTTCGTTCTCACGCAAGTGCACAATGTGAAAACAAACGGAATCGAACAAGGAGACCTAGGGACGATCATTCGGATGTAAAGGTCATAAGTACAATTCGCTTCTACCGATCTCAAACTGATTTCTCATCATATATGTCTTGCAAAATTAAAAGATAAAATTCTAATATGCACGTGTCTCAGGGGTGGTTACAGTTAGAAATCGTTCTGTCAAATTATAGAAAGAGAAAGAACACCCTGTTTAAAATGTCTCAAAGAAAAAAATAACGTTCGTTTTTGCTCTGTTATTAGACCTAGAAGATTCAAGTTTCCATTGGCTTTTGGCCCTTCGTCGGCATAATTTTGTAATCATCGAACCAGTATACCGACTATGTCCTGCCCAAGCAGTTGTATTTGCGTCTCCCCCATAAGCACTTAGGACAAAACTGAGTAGGCTACACTGTGATAAATAACGTCGATGGAGGGGAAAGCAAAGCATTGAATGTAAATTACCCAGACACGAATTTCAACTTACGAATAGAAATAGGGCAATAATTGTTCAGACTTCAGAAACTTTAATTCATTCACATACACGATTATCAGCCGAAGTTGTTTAATCTACAGCCTAAAACTTACCCAACCCAGTACCAATCGTTACACGAGTAACCTCTGTTCGAAATGAAGAAACTGTTGACAAACGCACCGTCGTCCTCGTCACTGATGGTGGCCAGCCAGCCCCCGTCTGCTCTGCAGAAGTGGTCGGCATGGAACCACAGTGCCGCGTTTTTGAAAACTTTGTAGCAGTTCCCGTGCTGGTCGGGCCAGTTGCGTTGGGTGTACCCCTCGGGGCAGCCGGCGCTGGCCAGGGCGCAGAGAGCGGCCATCAACACGCTGAAAATGAGAACTCGATTCATCATGGTTTCGCCTTGGCTGGTGTAAGCAAACGAATGCCAGAAACCCTCAAACCAGTGGGTTCTTTATAGCGTCTAGATCATCCTCGCCATGTGTGGTTGACAGCAGTGAGTGAAAGGTACGTGATGATAACATGCAAATGGTAATTGAGAAAAGATGGTGATGAAGAGTGGTTTTATCGGCAAAATCATTAGACACCAGTGGCGTAGCCACCGGGGGGGCCGACGATTTTGAGTTTCTAAAAAAATTATCATTGATCTACATGACGCCCCCCCCCCCATGAAATGTTCCAGCCCCCCCCCCCCCCTCCACACTGAAAAAGTCCTGGTTACGCCACTGTTAGACACACGTCAAAAACACACGTTGGATTACCGCGCCGCATCTCTTTGAAAAGAATACCAAAATTGTTTTTGTTTCGTTTGGTTGGGCCTTGCACTGATAATCATGACATCTGTATACTTGTTGATAAACAAAATTTGTTCCTGTCGCCTTTTTTTTTTACTCAAGCCCTGGTCAAACAATCGTTTATACTGATTTTAAAATAACACTCCCACTTCTTTTCTCTGACTTGAATTTTCTTGTGATACAGCTGCAATCATTTAGGCATGCTGGCATTTGTTTGCAATGGTCAGACAAACGAATTTCGGGGGGTTCAGTCAAAATGTCTACGAGGGGAGGGTATACAAGATGGAGCTGTTGTCCCTTGATCCTCCTAATTCGCCGATAATGAGAACTGACGTATCAGGAGAAACGTGCCTTATAATCTTTTTTACTACACACTTTTTTTTTGTCACCGCAACTTGTATACAACATTTGCAAACAGCGAAAAACAAAACTACCAAATTTTTACGAAAAACCTCACTAGGATGTTGGTTAATGACAATCTAAAGCATCCTGTAAAATTACGGAAAGATCAAGGACTTTTGGATGTAAAACTGTGATGATATCCATCAATCAAAATAACAACACATTTTATTGACAGAAAAGTTCCCACCAGTTTCTATTTATTTCGACTAATATGTAAATATTAAACTTTGTTTGGTACAGCTTGGTGTGATAACCATCACCACCAAAGGCGTTAATATCTTGTTTATTTGTTTCCCGCGGCTCCTTTTAACTATCAAATGCATAAGACATTGTAGTTTTCAAAACTCAGCCAGTTGATAACCTGAGCCAACTTTCTGTAAATTTCGGTGTCACTCACAATGACCTTTTTTCCCGTTATACTTTAGTTGTGTCATTGGATGACGATCAGCTGGTGCAGGTGGCTGTCGAAGAGTGGGCCATCAGAAGCCCCTATCGAAGTCTGATGTCGGCTGTCTTTGTTTTTGGTTCACGCGCTGGTTCACGTGTCGAAATCTTCACACTTTTTATGCGTGTGAACCAGAATACGCGGCACACGTCGTTACTCTATGTCTTCACCGTCCTCTGGAAAATGCCTTATACTCAATTGAACAAACATTCGTAAGCGTACAACTATCGCAACGATATAGAGCTGACCCCCAATCAACACTGCGACACCTACTGACCTTCAGAATATCAGAGTGGCATCAAAATGGGAGCTTCTATACAAGCCCATACAGAATAAATCTATGAAAGGGGTAGAATTATCCTGATGAGTTGTAGCTTCTGTGGAAGGTTTTATGTCGGGGAAACAAGTGATACTACACCTTATCATGTAGACCTAGAGCCTATATAACTGTGTGGGTTAAAATTGTGTTGTTGTTTTATTAATTCTTTCATGTGTTTTGCGTAAGGAAGAGACAGAAAGGTAACCAGAAGAATTCTAATACACTTCAGCAATGGTGGTTGACGACTTTCGTGGCTTTTGGTGGCACCATCATGCCATTTTTTTGTTATGTGATGAAAGTATGTAGTTTTGTGATTTCTTTTCACAATTTTTATCTGGTACTTTTCTAGAAATTCTTACTGTTATCTGAATAATAATATTGTCATTGAAGGGAATTACAAATAACACCATTTGAGAGCTTGGGCTGCGTTGAATTAATTATCAAGTTTATTTTATTACGTTAAATCAAACACAAGATTGAAACTCCCGATCAATCGAAATAATTTTTTTTGTTGGTTCAGTGAGTATAAGAACAACACTCTTGCTGACAGAGGCTTGGTGTCTTTAATTAAAGAGGTTTCGGAAAGGGCGCCATCGGGACGGATATTATTTGAATCTGGTGGTTTGTGACCAAAACTGGTGGCCTTTCGACACATGGTGGCAGCAAACACGGTACGGATACACTTCGTCATTTCTCAGGTCATGGCGCTTAATAAGTGACGTCATTCACCAGAAAGGAAAAGGTCTTCTTGAAGACTGTACATTCTAATCATTGTCTTCATTCCAGCCAGCGCTTTTAAACAACCAAAGAGCATAAACGGGAGCATTACGGAAATAATTTACATTTTATTTTAGGTAAACATTTTCTTTGTCCCATTTCTTCGTGCCTAAAAGAGAGTAGCATATCCAACACACTTTACAGTGAATGGTGTTAAGTTTCGGGGAAAGAAAGATTTGTGAACTCTACACTCCTGACAAATGGATATTTCAAATTGATATTTCAAATAGTTTCATTAGGATGTTCATAAATATAGGCTAAGGTTCTGAAAACTGATATCAATTATTATTGATCATTATATTTTCGAATTCCAATTTCATATTGTTATTATTATTTCTGTGTACAGCTCAATTCTAAGCCACAATACTACACTGCCTCTCCGTCGGGTACATCTCGCAGACGAAGCAGACTGCCGGAGCACCTAGTCCAAAGTTGTACATTTTGTCGTCGTTCCACTCTCTGGTGGCGCTGTTCACGATCAAACTATCTTCGTCCCCATCGTTGTTGGGTTGATAGGGGCCCCAGTTGGTGTAGGTGGCCACGCTACCATCTTGTTGCCATCGCCACGTGCCATCATTCAGTGCGTCAGTACCCCTGTCAGTTAAGTATAAAATCATGACGTCAGAGTTACCACTGAGTTGAATACCTTTACCAATAGAGCCTGAAAGTCGACCCGTGGTGGCGCACTTCCGGACCCCTCGAATAGGAAAATTAGCGTATAAAAGTCGGAGATTTATTTCTTAAGAAATTCACCCTCGGGAAAAGACCTTGGTAAAATTGTTACTAGCACCTCAATAGACCTGAGTCCTAATGACGTAATGGCTTTTTTTTACATATGCGATTTACTATGGGAGCGAAGTCGGGACGCCAGACGAAATAGGGACCGTCTACCACATAGGAAAGCGCACATGTAAACAAAGCGTGAATTAAGTCTCAGGTCTATTGATGGAAACTGAACATTGCATGACCTGAAAGAAAAATGTCGTGCCAAACACTGACGTCGCACTTTCGAAAATACATGTGAACTAGTGAAAGTCGTACACTCGTACAAAGATGCAATAATGTTGTGGTGGTCAATGGGTAATAACTGAAACTTAAATAAGAGACTAAAATGTCTCCTTCGACACACAAAAATATTGTTTTAATTAACTTAGGGACTAATTCTCATTTACAAACAAATGTTTAATGGCCATTGATAAGAACTGTATTCAAGCAAGACCGAGTAAATCTAGAATCCATCGGATGTAGGTTGGTAAATCTGCGCGTGATTGTCATTTTCGTTCTCACGCAAGTACACGATTTGAAAACAAACGGAATCGAACAAGGAGACCTAGGTACGAACATTCGGATGTGAATGTCATAAGTACAATTTGATTTTACCGATCTCAAACTAATTTCTCATCATATTTGTCTTGCAAAATGCTAAAATAAAATTCCAACATGAACGTGTCTTGGGGATGGTTACGGTTAGAAATCGTTCCGTCAAAATTATAGAAAGAGAAAGGACAACCCCGTTTGAAAATGTCTATGAAAGTGTCACGGAGGGGTCCGGAAGCTCAAAAACAAAATGCTGTATGCTTTTAAGCTCTACTATTATATCTATAGTAGATTTAACATTGGCTTGTGGCCCTTCATCGAAATAATTATATAATCATTGAACCGGTAAACCGACTATGTCCTGCCCAAGCAAAACATTGAATGTAAATCACCCCGACGCGATTTTCAGCTTATAAATAGAAATAGGGCAATAATTGTTCAGACTTCAGAAACTTTAATTCATTCACATACACGATTATCAACCGAAGTTGTTCAATCTACAGCCTAAAACTTACCCAACCCAGTACCAATCGTGACACGAGTAACCTCTGTTCGAGATGAAGAAACTGTTGACAAACGCACCGTCGTCCTCGTCACTGATGGTGGCCAGCCAGCCCCCGTCTGCTCTGCAGAAGTGGTCGGCATGGAACCACCATGCCGCGTTTTTGAAAACTTTGTAGCAGTTCCCGTGCTGGTTGGGCCAGTTGCGTTGGGTGTACCCCTCGGGGCACCCGGCGCTGGCCAGGGCGCAGAGAGCGGCCATCAACACGCTGAAAATGAGAACTCGATTCATCATGGTTTCGCCTTGGCTGGTGTAAGCAAACGAATGCCAGAATCCCTAAAACCAGTGGGTTCTTTATAGCTTTTAGACCATCCTCGCCATGTGTGGTTGACAGCAATGGCAGATCTGGGTAGATACAAATCAAGGCAGACAATAGATAGAAGACCAGCAGGCATCATTTTCTATTGTCCACCTGTATTTTAATCAACTTACGGATTCACCTCTGAGTGAAAGGTGATGATAACATCCAAATGGCAATTGAGAAAAGATGGTGAAGAGTGATTTTATCGGCAAAATCATTAGACACACATCAAAAACACACGTTGGATTACCACGCCGCATCTCTTTGAAGAGAATACCAAAATTACAGGTAACTAGTTAATTACTTCCAGAGTAAATTAGAAACCTTTCCAAGTTTCAATTTCAATATCAACATACATGCAGATGTCATGATTATCAGTACAAGGCCAAACCATAAGAAACAAAACTCAAAGAGATTGGCATTGGCGGCTGCGGCGTGGTAATAAACGTGTGGTTTTGACGTGTGTCTAACGATACTATATTTTGCAATGAAACCACTCTCATAAGGCATCCTTCTTTTGGAATTGCCATTTGGATGTTATCGTTACCTGTCACTCAGAGGCGAATCCCTAGGTTGATTTCAATGCAGGTGGGCAATAGAAAAGGACACCTTGCAGATCTTCTTATCTATTGTCTGTCTTGATTTGTATCTACCTGGATCCGCCATTGCTGTCAACCACACATGGCGAGGATGGTCTAGACGCTATAAAGAACCCACTGGTTTTAGGGATTCTGGCATTCCTTTGCTTACACCAGCCAAGGCGAAACCATGATGAATCGAGTTCTCATTTTCAGCGTGTTGATGGCCGCTCTCTGCGCCTTGGCCAGCGCCGGGTGCCCCGAGGGGTACACCCAACGCGACTGGCCCGACCAGCACGGGAACTGCTACAAACTTTTCAAAAACGCGGCACTGTGGTTCCATGCCGACCACTTCTGTCGAGCAGACGGGGGCTGGCTGGCCACCATCAGAGACGAGGGAGACAGTGCGTTTGTCAACAGTTTTTTCATCTCAAACAGAGGTTACTCGTGTCACGATTGGTACTGGGTTGGGTAAGTCTAACAACTTCGGTTGATAATTCAGTATATTGTTGACTGATGTGATGTAGGATATGACGTTCTTCGCCTCGGGTGCTGTGCTCGATCCCCAAGGGTGTTCAAAACGTCATTTCCTACATCACAACAGTCCACCATTGTTTTGTTTTACCTCTGTCTTGGATTCTTTGGACTTTGAAAACACGAAAACAAACATCAGTAAACGCAACAAGGGACAATCGAACGTCATCAACTCACATGCATGTCGTGTACCGCGCTCGAAACAGCTGATCGTCTGCTAGTTCGCTGCTCCCACTCATGTGTGAAAACATATTAAAATAGCGTGGGCACCAACGACACAAGCGTTTCACACCGTACGTAAAGTCATGGCATACTCCTTGTGTATATCACGTACGTGATATCCCACGGGGCCAGGAAGTGTGCCACGACTTTTTTTTTTATAAACTGAACACATGATCGTTCTCGGCCATTGAAAATATAGTTTTTAAGACAGAGGTAGGCCTATAACAATATCGTTTATGATGAGAATGAAATTAATTACTAGAGTCTAAACAATAGGCCTTATATGGCCCTATTCCTATTCATAAGATGAAATTCGCGTCGGGGTGATCCAATTCAACGTTTTTTTAAAATAAATATCAATTTGATATTAGCGAATTGACCACAACAAACCCTAACAATATTACCGGTATATACTAAACTGACAGGGGTACTGACGCACTTAATGAAGGCACTTGGCGATGGCAGCAAGATGGTAGCGTGGCCAACTACGTCAACTGGGGCGCCGGCGAACCCAACAACTACGGGCCGGGAGACGAAGATGGGTTGATAGTGAACAGCGCCACCAGACAGTGGAACGACGATAGAATTTTTGGAACAGGTGCTCCGGCAGTCTGCTTCGTGTGCGAGATGTACCCGACGGAGAGGCAGTGTAGTATTGTGTCTTAGAATTAAAATGCATTCACCTTGACAAAGAAGTAATGATAATAAAAAAAATCAGAGTTCGAAAATGTATAATGATCAATAATAATTGATATTAGTTTTCAGAATCTAAGCCTATCATTATGAATACCCTAATGACAAGGATTGTAGAGTTCACACATCTTTCTTAGTTTCCTACAAACTTTAGAACACCATTTTCACTGTGAAGCGTGTTGGATATACTCTCTTTTTGACACCAAGAAACTGGGACAATGTTTACCTGAAAAACTGCAGATTCTTTCCGTAATGCTTACCATTAAGCCTGTTGGGTTAAAAGCGCTGCCTGGAATGAAGACAATGATTATACTTTACAGTGTTCACGAAGACCTTTTCCTTTGTGAAAAGGCGATTACGGCATTAATTAAGCGCCAACATGAGAAATGACGAAGTGTACCTACCGTGTTTGCTGCCACCATGTGTCGAGAGGCCACCAGATTGGTCACAAACCACCAGATTCAAATAATATCCGTCCCGATAGCGCCCTTTTCGAGGCCTAATTAAAGCACCAAACCTCTGTCAGCGAAGGTGTTGTTCTTGTGATCACTCAACCAAATCAACTGCTATTTTGATTTATCGTGAGCTTTAATCTTGTGTTTGATTTGACGTAAATAAAAGAAACTTGATCATTAATTCAACGCAGCCAAAGCTCTCAAATGGTGTTATTTGTAATTCCCTTCAATGACAAAATTGCTATTTAGAAAACTAACGGGTTACCATTAATGCAGGAATTGGCCGAAGTTTGATGAGATCCAAGTTTAATCAGTTCGACTTCCACAGATTTTGCCACGAATACCAATTGGGGGCCTGGCGAACCGAACAACTTCAATGAAGATTGCGTATTCACGTCAACCGTTATTGGAATCACTGGAATGATGCTGACAACGAATACCAGCGATATTGCAACCGTCTTGTTAGAAACAAACCTGATATTAAAAACACAGTTCAGCCAGGGGATGTTTCATGTTCAATGGACGTAACAAAAGTATTTATAAAACTTCCAACCTTCCAAACTTCAACCGTTAGTCGAGCCACTCATAGACGAGGCAGACATACCCGGTCGAATACATTTAAAAAAAAAAATAGGGTCCTTTATATTTTATAAGTACAGTTTGTCCCCCCCCCCCCCCCCCGCTCAGCATTCAATTATTCTCTCTGGCCTTTACACTACCGTTAAGTTGTCTAGGCCTGGAGTGGAGCTAAATGGGCCTAATGTATATATTTTGGGAATATACCTTTATCAGGGTACGCCATCTTGAAAATCAAAGCGAGGCATATTACGCCATCAAACAAGCATGGCGGCGTAAATAGTGTTTGCGGTGAGCGAGTTTACTCTCGCAAAGTTTACTACACCAGAATTGACACTTTTATAAACGGATGGATAGCTCAAATTTCCTGAAACATCCATCAACATTCTCGGTAGGCCATGTCTCATTGTATTTGTATTTTGAAGGATCTGATAAATATGAAGACCGAAATCAGTGGCCAATCCGAAGGTATAGTTTTATACGCGTACAGCACCGCCTTCCGATCAGAGAGCTTTTCATTTTACAGAATTGCATCCGCGAAATTTTCTGAGCTGAAATTGCACCAGTTTTAAGTATACATTATAAGACGATGATGAAATCCCCGACGCACATCTCGACACCCAACTTAAGAGGGCATTGTTTGTCCGAACAACGAGTATTATCAGTCCATTAATGACTTGGCTGCGGCTGCAATTAAATTACCCACCAGCAGGGGTGGATCCAGGAATTTTTTACAGGGGGGGGGTCATCAGCAAACACAAATGCTAAAATCTAGACAGCTTTTTGTCCGGACACTTGGCTCTGAAAATTCAATGGGGGCGCTGTTCAAATTCGACGATTATTAACACTTTATTACACAATACTGTGTACCCCCTATTAACCCGGCAGGCTGTCCCTATGACGTATTCAGTACCGGTAGCATATCCAGCTTTTGGTGTCGGGGGGGGGGGGGGGGGATATGAGGAACCGCACATCCGCGCCGAAATGCAGACTTTTTTTCCGAACACTTGGCCTCCGTAAAATAAAGAACTGAGGGGGGGGGGGGGGGGGGGGGCGGGGGGCTGTTACCCATCCTCCAAATGGGGGCTCTCTTCAAAACTGGTCATTATTATACCTCCTGGAAACTATACGCCGATTTTCATGGCGCATTGTAATGTTATTTAGCTTGGTTAATTTTTGGGTGGTTGATGTCAGAAATCTCCAACCATTTATGGAAATACTTACTGAAAAAAATCTTGAAATGAACTACAAACAACACCAGTGGTGAGCTTTGGCCATTCCTGGGCGATTTAATTATCAGCATCTTTCCACAGTTTCGTTTATTCACGTCAAAATGAAACATTTTAATTTTAAAATTAAAATAGAACTCATGTTGGATCAGAGAGTACAAGAACACAAATCTGACAGAGACATGTTTTCTTTTAAAGAGACTTTTAAACAACGCCATCGGGACGGATAATATTTGGTTCGTGACCAAAACTGGTGGCCTCACAACACTTGGTGGCAGCATACACGGTATTTGTACCTAACATCGTTAAATTTCTCGTGTGTGTGCTAATTATAATTGTTTTTACCTCTGTCTTGAATACTGTATTTTCATTGGTCTAGAACGATCACGTGTACGTGGTGACTATCCCACAGGGAGTGTGCTACGGTACGTTTGCTTACAAGTATCGTTGGTACCCACACTATTTTCACCATGTTTTCACACTTGAGTGGGAGCAGCGAATTAGCAGACGATCAGCTGTTTCGAGCACGCGACATGAACGTGAGTTGACGTTCGATTGTCACGATTCATTGTGTTTGCTGTTTGTTTTCGTGATTTTTACATCAAAGGATCCTAGACAGAGGTATGTAAACAACACAATTGTTGACTGCTATGATGTGGGATAGTACGTTTTGAACACCCTCGGCCGGGGCGTATAGCGCTTCTGTTGTTCAAAACGGCATCCCACATTACAGCAGTTATTGTTAAGTGACATAGCCTAATCAGAAAGGAAAGCGCCAGGGTGACCGTAAGGTCAGAGCCAAATTCTGCTAAATGCACATCAAAAAGCTGCCAAATTCCCCAGAATTACTCGAAATACACTATAACACTTAGATTGGTAGTATTGTCTATGTAGATTGGTAGTATTGCCTTAATTAAGATTCAAATTACGTAATAAACAATCTAGTCACATAAAAATGTTGCGAAATTATTGTTAAATTTTTGGCAAAATGCGGATCCGGCCACGACGAAGTCCATTTCCCAATGAACCTCAGCACCTAGACCAGCCAACCTGTCCCATTATGCAAGGGTTTGTTTGAAAGGATTGAAGCTTTTTTTAACAAATGTACACTTTTTGGTTCAAATTTGCTGTTTTGCTGTCATATAACCATTTTTGCACAATTCTGCCAGAAATCTGCCAAAAAATCCATTCTGTCAAAGTTTCTGTCAAACTCGTTTTTTAACAAAAATTCTATCAATTCTGTCGTGTACAGTGAATTGTCTGGTTTATGCATTGGTACTCTCTCATCAGCTGAAATGGAATCATCCAGAAAGTCTTTGTAAATTCAAACACAGCAATGTTTTCTATATGACAAAGAAAATCTACATAGATTTGCAGGTACACATTGCTCCCATTTCTGGTCATGTCAAAAGTCGAGTATAATGATATATGATAATCCAACACGCTTCGCGCGCACTGTGAAATTGATAATTGAATTCAATTCAGTTCAATTCAATATTTGCATTTATTTCCACACTGAAACAATCAGATAACAGAAAGCAAAATACAATATTGTGGAGGCACGTACAATATTAATAAGCCAAGCAATAAGGAAGAAGACAAAATGATCTGACCAGAAATAAATTTTAAAAAATGACTTGGTTTCAAAGGAAGATGTGGAAATTACAATCCCTACAAATTCATTTCAATAAAAGTAGCCGCGTATAGGGTTCTGAAAATTATATATTAATCATTATGAATTTCCGAATTCTGATTTAGTGTGTGTTCAGATCTATAAGGTTTAATTTGAAGTCACGATACTACACTGCCTCTCCGTCGGGTATGTCTCGCACACGAAGCAGGCTGCCGCTCGACCCGTACTATTGTCGTTCCACTTTCTGGAGCCGACGTAAACAATCATGCCGTCTTCTTCTTCTCCACCGTTGTCGGGTTGGCCGGCGAACCAGTTTGTGTAAATGACCTTGCTGCCATCTTGCCATCGCCACGTCCCCTCTCTCAATATGTCATCACCCCTGTCAGAAATCAAACACATGTCAAAAGTAAGATTTTTGGCTTTGCATGGTGGAGATACTAATGAGCGAGCTCAGAGCACATGGACTAGGAGATTTTGACAAATTGCAAACATTCCCGCACCAGCGATCACAAAGTTCTGGCACCCCCAGACGCATACGAGGAGCCAATCCAGATCCGCTAGCACAACACAGTTCCGCAAGACATCGGGTTTCACCTCAACGACATCTGGCTCCCATTCCTCCAGACTGATGGGTCTTCTACACCCTAGGTCATCTGCTATATCACCTCAGACTAAGGGGTCTCCTCTAGGTCCTCTGCTATCACCTCAGAGTGATGGGTATCTTAATCATTATAGCCTCCAGTCCCTCTACAGAGACTGCAGTCCTAGTACTGTTCCACTTCAATGGGCACATCAAACTTGCTCTAAGCTCCCAGCTATATACCCATGTAACTGCACACTTCGTCTATAATAGTCGCATTAATTTTGGTACTCAGGTGTTTACTTTCTTAGAGTTTAGGCACTCTCCTAAAGACGGTCAGACCATACTGATCGGAACGTCGACAACCTCTGGTTCTTTTCAGAACCATTTTACTCAGTTTGAAAAGTATTACCCCCACACGGTGTTTCTGCAAACATTTCATTCGCGTGTTAAACATCTGTCTCTTTTACCTCTTTGTCTTTTGTTCTTTAGCGCCAATCTGGAGTATTCTATTGAATATTGTTCTCTTTTTTTCTGATATCATGCGGGAAATGTAAAAGTATATGCCTACCTGAAGAAGAATTTGGATAATTGTATTAATTCTCATCTCGGGACACGTTTTACTGCGGTTTCAATCAGTACAGCGTCGAAGAGTAACTAGTAAAGCACTCATCATTTAGAGTTGCTTGTGAGTATACCTTTTCCCAGTGAACAGTAACACGTAGTTAGGGCGCGTGTTTTCGAGACAGTTTTCAGAATTTGATTTACATGCAGGATTGTCCGGACAACCGAAGGAATTTTTGCCTGACTTACCCAACCCAGTACCAATCGATACATGTGTGACCCCTGTGGTCGACGAAGAAATTGTTGATCCAAATGCTGTCCTCCTCGTTTCTGATGGTAGCCAGCCAGCCCCCGTCCACTCGACAGAAGTGTTCGGCATAGAACCACCACTCCGGGGTCGTCCACACTTTGTAGCAGTTCCCGTGCTGGTTGGGCCAGTCGCGTTGGGTGTACCCCTCGGGGCAGCCGGCGCTGGCCAGGGCGCAGAGAGCGGCCATCAACACGCTGAAAATGAGAACTCGATTCATCATGGTTTCGCCTTGGCTGGTGTAAGCAAAGGAATGCCAGAATCCCTAAAACCAGTGGGTTCTTTATAGCGTCTAGACCATCCTCGCCATGTGTGGTTGACAGCAATGGCGGATCCAGGTATCAAGGCAGACAATAGATAAGACGACCTGGAGGCATCACTTTCTATTGTCCTCCTGTATTTTAATCAACTTACGGATTCACCTCTGAGTGACAGGTAATGATAATATACAAATGGCAATTTAAAAAAAAAGATGGGTGATGAAAGGGTGTTTTATTTGCAAATCAGACACACGTCCAAAAAACATGGCGAACACAGCGCACAGCGGCTATCAGTTTAAGTTCCAGTCTTTTTTCATATTTTAAATCTTTAGGCATTAAGTTTAAGGATACAATCAAAAATGTAAGCGGGGGCTGTCACGGAGTGAACAAAAGTATAAAAACTGTCATCAGATGATGTGTTCTTCCATCTTTGAAGAGAGTCCCAAAATTATTTCGCTGGGTTTGGCGGCGAAGCACTGATAATAAAAAGATGACGTCTGGAGGTTGATAATGAAATTGAAGTTTGACAGATTTTTAATCTAGTCACTAATTTAGAGGTTTTTTTATTCACTTCTATTGGGCTTTGTCATCAAAAGTCTCACAACAAAACCAGCGACATTTTCGGTTATTAAAAGGCATGGATTCCGCATGTACTTGCCAAACGGACAAAAGCTGCTGACTCAAACACTATGAAAGCAGTCCAGTTTATTCGTCAGACTTCTCATATTTTGGTGGTGGTAAATGTTGAGTGTTGTTTCATTTTATTATACAGAATTAGATCGCTTTCGGGACCAGGCTTGGATGTCACATATCATGACAGGTCAATATTGTTAAACTGAAGTCTTCTATATAAATGTTCTTCCTTGTATTGACAGAAGGTGTATATGAAACACGATTATAGCACGCGTCTTCTGAGCTACGTGATGAGAAAACATCCGTTCTCGTTGTCGAATCTATTGCGAATTAGAAGGCAAGAGCTACACCTTGTCCCCGTCCCTCGCAAGAAAACAAAAAAAATCGCGGGTATTATTTTGAAAACCCTCAAAATGTGTTTGTTCTGACACATGCAAACATATATGCCAGCTGTATCAAAAGGAAATACAAGTCAGTCCAGTAGTACAAGTAAGGTTTGGAAGGGAGTGTAATTGCAAATTGAGTAAACTGTTTGATGAGGGCTTGAGTGAAAAAGGTTTGACAATTTAGTTTCTCGTATTTTCTGTATTTAATCTTTCTTTAGCACACCGTATCATTGACTGTCAAATTTGATGAGATAACCGAGGTGTGATAATGGAGAATCCACCACCTGCTGCCAGCCCTCATCAGATACAAGCAAATTATTTGTGCGTGGGGGGAAATGGAGAGTGATATGAGAGGTAGTTCTGACATGACAGGTAAGATAATTAAGTTTCAGAGAACACCACAATTGGGGGAATAACTAGCTCTTACATTAAACCTCCATTTGCTCAAATTTTCTTACCGTGTACATGTATATCTGGTTTCTTCACTGTCTAAAGGTCGCATTATTTTGGCTCGCTTTGTCTCCCCGGCCTATTTAACTTTTTTGCGCTTTGGGGAATTTTTTCAAGAGTTTTTGGCTTTTTGAGATTCGGGTTTTTTTTCTCAAGTTTTCCAGATGGGTCTCAACTTTTTAAGATCTGTCGATGGAGGCACTGTTCAAAACCGACGATTATGCACACTGTTACTGATGGACAATATATGGCTCTTTTCAGGGCGATACATGCCCGACATTCAACACCGGCCGACGAACAAAGACTTTTTCTTAAAAGGGCACTTGTTCAGAAAAAAAGGCACTTGAAAACAAAAGAGGGGCATTCTTTACAAATATGAGGGGGGGGTATAAACGCTGGTGCATAAAAGGTCATTTGAATGGAAAAGGGCAGTCTTTACAAATATTGCCCCCCCCCCCTACTTTTCCCAAAGCGGAAAAGTAGCCATCTTGAAAAACGATCCCTCCTGAACATGGCAAAATAGCGCCACTTTCGAGCCCAGTTGCATCCAAAATGCCCAGAATTGGAAGCCCCAAGTCCGGGCCAGAGAGGTGCATTGCCATATCTCTTCAATTCCCCAATTTTATGGCTCCCGTAATGCTCTAATATATAGGCTAGTCGTTCGGACAGACAATGCCCTCTTGTGTTCGGTGCGCAGATGTGTGTCGGGGATTTCACCATTTGTATTAATTTTAAAGCAATAATTAGAAACCCGTGTTTCCTGAATTTTGGGAACTTTGGAGTGGCACACAACCTATGGAGGGCCTATGAACCTACAGGTCACGTTTATCATAACCAATAAATGATTTACAAACTGATGCAACTTATTTTGCTATGGGGCCATACTTTATTTTCATCTTTCGAATTATTACAGTGCAATCCTTCATAACAATCGTTAACTTAACTAAAATAGTCCAATAAATAAAGGCATTTTTGTCTGTCTCTCATTCTCTTGAAGTTTGGAGTATAGTCTTCCTATCAACTGTCAATTCACTTAGCGATACTGGTTGCAGACCAGGAAGTAAGCTATACTTCCAAAATTCAGGCAAAAAAATACTCACAACTCTCCAAGATGTTTGAGACACACATCAAATTAATGTTTATTTCATCATCTTTCATTTTCTGTTTTTTTTTTTTTGGGGGGGGGGGGGGTAATCAATTAAATTCTAAAGAGTGGAAATTCACTCCATTCGAGTGAAGATTCACTCCCACAGTCGGAAACTAGGGACTCGACGTTTTAGAGTGAACTTTCTTCAATCGTAAAGATCTAGGTTTCACTCGAGCTTCGACTGAAGTGGTTCATTTTTCAGTCAATCAAAAATGAGAGTGATTTCACTCTAAAACCTCCAGTCCCTAATTTCTTTCTTTGGAATTTAGAGAGTAGGCTATCAGTGAAGCGTATCATTAGACTTATGCTTATTTGCAATGTGGTTTTGATCCATGCACGCGAATAAATGTTATTATTGAGTCAGAAAGAGTGTACGTACCAACAGAACCAACCGTTTGTGAGAAATCTCAATCTCTATCTCTATCTAGCGTTATATAAATTAAAGTGATCGGTCATCGGATTGGTGGGCTTGAAACAACTTTTAAATCTTAGTTCCTGTAAATTATGGACGAATTTTAATGAGTAGGCCCCCTACTGGAATTTTAAGAAGGTTTTCAAGGAACGTATTTGTCAGACTATCGTAAGATAGATTTTTATTTTCATTCGGAATCTTCCGAAAGAAATGTTGGGTACTTTTCGCAGACGAAGCAGTACTCTCTGGAACGGTCGTAGTCTTCGTCGTTCCACTCAAAATTGTCGCTGTTGACGCGGACGCAGTCTTCGTTGTCCTTGTTGTTCGGCTCGCCTCCCTCCCAGAAGTGATACTTTATCTCGTTGCCGTCCTCCTGCCAAACGAAATGGCCCTCTTTGTTTAGGTCGTTTGCTCTGTTTGGGAAAGAAACATCAAAGTTGATTTAGTACAGACTGTATAATATGGCCTATTGGGGGGGGGGGGTAGTATTTTCCGTTCCGGATGGTAGCAAGGCATTTTTCCCGGGCAGGCAGCTGTTGTAAAGTCAAAAATGTGGCAGACAGGAGCTTGAATTAACCAGGGTGACCGTTTTAGCCGAATTTCGGCTAAATTTGACAGATAAAAAATAGTTAAAATCTGGCAGAATGAATGCACTAATCGGCTATTGTGTCCCAAAAGGTGTATAAGAACAAATCAAAATTTGTCATTGAACCACTAAACGAAGGCTTACGGATTTGCATGCGTACTTGATAATGGTTTATATAGGACCATACCAACGCCCATAAACAAGAGTTGTATTACAAGTGAGTGTCAATGCCAAAATTTGCATCAAAATTGCGGCGGAGCTACTGTGATTTACTATCTCGAAGACCGTGAAAATCGCCTTGCTCTCTCGTTAATTTTTCACTGCTATTCAAGTTGAGATGAAACCAGGGACTAAATGATCTTTCAATCCAATATATCGACTTTCCACTCGAATTTCAACTGGATTGGTTCTTCTATACAGGGTATAGTCTAAATCGTCTGGTTCGCATAGTTTCAATCTTATGAAAAATGCGACGTCAAGTATACAGAGCTCGCGTTCACTCAAAGTATGAACTGGTACATATTATTTCAGCAACTAGTTAAGTTCATTAATTTTATATATTTATTGACTAATTGATTGATTTATTAATTTTTCTACAGATCAACTCACCCAATCCAGTAATATTGATTGCATGGGCTCCGCTTGTACTCCTTGTACAAGCCGTTGATCCATTTCATTGAATCTCCGTCTCGGATAGAGACCAGCCAAGCGCCATCGTTTTGACAGATGTTGCGGGCGTCCTTGCAGTAGTATTTCTTACTTCTGTGCACCTCGTAGCAGTTGCCTCCATAAGGACTCTCGATAAAGCTGCCGGGACATCCGGCGCTCACTATCGCTGCCGATGTCGCAAGGAGGACCGAAAGTGTGAGTAGTACTGCCATCTTCGTTGTCGTTGGCAAACCTTAACCAGTTTGGAAACCGTCCCTTCTATATATAGAGTCCTGGCGACGAACGCAGCCACCGGCGCCTGTCTGTCAAAATTTGGGGGAAAAAAGAATCGCCGTTATCATCCAGTCTGGTTTGAGGTGCGATGGGTCAGCTGCCGCGCTTCACAGGATGCGAATCAAGCGATATTGACACACTGTCGCTCATGACCACGAAATATCAAAATTCACGACATTTTTAAGCCTCGCCTGCCCATCACATTTTTTTTCAGATCAATTCTTCTGCAGTACACTGGGCAACTTAATATACAAACCACAAATAAGACGGTCAGGGTGACGTCTTTTGGGTTTTCGATAACTTTGGTTTCAATTTCCATTAACAAGCTGGGGTTCCGGGAGCTAAATCCCCTAAGGGGGGTTGAGGCAAGAGACAGCAGCACCTTGGTCTCCCTGAGCCCCCTACATGATATCTCTTGGGAACATTATTATTTGAAAAAAAGAAAAAGAAACACGGAAGAAACAAGAATGGGTTTCCTTGCAAGTTGAACCACAGATGCGCCACTAGCGGGGTTGAACACTACAAATCTTTGGAAAATATTATTATAAAGCCACACAAGTTATTCAAATCTCCTGACCCAATAATTATTTAAAATGTGTTATTTTTCTTACACCAAATTTACACTTAGGCTACCTTTTCTTTCGTTTGACGATTAATACCAGCGGAAAGATCAAAGACTTTAGAGGGTAAAACTCTGCTTTGTGGAAGTCAATCAAAAAGCGACATACTTCGTGGATAGAAAAACTCTCGCCGGTTTCCTTTCTTATTTCGACTAGAATGTAGAGTTTCGTATGATAATCACCACCGCCAAAGGCGTTATCTTTTGTATTTGTTTTACCGCGGCTCCTTTGTACTGCCAACTTCAATAGATATACTTATGACTCTCCCAGCTGTACATGTTAACCAGAGACATAATTTTGTAAAGATGGGTGTCATTCACAATCTTATGTTTCTCTCCGTTATTTTAGAGTCATTTGACAATACAATCACCCCAAAAATGGAATAAAACGGTTATGTTGACACCCTGCGAAATTCGTTTGGTCTGACACATGCAAAGTGGTATTTTTGTATCAATTTCCAACGCTGGTCGGCCGACCAGCGTTGGAAAACACTGGCTTTTTTTCAAATACTGGCCCCAATTGACCATCGCACTTGTTTGCAATCGATTACACACCTATGAACGGGTACAAGCCAGCTAGACTGGTTCTCTGACCTTACAATTCCCCAATGTATGTAAACTGCTCTGTTTCTTCTTATATGGAGTCAGGTAACCAGACTACAGGAAAATTATTGTTTTTCTTGGTTTTTGTAGCATTTTCGAACCCAAAACCTCAAAAAAGTCAGTGTAACTATACTTGCTATATATCTCCAACCCCCCAATTCCATCCATTTCTGAAAATTACAGCAAAAGCAAATGATGTATATTCCCTTTAAGAGGAAAAGGGTGGAAGTGTAATGTTAACTTGAGTAAATGACTGTCTGATTATAGGGCTTGGATTTTAAAACAAATGTGACAAGTCTAAACAATTTTGTTTTCTCTTATCTTCTTTATTTGAACTCTCTTTAGCACACCGCAACCGTGAACCATCAACATTTTGGAGATAAAGTGTAACAATTGAGAAATCGCCACCTGCTGCACAAACGAGTTGTCAATAACTTTACTTGTGCGTGACAGGAACTGGAGGGCGATATGACAAACAGTTCTGACATGAAAGGTAAGATCATTTAGCTGAAGAACAAAACTTTAGAAGAATAAGTCTTATCTGGAGAAACACAATTCCAGCACACTTAAGTAATTTCATAGCGTTATACTCCTTTAGATAAACGAAAGTCGGTTCAAACCCTGGTTGGTTTTAAGGCAACACTTTTACACTGTATTGAAGAAGGCTGGTCTAGCCAAGCTTTAAACATCAGAAATAAGGTACAACAAGACCAAAACGCCACGAATCGCAGTCATTCAAATGAAACAATAATATCAATATAATAATACTATAACAGTAATATCTACAATTTAATACTGTGTATTTGTGCTAAATACTATGTGTGTATACTGGCTCCATCATAGCACTTGATTTTATTATTTGATTTCTTTATTAAAAAAACGATATTTCAAACATATCTTCAAACTTTCACAATTTGGTATCAAAATATTTTCAAGCAGTCACTCCAATTTGGATATTTGGCTGTGAATCACACTGAGATTTAGCATTCAGGATATCCTGAAGCTAACTCTTCTTAAACATTCTTAACTAAGTTTTAACTAAATGTTTTAAGCAAATCTGCAATTCGAGAACAAACAGTGACATGGGCTTCATAAGACCCTGTGTATTATTATTATTAATAACCAAAATATGCTAAGCCAATCTGCTAAGCGTGATTTCCAATGTACCCTGAAATCGCACAAGTCTGGTACCCACGTCGCTAACTTTCTTGTTAAAAAACACATTTACAGAAATGCAACCAAACAAATGAATTTCTTTGGTGAGGCCGGCATCTCGTGCTTGTTTCTGCCTCATGGGGCGAGCATTTCTTCGTCACTGTCCTCAGAGTCTGAAGAGTCAACTTCGTCCTCGATAGCCGAACGCCTTCGCCGCAGCAAGTTGATAATCAGACCAATCAGGATAAACTAAAAAAAAATAAATATGAACAAAAAAAATCAGTGAAGCAAACAAGTGGTATTTAGGTTTCTCCTCGAAATAAAGGATGTTTAAGACACAACCCGTTTAAATTTAGGTGCAATTTCCTATATTTTATAGGGAACAATCTAGGAGTGCCTGTTCTCATAATTAGGGCTGTCCGCTTTTTAATAATTTAGTATTCGATTACTCAAAACCGCATTGGACCGAATATTCGGGTATTCGAAACTGCCAGCTGCAACTGTCTGCTGGTGCGTTCTGCAGTAGGCCTGCTGAGTGTCCTTTCAGCCAAACGAAAACAATTCACATACGGATGTGTGTGGATTGTTTTCATTTTGCTGAAAGAACGCACACATTTTTTGTGTGATTCGTGTACAGAACTTTAAAACGGTGGTTGTGTTTAACATTCCTGACTTGAAAAGTACATGAGTGATTTGAATGATTCCTGTACTAAAAGAAAGCTGATAAATTGGGCTTTCATACCCTAGATTTTGAAAGTGCTACTTGCAGAACCTTATTACGAAAATGGTCCTGCCATTTTGGTTTCCATTTTTTCCCCTCACCCTGTATTAAGGGATATGTCGATATCGACAGTCACAATAAAAACCCTTTGATGAACATATCTTTTGCAGATACAAATAATCATGAAGAAGCCGAAGACGGTACCCCTAACAGTTAGAAAAAGCATGAGATATAGTCGCCATGGCATTTGCTCTTTATAGATAAGTCAGGCGTGACACTTTCGAGTTGAAATTTGCGGTGTTTTTTTTTTCATGATAAGCTTACCCCAAGAAATGCCCAGTTGGCCCAGTAGTAGCAAGCACCGAAGAACCAGAGCTGGAACACAAACTTGGTCATCAAAGCCATAGTGACAGTCATCGTGCAGTCTGTTGAAAAAAAGGCACAAACAAATCTTATTTTTCATTGATACTCACCCATGTCCACAGCATCATGAGCCTCATTTGGCATGTTCTGTGTACTCACAACACTTGTGCTCCATCCTCAACTAAGCTCTTGGAAGTACCGTTGCAGTACTCCTGCGCCCAAGCCCTTCATCATGTGATTTACATATGACAGTGTGTAACACTGTTATGAAAAATATTCAATGAGATTCCATTTTTCGGAGTTGTGGGACAACAAAGTTTTTAAAAAAAGGGAGGAATTTTCAAGAAAAAAGTAGAAAAACAGGTGCAAGGTATAAAAAAACTAGAAAAAAATAGGAAAAGTAGGATTACTTGAAAGCCTAACAAGACAAGGGAAACAAACATCTACTTCCAAATCATCTTCCTCACTTGTTACAAATTCACATCTGCAAGTCAAGAGACAAAACGGGAATCGCTAAAAAAGTGGAGCATACCTGAGCTGGACTCTGAAGTTGTGCACTGCTCTGGTTCGGTAGAATTTTCCTGACAATCAGAGGAATATTAAAAGAACAAGCATGAGTCAGCTTGAAGAGTACATTTCAAAAGATGATGGTGATGAATGTTCATTATGGTGGTGGTATGCATAAGAGGGGCCCCGTAGCCGAGCGGTTAGAACGTGGAGCTAAGGAGTGGAAGGTTGGCGGTTCGAATCCCATTCAGACCAAAAACTGGAAAACTCTCTCTGACGACCCAACAATAAAATGGGTACCTGATTCGTTCAGGGAAGGTAAGATGGCGAGAGGAGAGGACTGGGCACTGCCACTCATATGCCGCGCCCAAGACACAGTGGACCTCTAACATCCCACTGCCCCGGCCAGTAATGGCTATGGGATCTTTACCTTTTACCTTTATGCGTAAAGATTTTGTTTGTGCTTTTTAGGAAGACTTCCCATATGTTTTGTACACGATCTGAAATTGTGGGCCTTCGGGAATTGTGGACCCTATTGTTCTCCACTGTTCAACGTCCCCTACTGAATGCAAAAACAAATCCATATTACATACTGGTAGGAATTTCTGGTGGCCGTAGGTCATGTAGTCCGGGGCCAAGTTATACAGCATGACGTTGACGGCAAGGAGCAGAATCATGAGATACATGCAGAGGAAGAGAAGAGCCTGCGGCTTGGTGTGATGTGGCCGGATTTTGTACATCTAGATGTGGGTAGACAAAGATGTAAGGTCAATAAATCCCAACGTGGGAAAATTTGACTGCAATGGCTTTCCTCACAAAATTGACATAAATTATGTTCAGACTTGACATAAATTTAGGTTTCATAATGTGACACAAATACAACAGCAGCAGAAAGAATTTGTTAGCCCCTTATTAGCACCTGCTGCACTACGTACTACATTTCATTCATTAACTGACGAATCAAAAACCATGCGATGCTGGGGCTGTTTTGAGCAGTTTGGGGCGGTTCGGCAACCAATGGATTAATATAGCCGTTTCAATGGGGAAAGTGTGGGCATATGATCGTAATTGGTTGTTAACGTTTGAAAGAAAGAAATGCATTGTACCTTGACACAGCAGAACCAGATTCCGATCCTGCGGACGCCGGCCATCGATGAGTAGATGAAGAAGAGGACCAGACCAACAAACACGATGTAGTCCAAAGGAAAGACCTGCAAAGAAGGTATGTTACTTACAGTTAAGCAGGATTTTGCCCACCCAAGATGAGACCTGAACCTCAGACCTTTGGACTGAAGTTCCAGTACACCACAAAATGAATGAAAAGTTAGGTTTTCTGTTTGAGTGATTAATTTTTTTTTTTTAGCAAAGGTGTTGAACAGAAACTGTTATCCATTAATGAACTTGGTGTGCGTCTGAATGCAACTGAATGCAGTATAGCCAGGACTCGAACCCGAGGCATCTGCACTGAGGCTCCAGTGCTCAACCAACTGGCATTGCTTATTTGAGAACAAGTCAGGTGGTCACATACCTGCTGCATCACCACCAGCAGCATGCCTAAGGGATTCGGCAAGGTGCTCGTTGGTAGAATGTAGCCCGTCTTGTAACCAAGCGAATGCAGAATGCGATCCAGGCTGAAACGAGTGATGAGGACAGACCGGGTGAGTGGGAATTTGAACCCAAGACATCTGAACAATTGTGGATTGTTTAAGTATGTACTGTTAATGCAAGCAATAAACTGAAAAACTTGCTACAGGGTTAATTCGAGTATCAACTGTTGTCCAACAGAGCCCTAGCTCAGCTCCGTAACCAACATCTGAGTGATGCAAAGTTTATGCGACCCCGCGCGGCAGCTAATCGGAGTCGACTCTAGAAATTGCGACCTCATTTCAATCAGAAATGTGGACTAAGCTGTTGATTGGGCAATTTTGCTGACATGTTTTTGTAATACGACGGGTCATCGAAGACCTGATAGAAGGCGCCCTCTGCATGGTCAGAATCTCGAGGTCAAGATGCACTCTTGTTTTGCATAATTAATCGCCGAATCTGCTCGCATGTCATAGACGCTTGCTGTGCAAGGGGATATTCCATAGACTATTACAGGGTATGTCCCACACTCAACTGACAATACACAAGATTGATAACAACAGAGTTTAAAGAAACGGGCTAAGAAATTTCTTGTTTTTTTTTCTCAAAATGGTAAACTTGCTTATAGGGTATATTCACATTCAGCAGATTATGGTCCAAGTGGTCGGACACTCAACAGAGGAACAATTCCCAGGTTTAATCTCATCTGGGAAGCGTTCTGTATATTTTCCAGGAATCTCAGCAGGACATCTCTCACCTGCTAATAAAGAGAGATCCAAACACCAGAATGGCAACCAATATCAGAACGATGCCGATGACGACTTGTAGAGGGCGCCAGACACACGAACACTTGTAGCAGAGTTTCTTCTGGATGGCCACAAGGTGGCGCTCTCTCTGCTGGATCAGTTCCTCTTCGTCTTTGAGGTCCTCTAGATTGCGGCGTTCTCTAGATGAGAGGTTTCTGCCTCTGCGACGCTGTGTAAAGAAGTAATTGAACAAAAAAAGTATGATTGACGGACAGACATGAACACCAACAGTGAAGAGACTGTTTTAAGCAAGACTGGCAGGTTTTTTCTTTTCCTGGTATTTGAAAGGTACTACAAAGATTTTGCCCTCTGCTGATTATAAATTTTTTGTTCTTTTCGAGAATTTCTGAGAACAAAAATCTCATCAGTTTATAATTTCTAAAGCACTTTTTCATCTGTTTACCTTTCGTTTGAGGGTCCGGAGCTGGTCTCGGTTTGCAGACGCAGTTTCTTGGACATCTTCCAATTCTTCTTCGGCACTTCGATAACCTTTTATGAGGTCGATGGGGAGGGCTGTGATACCAAAGGCCTGGGAAAAAGAAGGTTTCTTTTCAATTTCTTATTTTACTCTTTTAAACTTTCACTTTGGCTAAAGTGAGGTACCCTCGACAGAGGGTCAGAGTTGACTTTTTTTTAATCATGGATAACTTTGTCTTTTAAGATTTAAACATCGTAGTTTGCAGACTCACCGTGTAGAAGATCAGCCCAAGCATTCCTAACAAGGTGACAAACCCGACGAGAAAATACAGAGCAGTTTCTCCCTCTGCAACAAAGTCAGAAAAAAAAACAGAGACATGGTATCCTGAAATATTCTTCGTATTCAGAGACGACAATCAGTAGAAAGACTAAAGGGAAGGACCAGGACTTACTGCTTTCACCAAGCTCATTGAACAGGTACTTGAAGTTCTCCCAGTCGGTAGAGTTCTTGTCTGGAATTTGTTGCAGGGGAACAAAGGCTCTGAAAAGAAATTAAAATATTGACAAGTCCAGTGACAACTGACCTATCGCCATTTGCGAGTTAGCCACGCCCCTTAGACAACCCTTTGGATTCTTGTACGTTAAGTTTTGTTTGTCTCAGATTCTGCGCGTTCCGTGTCCATTTGTCGATCATGTAATTGGACAATATTTCACAAGCTGCAATGGTGCGAATCTACTGTGATAGGTTAACTGGAGCTTTTCCAATCCAAAAGATTTCAACTAATTATTGCTGTTTTTAAGCCTTGCCAATACTAGACACAATCTTCCCTTTTGGTTTGGTTTCAGAGTTTTTGGTGATTATCCAACAGTCATGTTATTCTTCTCTTTGATATAATTTCTGGATCCTTCAAAACCGTCAGAAGTGCATACTGCATGAAAACGCCTGGAAGAACTTTCCAAACATACACTACTTCATGCATCCGGAAGGCTGCCTAAATTTTAAAATGGGCTTTTTTGGTCAGGTCCTCTAGATCCATGGAATTAAGTCTGGTTTTGAAGAACTGGTTTTGACGGAGGACGTCAAGTACATGGTAAATGAATTAGCATGAACTCACCCGATGATTAGAAGCACTGCAGCTGATATCACAAAACACGCTGTGTACTTGACGGCTCCCCAAATTCGCTGTTGAGAAATATTTCAAGTTGTTACGATGTTTAGCAAAATCATCTTGCCAATATCCAACAGAAAATTGTCCCCGGATGTGTCACTTGTACGTGTATCCGTTTGTCTAAACACTAGCACATTCACTGCCCAGAAGTAAATAGTTTACATACAGCAGCAGCGAATTTGGAGGTATTTCAGTTTCATTTTTTAGTTTTTAGCAGGTAACAAGGATACCATTGCCTTTGCTTTGAGTGCTGCTTAAATACCCGTGTATGATGTTCAGATATGCGAAGCTGTCTTAGACTGTTTATGTTTTTCACAGTCTGTTTGTGTCTTTTGCTCGTCCAAGTCTTTGTTTTCTCTAATACCTCTTTGGTGGTCGTTTCTTCATCTTGCTCCTCATAGTAGAAGATGACGAATGGAATGGCTAGGAAGATGAAGAAGGCCATGCAGCCGTACAGCGCTGTGGAAAGAGGTCACAAATTTAAATTTGTAATATAATAAAAATCAACATAATCGAAGCAACGAAAGAGGGAGGAAAATGCTACTAGCTTCTTACCGTAATAAGAGTAGAGTAAGGTGTTGGTGACGTATTGTCTTGTAATGTTGGACGTTGCCCAATCCTACAATTAAAAAATCAAAACCTTTGTTAAATTAACAGATAAAATTTGAACTTTGACTTAAAACCTCTTTCATATATATTTTTTTCACCTTTCATAAATGTAGGGGCAAACTTTTGAACTAAAATCATTGAACTCAGTTCAACAACCATTTTGGGCAATGACGCAATCCTTGGTTTCCTGCACAAGATTATTAAGCCAAAATCATTCCAGATTTGATGCGGTTTTAACGTTTCATTAATTTCTTTTCCTGTTTCCCGCGCCAAAAGGTTTTTACAGACCTTGTAAGTTCCATCTTCATCCTTCAGGAAAGAGACAGTGAATATGTCGATAGGTACCACAGCAATGGTCAGAATGGCAACCGTCAGAGCCAGCACAGCTGGGTATTAAATTAGACCAAAACAATGCATCGTTTACAAAAATGAATACATTCTAGGGACACCACCAATTTATTAGATGTCAGAACACGAGATTGGATAAATATCAATGATCATGATGAGGAAAGATTTCCATATACATATACAAAGTTCACTAATTTTCCTCTGTATTGACTAACAAGCCCCCAGATAGCAATTTCATGTCATCAAAGTCAATTTGAGCAGTGAGGAAATACAAGCATTTTCTTAGAAAACACTTAGAATTTTTCAGTCCAATCTCATAGGGTTTGTACACAGGGTGTTGAGTGAACTTCGTATATGGAAATCTTTCCCATGATGATTTACTGTGCGCGTTTAGGTTAAAATTTACAATTCTCAAACAATGATGTATTTCAAGTTGCATTATTTTTCTCATGTGAATTTACCTGTGATGGTTGAACTTCTTTCGCTGTGTCTCTTGCTCTTAAAATGGCAGATGTAGTAAATGGCAAACAGCAATGCCACCTACATGTTCACACAGAAATAAGATTGGCACATAATTATTAAACAAACTACGACAATGGTTACTTGCATCTGATGACTCAATTTTCAAAAAAAATGTTTGACCGTCACTCTGTGACGATGTGACATGTCCGACAAGATGACAATTGACATGGACAACATGTCACACAGTTTATGTTCACCCTTTTTTCATTTATATCGTTGTTAATTGATAATTAAAACACTTCATATCAACAAAAGCAATCAGCTCATTTCAAATCAAACAGTTTTTGCCACAAAAGAAAGAAATACCACAAAAGAAGCTCCAAATGATGCCCAAGTGATCAGTGGAACTTCCACAGGAATCGCCATTTTGATGTTTGTTGTGATCATGTGGTTGTGATAAATTTGGAAGATTCTACTTGTTAAACGGGTAACAGGAATATTTGATCCATGGAAAATAATATTAAGATATTTTACCAACTGAAAATTCAAGAGTTAAACTGGAGTTGTCTTATTAGTAACTGTCATAGAGAAAGTATTTAGCTTTTTTTTACAATTATTTATAAGTATACTGTCATATATTTCTTTAATTATTTTCACCCAGATTTGGTAAAACATAAACATGTAATAGAATGTTCCAAAATAAATGGGCCAGAGGTCAAAAGTTAATTATAATTCTGCCAAAAGAGGGCGCCGTACAATCGCCATTAGGTCGTAAATCCTTGGACCGAGTGAAAATTATGCGCAGAATTTGATTCAACATTGTGGGAGTTTCCGGAGGTATTTGCCCAAGGAAATCAGCTTGCTTCTCGGAGGAACTCGAAGAGACACGGACTGGGCTATGCCGGAGGTTACAGAGTCGCAAAGAGGGGCCGCAGGGGCTCATGGTAAGTGTGAGGTCGAGCATTTTTGGGGGGTTCTTTTCTTTCAAGTGTGCGGGCGCGCGCGAGCAGATCCACGCTCATGCAGTCAGTCAGCCGTGTGTTGGATGGGATGGGCCGCGCCGCCGCGCTTAGTTTGCGGGCCGGGCTTGGGCTGCATTGAGCATCAACTACTACTTAAGTACTAGGGGCGGTTTTAGGCAGTGCTTATACATGTATAGTCCGTCTTTTTGGAAAGATCCAGACGCCACTTCTTTGTTTGTGTACAAAGTCTTTGGACATGATGGAGAGTCAAGTGCATTTTAGTTTCTAACTAAATTGGAGATGTTTCTCACTCAGTCATGTCACTTTGTCAGTCCCAGATTCATCATGTTCATGTCTTTTCAACATTTTTGCAATGACTGCCCTTCATTGAGATAATGAATAAAAGTGGCGTCAGGATGCAACATTCCTCCCCATCTTTTCCCCACCATCTTAAGTGTAAAACGCTATAGACATGATAGAACAGTAACTGACATGACTGAGTAGGCCTAAGTGTTTTAATGCCATGATTTCAATGGAGCTGTCCACCTACACCACAAAGTTTAGGTTGAGTTCTACTCCATGATGAACTGATTTACGCATGTACAGGGGTGTGAAATCTCAGCTTTACAGCTGATTTTGGCTTTTTTTTTTGTTTTGGATTTCAGCTTTTTCCTTCACTTGCTGTGTACTAAAGGACTGTAAAAGTGTAGGAGATTTCCAAAGTTCAGCTTTTTTACACCTGTTTCAGCTGTTGTCAGCTCTTTTTATCAGTGGTCACTCACACCCTGCATCATGTACAATGTACCCGTGTTTAAGATTTCATTTGCCTACTACAGGGAAATTTATTCTGAGGCTGTGAAAATTGAAATCAGTAGTGTTTACTTTAAAGGGAAAATACAACATTTGCAAACATCAAAAAATAAAACTACCAAATCATTTTGAAATACCTTGCTGGACTGTTAGTGAATGACAGTGTAAAGCATCCTGTAAAATCATGGCACCTGGTATACTGTCATTTTCAAGGAAAGTGGTATTTTTGTATCAATTTCCAACACTGGTCGGACGACCAGCATTGGAAAAAACTGGCTTTTTTTCAAATACTGGCCCCCATTGACCATCGCACTTGTTTGCAATCGATTACACACCTATGAACGGGTACAAGCCAGCTAGACTGGTTCCCTGACCTTACAATTCCCCAATGTATGTAAACTGTTCTGTTTCTTCTTATATGGAGTCAGGGAACCAGACTACAAGAAAATGATTGTTTTTCTTGGTTTTTATAGCATTTTCGAACCCAAAACCTCAAAAAAGTCAGTGTAACTATATTTGCTATATATTTCCAACCCCCCAATTCCATCCATTTCTGAAAATTACAGCAAAAGCAAATGATGTGTATTCCCTTTAACATGCCTACATGATGTACATGTACATGGAGCGGTCGTAAACTAGCATATTTTTACTTATAAGTAATGTTTTGCTTTGCTTGTTGATGCCAGCATGGCTAGACTTTGCTAAAATCAGCTCAGTCGTTCGTGCACTACAGTATTTTCTGTACAAATGTAGGTCCAGGCAGTGGTAAGATTGTCATAATTTGCGCATTGTGTTATTGATCAATCCACCATACTCCATTTTCTGACAATAAAAATAACCCACTCTGTTGTTTGACAACTATCTGATCATTAAATGTGTTCATGTCATTTTTAGTTCAGTGGAATACTTTGAATAAAGATAATGTAGGCCTATATCTCAAATTAGGTTTTGCCCTTCACCGATGTTTTTAAACACTGAACGTCGGTGAAGGGCAAAACCTAATTTGATTTATATCACCCCGACTCAAAATTCCATCTTATTCTTATAATAATGTATATCGTACATGATATAATATGGTACATTTGAACAATTCAGGCGATTCACAATGCAGTGCGCCACCAAGAGTTTGCCACATTTGTATCACTGGTGTTTTTAATTTATGTTAAGCCAGCACAGCAGTGTTCAGTCTGTTTTTGTACATGTACTTGTTTTATGCAAATGAATGAAATCAATGTTGAAAATTAAATAACTGCATACGTTTACATGCACATGCACCCACCATGCCTGAACATCGTTCATCAGGTTTATAACGACCACAAGTTTGGTGGTATTGATCTTTCAGCATTGTTATAATTATCATTGCTGCTGATGACTTCTAAATTCCAGTGCTGTGTCAGTGCCATGAATATTCATGATGCAGTCCATTCAAGCATGACAGCAGAGTGATGCATAATTTGTAAAACACACAATACGACTTGCAAAGATCATTACTCTACATTACTTATTCTACTTCAGTGTTAAAAGTGATGTTGGTTTAAAAAAAAGCTGTTGTTCTAGGTTGCAACGTAAACATGTACGTATACATGTATGCTGGTTTCACTTACATGATACATGACACGTATTGTGTCATGCTAAAAATGTATTCAGCATTACAGAATTTCATGCAGAAATTCGTCCACGGGTACATGTACTTCGGCACAGAAGCAGGCATGGATAAGGTTGGCGAGGACGCCCTCATACCACACTAGGAAGCGTTCTTGACAACGACCTGAAGACGGTAGGCAAGCGCCTGCACAACACTGCCAACTTGGAGCAGCTACAGATTCTGACAAAGGAGGAGTGAAGGAGCTGACAAGGAAATAGTTGAGACGGCTGAAGCGAAACTGACATAAGTTTTATGACAGCGAAACTGCTTCATGCACATACATGTACAGCATTACAGCACGGATGAAAGAATAATATACATTTTTGTTTTTTTACTCTTCCACGATTATCAGATTGTAGTGTTCAAAATATTTATTTTTTACATGATGTAATGTACATGTTAAAACACTTCCAATTTTCCATACAATGCATGGCCTCCTCCTTCCAATCCAACAGAACAATCTTCTTAGAATATCTAGATGCCTAAATACTGATGTACTCATGTATTTCATGTGGGGGTACCGGGGTAGGCAATCTTCATTTTGATTTTCTTTCAGACCCGCGCCATACATGAACATGTACAATCCAAGATTGGTACCGTTCATATTACACTCAGTAATGAGATGCACAAATGCCTTGCTATCAATCATCCTTGTGCTCAGGCTGTAGCAGACCTAGACTCATCATTCAGAGAAAAAAAATTATCCATCCCACTTTGGCTACAAAAAAATAAAATGCTGTTAATGAGACCGTCAGACATCAGAACAAGTTTGCACGTTAGGTCTTGTATCGTTCAGTTGTTTTGCAAAGCACTATGCCATTAACAGCGGGCAACATACAGAAATCCACTACAAAGTTGATTTGCATAGTGCATGTGTAAGCCATGCTTTCAAAGAAACAACATTTTCTTTTTGGTGGCCTTACATGTGTGTAAATGTTGTTGTATACCATGTATACAAGTGGAGCCAGAAGAGCACTGCAAAGAATCCAAGAGGCAGCAGATAGTTATTAACATAAAGAGGGCTGTGAGGAAACACGCTTTGTGGGGAAAGAAAAGAAGTGCATTGCACTGTGTGATGGGAGACAGCCTAGCCTAAGCCTGAAAGGTCAATGTGAAATCCTTGGAATTGTAAACATTGTGTACAAGAAATCTGTGCTAGCTGAGAAAGGGAGTAACATACAGAGAGAAATGATACATTGTAAACTAGTGATTCAAATTTATGTTGACCAAGTATGCTGTCATTAGAATACATGTATGATGTACTGGTATGTGACTTGCACACGTGTGTGGAAATGAACTTTATGAATGTGCTGGTATGTGCGCTCTTGTATGGCATTTCGATTGAGGACAGACCCACAAAGGGAGAACAAAAGATCCTTTCAGTCCTCGAGCGTTGGGTCTTTTGTTTAAAACAGTCCTCGATCGTACAGTTATGTGCTTAGTCTATGGGAGAGTGTTATATTACAGGGACAAAGGGGAACACAAAGCATTGTCCTCGAGGGTATAGAAATTCATGACTGTGCAAACATGTGTGTGTAAACTTATACATTTAGTACAGACAGGTTCTGTAAAATGTATACATGCACTGCACACTTACACGTATGTATGTATTGTACATGATGCACATCATACAACTGTGTAACTTGAACAGTCACAGACAGTCAAAATTCCTTTCCACTTTCCCAGCTGTACTTTTGACTAAGGCTAGTCACCTGCAGTCAGATAATAACGGTACCGTACATGTCAAACAAGCACTGTGACCAGTCAAACTGGGTCAACAGGCAAAGCAGGCAAGTTGTAGTCACAGTCAGTTTTATCACTCACCGGGAGTCAAAACATACATGTACATGTACATGTACATGTAGCTGTATCAAGTTTCCAGACAGTCGGTCCTGCTTTACATGTACATACACACAGGCTGGGAATTCTTAACTGTTGAAAACAGTCACTTGTTTGATTATGACTGAAAGGACTACATTGTACTTGGCACATAATGTATGTTTGCATAGGACTCATTAATAGGAGGGATGTACAATGTACATGTGTACATGTAGCTT